TGGTGGGGTAAGTTTTCTGGGTCCAGCGAGGGTTGAGAAACTGGGAACTGGATACATCGATGGACAAGGAGAGAACTTCGTCCAGCAGAGTGTCCTTTGGAATGGGGTGCTGTTCCTATTTTCATTTTCATGCGCTCGACGAATGTTCACTGTTGTAGCTGTACCTTTTTGGTCTGGACCTCGACAAGCGAGACCAAGCGAACTAGGGACGAAGTAATAGTGCAGTCCTCCCCCTCTGATCTCCAGGCTGTGGGTGTGATGGTATGAACTGCAGACAGTTTTAGATGAGTTTCTCTTTTTCCTCGTCCTGGGAGAGAGTGGTTAAAACTCTGGCAAAGTCCGACGCGCATCTGGAACCATTAAAACCTACCCATCCTTCCTTTAAGCTTCCCATCACGAAAGGGAACCGGTACTTGGCGACTACAAACAAGCTACGGCATGTCTCCCCTCCCTCTGTCTAAGTCGGGACGACATCCAATCGTGCGTCCGTAAAATAAGCCTTCGAATGTCTCCTTCCCACCTCGTGCGTCGTGTGGGGGTTCCTTCAGTCGGGAAGGGGTCCCGACACGGGGTTCGTGTGTATGTGTGTGTTACACCGGTGCGTGCCCCCCCCTGGAGACTACACCGGAAAGTTTGCGGGGGGCGCGTTCTTTTTCTTCGAGTTTCCCAAATTACTGAACATTATATTTCTGAACGCCAGCTTCCACTTGGGTCTGGGCCTCGACTTGGGCCTGGACAGGACCTGGGTCCTGACAGGACTTTGGGGGGGCTTTGGGTGGCTGGGCCGCACACCAACGGCTTCAATTTTTGTACGCAAGGCTATCACTAAACATTTGATGTCTTTCCCCTCCTTTGTGCATGCAGTCACTCCTGGCTCGACTTGGGGCCAGGGCAGGTCCACTTCTTTGGAATATTGACCTAAAATAACTATACACAGCAAACACGTAATCCAGCGCAGGCTAGTGGTAGTGTAGTCCTTCTAATTTCAATCTTCTGTCGATGCTACTAGTTATAGTTATCCGCAATGGTGGAGTTTCCATCGCCCATCTCCTACAACACTATCTTACGAAAAGAGGGGAGCGCAAACGACACGACACTCCACTCGCAAGCAATGAGGGGGTGCATTTAGTTGCTACCTGGCTGAGTAACAAGCTATTTTGATGACGGCCCTGGGCTTACTTGCTAAATAAGGCAAGTAAAGGCGTGGCGGTTACAGAAGTTGCCAAGCAAGTCGGACGAGGCTAGATATTTTCAAGTTAAAAATAATCGCGGGAGGGATCTGCCCCTTTGCGACGTGAGCGTCATCTTGGAAACGGTGGAGAGTCAAGGCATGGATGATGGCTAACAACCCCCCGGCGGGTCTCAAGAGAGTGGGATGTCGATCTGAGTGGGATGCCCATCCAAGTCAGTCTGGCGGCAGATGGATGCCCTTCTGCATTTGGTTAGCTTCAATGTTCGTTTTTAGGCTAGGACGTCCCGCAAGGACCAATTGACGCGGGCATATAGGTCAGTAAAGGATTTGATGTTTCGAGACTCTTGAACCCATACCAAGTATAAACTCGTGTGACAGCGAACGTGAAAGCGGCGAAAGGACGGCTTGGCTTCTGGATCCAGTTGAGATAAAAGAAATCGAGTAATTTCTCCGTAAATGTTGGATTCTCCTCAGTATCGACGGGCCTGTTTAACACACACAACTAGACTAGTTCATCTTCATGGCCTCCGCCTATTTCGTCTCGTTGTAACCTTTCAGACTCAGTTCTCCAAGGTACGGCATGGAGTTTTGAATCATTCTCTCATCTCACTGATTTCTATCGCCCCGACTGCTTTCCGCTAAGGCCCCCTCCCCCCCCTTTATCCATGTGTTTCTTAGCTCTTACCCATTTACGGCAAGGCATTCGAAGAAGACCCACTCACTCATCTTCGGTGAGTGTCGGTCTATCTACACCAGACTAAAAACTGTTTTGCGGATGACGACGATGCAACGGTTCCCTGGTTGCTGGCTGTTGGGGCTGCAACTAAGGCTTGAGGAAGCCTTTCCCTTTTCAGCGCTTCTCGAAAATCACTGGCCCTCGCAAGAAGAGGAGCATGGTTGTGGGAGGGTAGCAGGGTTGTTTCCCATCATTGGAGCGCTTGACAAAAGGCAGATAGCCCTTGATATCTTCTATGCAAGGCACCAAAGCTACTTCGTAGAACTCCTGTGTTATGTTGCGACCAAACTGGGCCTCGTTGATGGTGGTGGTGTTCGATCTCATTTTTAGTGTTCTTGTGGCGGCTTAACTCTTACTGGCTGCCATCTTTTGAAACCACGAAGGCCCTAAACTGCTTCAGTGCAAAGGCCCGCCAAGCTAGCAGGGTTGGTCGTCCGATTCACGGCCGTGATACCGTTAGTCCTCGTGTAAGGGAGGAGAGTGGTTCCGCCGTTCTCGCAAGGCTGTCGCGGAGGAGCACGCGGCCAGAAGATAGATGTTCTGTCTCTTCGAAGTGATCCGGAGTGGCGGAATAGCCGTGGGGCTGATTATCCTAAGAGAGGAATCACTGCTCCTTAGAAAGACAAATCTTATGTACTCGGACGTGTATTCGTCAAACTACCTTAACACAGGTTGACGTCTCATGGACCCCCAAGCTGAGAAGGGTTAATTGGTGATTCATTTCATTGATGAAAGTTGGGGGTTCTATGTAATGTCCTCCTACCTGGGACGTGGTGGTCAAGCCTGGCCTTGAGAGGAGAATAAATTGTAAGACACTCGATGGAAGGATTGGATGTGGCGGACACTTCCCCTGTTCCCTGTCCTTCCACCCGATCAATGTCCTTTCCTAGATTTCCCGGGGCGCCATGCTGACCCTTGCCTTTCTCCCCGTTCTTCCAGACCCCCACTGCTCCGCTTTTGGTTGTTGACTCTCCCAACCATCAAGCTGAATGAAGATGGCAACCAGCACGGATATTGTTCTCGGTTTATTCCACTTCATACCGCCGATGCGATCCTCCTGGCATTGGCTGGCCGCACCAATGGCACCGTAGCGCCTGGCTAGCCGAAACCTCAAGTGCTGAAATCAGAACTCGACACTGCCGGGGGAAGCGAACCCAAGTACCGCTACCCGTCCGCTACAAACGCTGTACCCATACTTGAGTGTCACCTCCGCTCGCTTTCCTGCCCCCCATCACTTCTTCATCTGCTTCAATTCCATCTGGTCTGGCGTGGGTGCCCCGACCGGTGAAGGGAATGATTATATGTTGACAGATCAATTTGGATTCAGCCTCTTTTTGTCCCCGCGCCGAGTAAAAAGATCTATTGAAATTTCTCCAGATGCCCGCCGTGAACCTAGACCACTGGTTTCGAAGGGACGACTGACATCCCCGGGTTGGATTGCTGATCGGCCCTACCCTACACTAACTAGTATGCGCGACCATCGCATTGTCTTACTTCGTAGTGTCGTCTCTTTGTGTTTTAGATCCTATCCGAGGAGCCTCATCGTCTACCCTCCAGGATCTTGGATCGTAAACATCTAAAGATCTCCACCCGCACAACATTCATCGAGCATCTGATGGGCTCGTGCTAAGAGTGGGTGGCGCTTGTCTCGATGACTCCCTGGATCGTTTTGTCCCTTCAGGTTCCCATGGATCGGGACCCAGAGGAGGAGCTCCCCACCGCGCCACCACCCCAGGGCCTGTGCTGGCTGAACCACAGATACAACTGGAAGTGACTCTACCTACTTGCAGCACCTAAACTCGACAGAATACTTGTACCTTGGTACAATGCAATGTGGGACTACTCTGCTTCTCTCTCTAGTGTACGCATACATCTTCAGTGTTGTCGTTGCTCGTACCTCACAGTGCCAGGATCAGCGGGGCAGCACGATCCGAGGCATCGATTGATCAATGTCGTGGAGTGTATTAGTGGGTAGCATGTTCCACTGCTACGCTACAAGCAGTGTACGAAGTACACTCAGAGTGGGCTGCGTGGATGGATCGCCAGTCCCTCGTCCCCCATCGATGTAATAATACTCACACGTACCACTACTATAACCGCACTGCACTAATACCTGGACCACTCTCTGGTCCCTCTCATTCCCCGACTGCGCACTCGTTACTCAGGGCTGACCGGCGACAAAATTGCCATTAGCTCCAACCATCTAGCCTCCAACCTTCACACCCTTCCCTCCTTCCAAACCAACCCACGAGACGAGGCAATTCGGAAACACGAGCCTCGACATAATTAACAGGCTTCTCAAACTTGCATCGCCCGGGAGCGGTGATTGCTAACCAGGAAACCCTCTTTCCATTGCTACTTTTTGAAGCTTCGTCGTGCTCCCATCGTGCGCTCGACAATTTCTCGACATACCCGCCTGGCTGTTGTTCGCCAGCTGTCCGAATCCCGACTCCAACTCCATTCGCCGGATTTCTCTCTTCGTCGCATTCTCACCACCGCATTCCGATCGGTCGTGGACAACCCTAAAACCACCAGCACGGGGAAATAGGGCGGACGTCGTCCGTCCCATTTCGACCGCGCGGGCTTAAGTTCTCTTTTTGACTTTCCGAGTCATAGAGCGGGCAAAGGAAGCTCGTATTATTTCCTTTTGAACGGGGTTTTACTCATCCTTCCGCTCTTCAAGCCGCACTGTACGTCTCACACGGCATCAATATTTCCCCCATCGGCGGCGGTGGGTGGTGCCTTCCCTCTTTTTTTTTTTTTATCCCACTCTTCCAATTCGCACTTCGATCTCGGCCAGTGCCGACTGGAAATAATACACGACTTCCGCCGACCCCCGAGCTGGCAGGATCGTCTTCACAATATTTCGTCCCTCCCATTGCTAGCCAACTCAACTTGGAGAAAGGGTCGCTAACCATTGAGCGCGGGGTTGCAGTCCCCTCTCGCCATTTCCCTTCGCTTTTAACCTGAACCAAGGTGTAGACGAGGGCCACCGCCCACCCCATCATCGTCTACGTCAACCTTCCCCGCCCATTCCCGCCGACGATGCTCTCTCAGAGCAGCGCGGCAACAATGGCCACCAACACATCGCCCAGGACCGCCACCTGGGCCCCATTCTCCTCCATGAACCCTACTACAACGCAGCACGACTTCCGCTTCCCCAGGAGGCCTGACCAGTTCATCGCCGACCGCTACGGTCCGGACCTCAACAATGCAGCAGCAGCTTCGCCCGCCCACAGCAAGGCGAGCTCAGATCTCCGATCCAGCCTCCAGGAACTCAAGCTCGACATTTCTTCGACCTACGATAACGCTCAAGATAAGCTTCTTCAATTTGAAGATTTCCTCTCCGCCAAGCCGCCCATGGACTCTACCCTTAGCGACTTCAAGCAGATGCAGAGGGAAGACCCTCTGGCTTTGCAAGTCTGGAAGTTCTATGCGCGAACGAGACAACTTCTTCCCGACCAGCAGCGTATGGAAAACCTGACGTGGAGGATGATGCACGGAACCCTTCTAAGGCATCGCCTCGAACAGCTGAACAAGTATGTGTCCGCTGGCCACCTTCTTTTCTTCTCTTTTACTCTTCTTTCTTTTTGCACACCTCCTTTGGATAATATGTTAACAGCATCCTGTTCTCTAGCCGTGAGCGCCCGGGACTGATGAGAAATGTGTCCAGCAGCAACGCTCCGAGCGGCATCGCTCAGCAGCTGCAAAAGTCCTCGGAGCAGGAGCAAGACTACTCGTCCCAGGTTGATCTCATGAACATAGATGACTTCATCTTCTCGGATAGTGCTGCTACACCGCTTGCTTCTCACGCCGAGACCCCTCGTCCTGCCAACTTTGCCCCAGACAACATGCAGGGCATCACCACCTCTCACCCTCACGCGCATTCCTCTGCTATTCCTATCAAGTCCCGTAAGGACTCGCAGCAACGGTTTACACCGCAGTCTGTTCCGTTCCCTCCGCGCCACCAGGGCGAGTTCAACTATGTGGCCCGTCATGTTCGCAAGACGAGCATTGACGATAGACGTGTAAGTCAATTTTGTATAGTTTTACGTCGATTCCCAAAACTCGTCATATTTCTGAATGGCTGCCGGAACCGCCGGTCCTTGTATTTTTGTCTTGCTTTGTGCCCCTTTCTCCCACGGACCTCCTTCTCTTCTCCTTGACTCCGTGTGTGAACTAGACTCTTAACATTTTGCTTATTTCTGTAGACTCGCAAGCGTCCGGCCGACTTCTCTCCCCATGTCCCCGCTGTCAATAGTACTACAGGCCGACCGAATGAACTGGATGCCGATTCTGATCTCCACGAGTACTCGCTGGATTCGGCCAACCAGAATGGCATCCCTCAGCAGCAACCTGGTCAACCTGGAGTTCCATACCATTTGGACACCTTCAACCTGGAGACTGATCCCATTCTTGCTTCCGCTGGACCCTACCAGCAGCAATTCTTCTCGCCATCTACTTCGCCCATGATGACGAATGGCTCGTTCGCTGGTGTTTACAATAACAACTCTATGCCCGGATCATCGATGAACATGGGTGACTTTTACTCGCCTAACGCTTCCGGTTACCATTCTACTGCCACGACGCCACATGCGGCCCCTGAAGGCGAGGGCTTCTACTTTGGATCGATGGACATCCGCAACCAGCGACAGCAAGGAGCCGGTTTCCGCAATCCTGCCAACTATGGTGGCAACACGTCTGGCCAGGCTTTCGTGTACGGTCCCAACAATGGAAGCTCGGCGTTTTCTGTGTCTGCCCCAAGCTCTGAGCCACCTTCGGCTTATAGCACCGCACCGAGCTCGTTCGGACACATCGATCCTTCGCAAGTTTTCCAGCAGCAAGATCAGCTGGTGAGGTCGCCGAGGTCCTCTGTGAACAACGACAACATGTTCTCGTTCGGAACGGATTCGGATGATGACGACGGCAGCGCTTTTGCCGACCGAAATATGGCCATGGCCGGTAACTTCTCGCCCACGCCTATGGAAGAGAGCAGTTCCTTGCAGTGGGATGCTTCTCTTCCCGGTCAATTCAGCACTCAGGCTGCACGCTACCCTGGCGGCCCTCCTCGCAAATCCGTCACGATTGGAGGAACGACTACTGATTATGTCGAGACTGGTGGAGAATGGGACAAGAATGGTATCAACCGGTCGCAGTCACAGACCTTTAAGTCGGGCGGCGTGGAGAAGCGCCAAAGGTTGCCGAGGACGTCGTCCACCTCATCTGCGGCTCGCCTCGCTACCCGAGGTAGCACGGCCAACAACGCTGACAGAACGGCTCGATCTACGCCGAGCTCTCCGCCTGCGGATGGTGCTGTGTCAGGATTCTCGTCTGCCGCTCCCAGCCGACCGTCGTCGCCAGCTCCGTCGAAGCACGGCTCGACCACCAATCTTCAGAATGCCGGAAATAGTCAGGGAGAGAGCAACACACCTACCACTTGTACTAACTGCTTCACGCAAACCACTCCCCTGTGGCGCCGCAACCCTGAGGGTCAGCCCCTTTGCAACGCTTGTGGTTTGTTCTTGAAACTGCACGGAGTTGTGAGACCGCTGAGCCTGAAGACGGATGTCATCAAGAAGCGTAACCGTGGTTCGGGACCGAACGTATCCGGTAGCGGTGCGGGCACGAGGTCCAAGAAGAACGCTTCGGGGACAAACTCTGCCTCCGCATCTCGGAAGAACTCGTCGCTCGCGGTATCTGCGATGGCTAACAGTAGTGGCACGATGGGTAATTCCTCGTCTACCTCTACTAAACGCGGCGGTGGTGTTACCAGCAGTGAAGCCCCGTCGGCCGATGTTAGTCCCGGATCCAAAGCTACGGGAAGCACCGCCTCCACAAACTTCCAGGGGGCTGCTGGGGCTGTCGGAGGGAAAGGTGTCGTGCCCATTGCCGCAGCTCCCCCTAAGTCGACCCCTGGTCCTGGTGCGTCCTCTATCTCGAGGTCGATGTCGATGAGTTCAAAGCGCCAGAGACGGCATAACAAGAACGTCGATATCGACCTCTCGGGTGAAATGGATGTGGACAGCCCGGAGAACTCGACCGGATCCAATGAGGCTACTGGCAAGTCCACGTCTGGTTTAACCCACGCTCATAGTTCCGCCAGCCTAGGACTGGCGAGTGCCTTTGGCATGTCTCAGCGACCGATAGGATCCCAGAGTATGATCTCTATGGCCGGTGCTCGGCCATCAGGTGTCATGGGTAATCCCGCGGCGGGATCTTCTGGAGCGCAGGAGTGGGAGTGGCTTACGATGAGTCTCTAGACGGGAAGGCTGCCTCAACTCTTCTTTCTCTTGCTTGGACATCAATATGGAACCAAGTAGTAATAAGATAATGCACCCATGGCGCCAATATCTACTCTTGACTTCGAGCTGCAACCTCTTCCTCTATGTTGCTCTTTTTTATATCGCCATATGGTTCCGGTTGTCTTTTATTTTTCTTTCCTCTCTCTTACGGTTTATATGATAGACACGAGGTTTGCTTGATTTTCTGTTCTACTCATCGCCGTCACTGGAAGGAGGAATTGCGTTTATCGGAGGGCTTACGTCTGTTCTACTCCCGCATTTGACTCAAGGTCATGCTTGAGATCACTTTGCCGGACCCTCTATTGCTTTTGGTCTTTGTGTTCTTTTTTTTTTTTTGTCTCCTTTTATTTTTTTTCCGCTCCGTTTTCTCATGATGATACCTGGCCTATGGCACACCCTGATGCTGGATTTTGATGGTTGCTAATTTTGCTGTTGCCATCCATGGCTGGCCTTTGCACACACCCCCTCGTCCTTTATGCCTGCTGTTTCCTATCCATGTTCTTTATTAGATCTCTCTTCTTTTTTCTCACTCTTACGACCTGGGCTTGGGATAAAGACGAGGATCTCCTGGAGGCGATCGGGTTCATGTCTTCCTTCATGGGGTTTGGCTTTATATGGGTTATGGGGCTTCTTTTTTTTATGGCGAGAAGAAGGGTTGGGTAAGTGGGCGCTTGGGGCTGCCATACACACATACATAGTGGATGCGGATAATGACTTTTTCTACTTTTGATGAACTGAGGATCGCTTCTGTTCATACATATACACATAACATTTTCCGTGTTTTTATGGTTGTTTGCCTGCGAGACGAGCTTGCTCGGCGAGAGGGGAGGCCGGGAGGGCAGCGGACGGGCCCTGAGAGTTTCTACCTGCATGATACTTGGGAGTTTCCATGGCGCCAACTGGCTCGTTTTTCTCTTGATTCCCTTCCCTTCTGTTCGCTGGGGTTATAAGGGGTGGATGGTGTGTCGGGCGTTTTCAGACGAGTCGACGTTTTTTTCGAAGCTTGTTGGGAGCCCTTGCTTTGGGGTCTGCATCGTCAATATAACTGCAGAGGTTCTTCTTCTTCTCGTGAATCTGGACTGGTGTTGGCTATGTCTGAGGCCGAGGAGAGAGGACTTGATGGGTGTGGTTTCCTCTTTTATTCTCTCTTCTTTTCGTCTTCTCTTTTATTTTTCGTGTAGGTAGCTTTTCTTCCTTTTTCGGCTTATGAGCTGTTTATTGAGTTTTATATACCACAATTGAGACTGAATCTACTATTATCAGTTCGTTATAGCTCCTGGTTCGTACTTGTGGGATGAAGGGCGAGATCTGCTGTGGTCTTCACCTCGAACCAACCTGGGAGTGTCTGTCGAAGTGTAGAGTACGCCATCCTCAGCTGCTGTGTTGCACCTTTCTTAGGGGAGACTTTGACATTTCCCTAGAGTGTAGGTCCTCGAGTAAATGAAAGCCCATATCTCATCTACAGCTATCACAAACACCGAAGGGTACAGGGGTCGAGTCAGCATCGTGGCGGCAGTTACAGAGAACATTCAATACCTTGGATTCGAGGCAGCGTTCTATTCTCGAGGCGGGAAGGAAAGTTTCGGAGTAAAAGAGTTATACAGCAAAGCAAAAACACCAGAACCATCCGTTTGTTTGTCTTCACTAAAAAGAAACCGCGAGAGAGGTTTTTTCATGTTTGCATAAAAATGTTTCCTTTGTCCGAATGCCAACGCAAAATGATGAAAATCATGTCCATTAACCGGGTTCGCTCGAAGTTCCCCTCCCAATCCCTAAAGAAGTCCTTTTATCCTTTTTTGTTTTCCTCTCCCAACTCTTTCCTCCGTTTCCGGAGAGAAAGGAAGATGGGCATTTGAGTTTCTTTTCCACACACTTCTATCCTTCATTGGGATCCATCATTCCCCTCTTAATGGGGGTTAGGAGCCAGTGGTCACTTTGGGTGTGACATTCCGTAATCGAGGTAGAAGGTCTTTGTAGGTCGAACGAAAAGAGGTTTGGGGTTGAGTTTAAGCAGAGGGAGCGGGGTTCATCTAGAGATGGGTTAGCTGCCTGGTAGAAAGAGACGTATAGAAGAGTGGCTGGCGATATTTTGTTGGCGTGCCAAGATATTCCCTACCTTCCTCTTTCCACCGGTAAGAGTGACGTTGACGAAGCGACGGGTGTAGAGAAGTCGCTTGCGGGCACGACCCTTGGGGGTCTTCTTCTTCTCCTGGGGCTCAACCTGGAAGCGGAAAAAGAGTTGCGTCAGCCTTTGTTCATGAGATAGGTATTCCAATATCCACGGCGAATATCTCCGGATCATAAACCAGCCGCGAGCATATGATTGCATTGTTCGGAACTCTTTTTTCCCAGTGCGCGCGGCGTCCCCCCTTGCGACCATAGATCCGGCTCCTCCCAAATTTTTCCCCCTTTTGATTCCTCCGATGTGTGGGCGTTTAGAATGTCGACTAACCTTGGGGGTCTGAGACTTGACCTTTCCGGCACGAGCGAGAGCTATCGACGAAATCCCATCAGTATAAACGAGTCAAACGATCGAGGGGAAGAGGTTGGTCGATGACGGTGAAGACGAACATCCGTGAACCTTGCTATAATCCCAACCAACGTCAGCATTTGTTTCTCAATTTCTCAGCAGCATTTCGCCCCGCCACAAAGACTTCGTATCCATGACCAGGAAAAAAAAAATGAAATATCGCAAAAAATTCGAAAACTTACCCCATTTTTGCTGATTTTTTGATCGAAATTGGCGATTGACAGTTGGGGTTGTCGAAAAGTGTCGTTGATGAAAAGAGGAGGGTCGATCGGGGTGCGTCGATGTGTGGCTCTGGTGAAAATGAAGATTTTGGGTCAGTGGACTGGTGCCACTGAGGGCTTCGGGGGGAGTGTGATCACGTGTTTTGTGGGGGGGTCCTGAGGTTAAATGGAGGACTGAGGCTGCGGTGATTGGTTGATCGGTGAGGGAGTCATACATTGGACCGTGTGGGGTGTGGCGCCAGGTAACGTTCAAGCCACAGTCTGTTTCTTTGTATGCACGTTATGACACACTGTACGGACATCCTCGACTTGGAATGGTTGGATTGGGGAACTTCACTTCCTCCGATTCGCCGAAGCGACGACGAAGTCGAGGACTGCATTCATTCCCTTCTCGCATTTCATTTTTTTGTCAACTCTAACTAGCAATCTTACCGGAAGCAAAAAAGTAGCTGAACAACGAAACCCTTGAAGAGTAGCTGAAAACCGCCAATTCCTCCCCCATCGAAACCTCTCACCAACCAACCAACACTTTTGATCTTCCCTCAGGTTCTTTACATGAGTCCAACTACACAGAGCATGGCACCGAGGAGAGCACCCGTGACCTTGACGCTCACCATCGAACCACCAGAGGAATCCCCCGAGCTAGAACCAGTAGCAGCAGCCGCAAGCCCAATCGTCCTAACAGTAGTTACATCATCACTAACAGCCTGCTCAACGGCATACACCTGATTCGTCGACCCGGCCTGCTCGACCGTCGTAGTAACGGTAGTGTACTGCCATCCCGGTCCCAAACTACTCCAGAACCCATCTCCACCGAGACCTCCCCAGAAGGGGAATCCCCAACCATTGCCGTCCCAGGGACAGCCCGTGACGACCACCTCGCCGGTCGGCCACGTCTTGGTACCGCGCCATCCCGCGCCGAAGGGCCAGTCTTGGTCGGGAGTCTGGTACGTGTAGGTGTAGGTGCCCGTGCTCGAGCAGGATTCGTATTTGCTGCAGAGGGAGCTCGAGCGATCCGAGTAGCTCTTGTATTCGTCTGCTTGGGACGCGCAGGCGGAGGAGATGCAGGTGCGCAGTGGGGATCCCTCGTCGCAGAAGGCCGAGGGAGTAGGCGTGGCTGTCTCCCAGTAGGAAGAGACGCAGTCCTTCTATGGTGGAGATTAGCGTTTTCGTTTCTATAGGCGGGGAGAGATGATTTCGTATGGTTCTATACTTACAGCGCAGCCGGAGCCGCCCGACCCGAAGGGACCTCCTCGTCCATAACCGCCGCCGTAACCACCGCCGCCGTTGCCTCGTCCGAACGGAGGATTGCGAGGCTCGACATGGTGATCGTGTGCGAGCACCAGCAAGGCTTGGGCAAGTGCCGCTAGAGTAAAGTACACCTTCATCTCGTGATTGGCAGTTTCGCTGTTTGGGAGCCCGTTCTAATATTGAGCGTATTCGTATAAAAACTAGTCGATGTCCTTGTAAGAAAGACGGAGTAGGCTGGCGATTTGTGATATAGGATTAAGAAGTCACCCTCTCTCTCTTAGCATGTGCGTGAAGAGCGATGAAATGGGTGAAACTCGCGGAGATGAGGGGTCTTATTTATACTACAGTGTCTCGCAACCAAGTCCCAAGCGGCGCGGCCTCACATTGACCTTTGACCCGGCGACGTCAGACACCTGCAGGGAGGTGACGCATCATCACCCTCCTCTCCTTGTAGAAACAGGGTATGCGAGACACAAGACGATGGAAACAGGGTCCTATCTGCGTACAATTCTCGGTCCCGAGAGGTTGCCATGCGATAACTAGGGGAACACGTATATTCCCCACCCTCACTATGCGCACTCGGCTCTACCCTTGGGAAAGAAAGGAACAGGACATGCAGCCGAGCTGATGCAGTGAAATCTTCCCAATAATATCGTTCAACATTCAAATCGAGGCAACTCTAATCTATCCCGATAGCAGTCGTACAAGCACGGCAATGGTTGCGTTTTGGTGGTCAGCGCAACTGTATTGCATTTGCAAAGCCGCGCGGCCTTTACCTTTGAGTCCGGCAGATCATCGTTTTGTAAGCCTTTTTTCCCTTCTGTTCGTTGTTATGGTGTGCGTATTTTGGTATTGCCTGGTTGTTTCTCGCCGGGACTTGGTGAGAATAAACCGTCCGGCCGGAGAGGGTTGGGGAATGCCGGAGGCTGGTCATTTTCCCCACATCTTTGGTTTGCGAAGGCTGGAGGATGTCTTTTCTTGGCGTTTGGATTGATGAGAAACCAGCAGGGTCGGTTTTCCATTCAACAGCACTATCAAAGGATACTCGGACATTGTCTCAGCTGCTTATGGGGGGACTAGCTCGTGGTTGGATCGCGGCGGGAACAGACTACAGTCAGATATAGCCATTCTACCAAGTGCGCTGAGGAGTTTGAAAGGTATCTCCTGCGTCTATTGCTTTCAAGAAGCATGGCAGTTGATGGGAATGTCTTGCAAGGACAGTCCTGCTGTGAAACAACCTTATGTTGAGGTTTGGGACTGACCTTCACACGGCAACTCCGTCTCACAAGGGCACGGCTCGAATTTCGTGAATTCATTACTTACGCGTACCTTAGCAGTTCGTCAATTACCGCCTTTTCTTCATTGTGGGATAAGACCTCATTGTGGAAGTGTGGTACGGCATCGCGCTTTTCCAGACACAAACATCCCTGGCCACGATGAGCGCCTCAACTTCTATCTAATCCCTCATAATCTCAGCTCCCGTCATGATTATAAAACAACTGCAAGAAAGACATACACCTTTCTGCGAACTGACCTACAGCCCTGCGGTGAGCTATGAGTCGTTGACATGTTCGGGAATGTCGCCCCACCGTTCCCAATTTTCTCTCTCTGCGTAGCCGCGCAATCTCTGCTAGCTTCACCCGTTGTGGACGCCGAACCGTAATCAAGGACGTTTCGAAATCATCCCGGTTCATCATGACAGTCCTCATTGCAAACGATTCTCGGAATAATAACAGGAAATGGTGTATCCGGTGTACTATGATCTATATGCTCTATGAAGCAAGTCAAATAGACGAGCAGGACACCGAGGGCGCTGTCGCCAAAGAGAATTAGTCCGTATCAACGAGGACAGTTAATATTTTTGTCTTGTCACTTAAAGCCACATCAAGTTGAGTGAGGTCACCGCATTTACGGCCATGGACCGGACACTGGTCATTGCTTCATACGATCTACTCAAGCCCATAGTGAGATCCCGTTTTGTGGAATAATCATTTAAAGTCGTACACGAGGATTCTAATAACTGTCCTTATAATATAACACCCACAACCGAGATGGTTCTAGAAGACTCCTAAACGAACAGATAAGCAAAATTCAATATAAATCTACCATTTCCCCCTCAACCCTTCTTTTACAGAGGTAAAAGAAATAAAACTAGAAGAAAAAAAATAAGTTAGCATTAAAGATTTATATAGTAAGCGAGAGCCTTAGATACTTATTCTTCGCGTTAATATCAGCGGTACCCATCATCCTCCACATGGATATCGACCCTGCCTGTAGCGAGGAGCAGCCTGACGACAGCCTCGTGGCTGTTTTCGGAAGCCCGGAATAGTGGTGTCCGGCCAAAGTCATTCACGTCAACATCGACCTTGCCCGTAGCGAGGAGCAGCCTGACGACAGCTTTATGGCCATTTTTGGAAGCTAATGATAGTGGTGTCTGGCCAAAGACATTCACATTGACATTGACCTTGCCTGTGGCGAGGAGCAGCCTGATAACAGCCTCGTGGCCATTTTCGGAAGCTAATGATAGTGGTGTCTGGCCAAAGACATTCACATCGACATCGACCGTGCCTGTGGCGAGGAGCAGCCTGACGATAGCCTCATGGCCGTTTTTAGAAGCCCGGAATAGTGGTGTCTGGCCATTCTCATCCTTCACATTGACATCGACCTTGCCTGTAGCGAGGAGCAGCCTGATAACAGCCTCGTGGCCATTTTCGGAAGCTAATGATAGTGGTGTCTGGCCAAAGACATTCACATCGACATCGACCTTGCCCGTGGCGAGGAGTAGCCTAACGATAGCCTCATGGCCGTTTTCGGAAGCCCGGAATAGTGGCGTCCGGCCATTCTCATCCTTCACATCAACATCGACCTTGCCTGTGGCGAGGAGCAGCCTGACGACAGCCTCGTGGCCATTTTCAGAAGCCCGGATTAGTGGCGTCTGGCTAAAGTCATCCTCCACATCGACATCGACCTTGCCTGTAGCGAGGAGCAGCCTGACAATAGCCTTGTGGCCATTTTCGGAAGCCCCGAATAGTGGCGTCCGGCCATTCTCATCCTTCACATCAACATCGACCTTGCCTGTGGCGAGGAGCAGCCTGACAACAGCCTTGTGGCCATTTTCAGAAGCCCGGAATAGTGGCGTCCGGCCATTCTCATCCTTCACATCAACATCGACCTTGCCTGTGGCGAGGAGCAGCCTGACAACAGCCTCGTGGCCATTTTCAGAAGCCCGGAATAGTGGTGTCCGGCCAAAGTCATTCACGTCAACATCGACCTTGCCCGTGGCGAGGAGCAGCGTGACGACAGCCTCGTGGCCGTTTTCGGAAGCCCGGAATAGTGGCGTCCCGCCATACTCATCTTTCGCATCGATATATCTGCACTCGTAATTATTCTGATCCAAATCCAAAGCTGTTTTTAATAGCCCCGAGATATTATACATCGACATGACATGTATTAGGGTTGTCCCTAGTGGTGCATGATAACGAGAAACATCGGTAATCCAATAATGAACACGAACCCATCGCTCCATGAGGTCATTAGATGGCCAAGCAAACAATTCCAGAAGATCATTTTGAGCGATGCCTCTATCATCGCACTGCTTTGTATGGGCCACCCACGAGGTCGCAGCATAGTGCAAAAGAGGAAAGTCGCCATGCCCCAAGGATTTTGACTGGCCGATTTCCTCCATTGCAAGGTAGGTTATGCAAACTCTGGACAATCGGTAATGGGCCATCCCGATTGCTGCATCGGCCGACGTTATGCCATCATGGAGAAATAGCAGGCCATTGTTGTCGATGAAGAAGTCTTTGACGGATTGGTGGATAAACTGGACAACTGGCACCGCGCCTGTACCTGCAGACGAGGCAACAACTTCGGCAAGACCGCAGCTGAGCGTCTCGACTTGTTTCTTTATCCTGGCATTGTTGGATAGGAAACGCCGTGAGTTCCGGTATGCCTTTAGTTGCTTGTACCTGCAATTATCCTCAGCGCCGATAACCAAGGCCCACCGGAGCTCGTCTAATGTCAGCGGCCGGGTGGCAAAGCAGATCCATTCGATCAGCTTCAGAGAGTCCAAGTTCATATTCCGAATGAGGTCCCGATATAATTCATGGAGGCTCTGGGGGAGCTTGTAGATTTCTTCTTCGATCCTCTCTAGGGTCTCGCCCTTTCGATCAAGGGCCAGGACCTGCTTCACTACGAGAAACGCCCACATAAAAAGGCCGGAGGCACGACGCACAATTAAATTTGGAATTGAACTTGAAGCGAGGTCGGGCGAACGTTTCGTAGAAATCCGGGCCCGCACATAGGTGTCGATGTCCTGCTGATTTTCCTCTTCGGGGCAGATTTTAAGTTCGCAGTTCGCGTCGAGGACCGGATAGTGGCGGCATGCGACGCATATGCGAGTCTGTGAACTTACCGACACCAGATCTTCCAGCCATTCGAACAGTTTCACCGCGTTCTCTTCACCACACTCGTCCAAGGCGTCCACAAATAACCAAACTGAGCGGCTCTCAGGGACTTTTTGCAGAGATGTCGTGAAAAAGGTCCGCAGTTCGTTATGATGCCACTGCCACTTTTCACCCACAGTGCCTTTCTGTCTCTGGTTTTTGTCAAAGGCGTGAACGAGGTCTGAGAGTGTGCTGGGGGCCTCGCTAAGGAGTTGATGGAGAAGAGAGCGATAGAGGCCGAGCGGGGTTTTTTGGAATTCGTTACCGCGGCCATGGAAGAAGAATGAAAGAACAATGTCACTTGCTTTCACTTCACAATGCCCGAGGGCATATTTGAGCAATGTCGACTTCCCAGAGCCAGGCTTCCCCTTGATCCAGAGTAGTCCTCCTCGGTCATCAGTCGCCCAGCGCCGATACTTGTGGTGCCGAAGCAGCCATTCACATGTCCCCTGAGCGGCCCAACTAATATCATTGGATCGATCGTCCATTTGCGGAAAGGCTAGCGATCTAAGACAATCTTGCAAGATCTGTTGATCAAGTTCGGGTTCAGGCAGATGCGAGACTTTCAAGTAATTAGTTTAAGTGTAGTAGTTAATGGTAAGCCATATCCACAGGGCCTCACCTTTCTCATCTGCCGGCAAGGTTAATAACAGCTCCTTTGCATAGGAGGCTGCTGTAGCTGCAGCATATTTCTGCCATTTCTTGTTCTTGTGCGAGTCCGCATAATCGCAGACTCCGCGGATCACCAGAGCCTGCCAGGCCCCCATCACACTAGCAGATTCCATTTCAAAGCAAATAATTTCATGGGTTTTATAGAGCTCATTACGCTTCTCGCTTGACATAATCAGTGTGTTGCTTGAACCGATAATGCCGTAATGGATGCGAGGAGAGTCTTTTTCCCGCTGGGCGTCTTCGCCTCGATCGCTTCGGCTTCGTCCTCGTTCAGATACACAACATCTATCGCAGGTCTTTTCTATGTCCGGATGGAGGTAATCGTCTGGAAAGAGAATGTCATGTTCAGGTCCGGGATCATCGAAATTCGGCGCTTCCTTTTTCCCAAGGTGCTGTCGCAGGTTGCGTAGAATGTTCGGTATGTCTGTACCGTCGGTCATATGTTCGGATTCGAGGCTAGCCACCGCAGCGAGCAAAGCAGGAGACGGAGAGAGTGTATGCCCGCTAGGGTTGAACTCGTTATTCCCTTGCCAGGCGCCGAAGTTGTAATGTGCCACGCCCCCTTCATTGCCTCTTGGGCGGCTAACGACAACGTCTCCCAATACAATTTGCTTCATATCTGGGCCATACTCGGGCATCCCTCCTGCTATTCCAACGATGAGAACGTGTTTTATTTTTGGAAAGAAAATGCGCATGTGCGTGAGGACCACAGCAGCTATATCGGTACCAATTCTCGGGCAAACAGTCATCACAACCCAGTGGGCGCCGATTTGCCCTACATGGTAAAGAGTCTCATTCTTCGAGACCTTTTTGCGGTTCTCCAGTATAGCAAGGGCGGGTGTGAGTTCCAACGCCATTGGAGCGATCCATCCAACAGTGATCTTTTCTTCGTATGAGAAGGCCATCTTCGACTTGCGCTGATCGGGCAGGGGCCGGGGCTGATTCTGTCACTCTAGCGGTCAGGCTCAACCATGATGCCAACGTAGACTATGGATCGACAACGCAGTTCTAAAGGCCGTCAGAGCCATAGTCATATTCCGGGTCTTTCATGGAAACTGTCAGGAGTCGGCGTTGTGGTAACTGGTTGGTAAAGTGAGGGGTTCGCGAGGCTGGCAGATGCCCAACGCACGGTCGTTCCGGGCTCTCTCTCTCTCTTTGCCCATGGCCAGGCTACACCACGCTTCCCGCCTGCACAGCCCTCGCTCCGCCTCATTTTCTGCATAGCATGTGGCTAGGCGAGCTGTAATAGAACAATTGGTGGGCATTTTCCGATTCTCAAGTTGCTTGCTGCCTTGAGCTCCTAGATGATTTGCACACCCATTATTATAAAAGAAGAACTTGTGTAGAGGCTCTAGAATTTCGGGTTTTTATCTTTTGCGCTCTCCTGCTTCTTTTCTCTTTATAGTTAGCGACGTCAGTCTTTGGTTCTGCGCAGTGGTCGAGAAACGAGAAATCCTTTGAGGAATTAGAGCAAGGGAGGAAGAATTGAGTGAGGTCAAAAATAAGGTTGTTCAGTGTTGCCTCAGGATTCTCGGGGATGGAGGTTGGAGGTTAGACAGTCCATTGTCCTGTCCAGACTCGGATGGAGCACAGTTACGGACGCAGTCAAGCTTTGACTCGGTTCACCATGACATAGCCCATAGCCCATACCCATCCATGCCCGTCATTATCCCTTCCACTGATCCATCGCAATCAATTTTCCAACCATTGAAAATGAAATATGGCTGATCCTGATACTACGAGAGTTCCTTCGCTGTGGGACCGTACTCTTGATACTCCAGAATTCCACCAATACCTCGACCACCTCCCATTGAAGCAGCTATGCGGTATCTGCAACGGCGCCATCGCCAAAGGCGACATCTGCGTGGGCCGTGAGTTTCTTGACATCGGTCCATCTTCGGTTGGCGACGCATCTTATTGAAATTATTTTGTTTTTAATCGAGCATAGTGATAAGTAATGCCATGGCGACTTCTCTCTGGAAGCGCACAGAGCCATTCGTTGTCCCGGAACCCTTTGAGCGCGTCAGTTCCATCCACCGTTGGCTCATCTGCGCTCGGCGACGATGCCCCCAATGTGATAAGAAGCCGAACACCGCCACTGTTCACCTTGAATGCTTCGAGATGTTGAGGCGTGCATACACTTCCCGCACCGCGCCCGACCGTCTGTTCAGGCACGCAGCTTGGAGACAGCCCTCTGCGCGCATGTCTTGCCTAGGCCTTCCGGAAACTACGCACATTCACCTTTCAGTCGTTTCCGTGGTCTCTGAGAAGTACGGCTTGCCGGGACTCACTAAACTCCCGCAGGAGATTCTCCAGATCATCCGGAATTACTCTGCCTCCGCCATTTCTGGAGATATGTTTCCGGTCTGGACCTCGCTGCCCGACTCGCCGAGACCCCGGATCCGGATCCGGAGGAGGAACGCCTCGAAGTCCCTTTACGTGAGGTCGTGAGGTGGGAACGCGGGACGTCGAAACCTGAAGTGTCTAAGGGGCCTCTTCCTGTTATTCGGCTTACTATTGATTCGCGAGGCATTCGGAGGGTTGAGAGCTTCACTGAAGAGCAAGCGAGATACCGACACGAGAGATATGATGATCGGCTTTTCGTTGTGCAGGGTACATCTGATGCCCAGTTAGAAGGCATCACTGCACTGTTCCAGGTATCTCCATCAAAGCTTTGCTCTGCGGAGAGAGGCCCCCTGTGCCGCTCAACCATGAAGCCACATGCTAACTAGGTATTGAAGGACGGTTTGATGCGCCTTCGCATCCCCCAATGGCAATCCAATCTGCACCTGTGGGATCTTCCAACTCCGCCAACCTTTCCGGCGTCTATACCGCAAGGGGATGAATCAGCTCCCCGGGTTGTCCAACTTCTCCAGGAACCCCGGGAAAAGGACTCTCGCTCGTACAGCATCGACCTGAACGCAGTCACTGGCGTCACTTTTTTCTTTGCAAACTACCTGGGGATGGTTTACATTCACGGCCACACGCGCGACCGGCCATATGCTTCGATCCCATCTGGTCTATCTCCCAATGGCATGTGTTGGCTCTATGTTCCGATATCAAAGAATGACCGAATTCTGTCTCTCGACTTGAGAAGCCGAGACTCGGAGTTCCCTATGAAATGGCCCTCGATACTGGTTTGTTCTCACTAAACGCAGCATTCTTGAGATCTCAAGCCTCCCAGATCCTTCTGACGTTACCCAGATGCGCACCGAACTCACAGGCCAAAACATCTTTGGCACATTCCTAAGAAGCGAGTTTCCCATCTACTCCCTCGGCACAACACCAACAATGCTCTTCTTCACCCGATCGTCGCTCCTCGGCCACATTACACGAATCGGCACCGTATCAAGCCCGACAGCTTCCCGAGTCGCCCCCTCTTACCCCCTCCCAACCGCCGAGGACATCGTCCCCAACTTCCTAGCCATGGACCACCTCGTAAAATTCTCCTCCGCACCCCTCAACGGCGTCAAAACCGCCAGCGTCTTCCACCAGGACAGCCAGCCTGACGCCTCCTGCCTCGGCATCCTCTTCGACTACGAAAACGGCGGCAAGCGCGCCGTGGGCCAGTGTAGGCTCGGCCTCGACTACTACCGCGTGTACGAACGCCCTACGCACGTGTGCGTTCGGAATATGCTGCATCTCCCCGATGGCGAACCAGAGCTTCAGTGGACTGTTAAGGCGCAGTTCTCGAGGGGGAAGGATCATTTGCATGAGGGTGAAGGGAGGGATATACACTGCTTTGAGTTGAGGGATAATATTCTAGATTTTTGGTTTACGGCCCGGGAGTTTTGTATAGAGATTAGAAGGCAGGATCAGGCGCCTGGGAGCAGCGAGTGGAACTCGCATGCTTATGCTATCTCGACTAGCTGAGGGAGACTGAACTTACGGATCAAACGCTGGGAGATGCTGATGATGACACTGAAATGCTGATGATGACACTGAAATGAAAAGAAACACCTTGATTATAATAGCCTACATCTCTAATGTGCCTATCGCGGCAAAACAACTTCTACTCTCGCACAACAAGGGGAAGAACAGAACCAGGACGTGTTCTTATCCTGCCGGGCTTCTTCTTTTCTTGTCGTTTTTCTCTTCGTCGAACCCGCCCCCCTGCACTCGAGACATGTTTCTTCTTCTTTTCCTTCTTTTTCTCGTTCCCTTTTGCAAACAGGGCGAAAAACAAAATAATAACAAAACAGAAACGGAAGCCCCCCCCTTCATAATTCTTTTTTCCCAACTCCAAGCCACACAACGGAAGAAAGTGCGATGCTGAATGCTAGTAACAAAAACTCAAACAAACAAAAGAGGCTAGGAAAGGAGAAGAGAAAGAAAAGACATAGAAGACAATAGGCTGGTGTACGGATGAGACCCATAATATAAAGACGAAAGAGAACGTAACGTCCTTCTTTCCGTTCTATCAAGTTTCTCCTTCAACCAACCCACCTCTAAAACAAGCCATGTCGGCCCCTCGTTGCTCCGCCATACCGAGATCCCAGACCAATCCCCCTAGGTCGACAGCACGCCGAGAGCGACGACGGCTTACTCTAGAGCATCGTGCCAAACGTACCATCGAGGGGGATCGGCTTACGAGGACTGCTGTTGCCACCGCCGCCGTCTTCGCCCTGGGGTTTGCGATGGCGGAACGTGAAGCCGACAAAGAGGCTCTTGCTCATCTCTTCCTCGCGCTCCGCCATGGTTTCGAGCGCCTGCTGCTTCTCGTGGACCTCCTTGTACTTGGCCATGTCGGCCTCGTTGCTGAAGTCGTCGAAGTAGCCAGCGTCGGTCTCGGAGTCCAGCTCCGGTACGAAGGGCGCGCGGGTCTCGCGGAGCGTGTCCCAGTCTACCTCGGCGAAGTAGTGGTGGTCGTAGATGTCCTTGATGTTGGAGAATCGCCTGGACCGGGATTGAATGCAACTGTGGGCGAGTGTTAGTAGAGACGGCGCTGGCGTCGTGAAATAGATGAACCCCCCCCCCCCCCCTTCCCCCCCCCGGCAAAAAAAAAAAAAAAACTTACGTAGTAATAAAGTTCCAAGTTCTGTTGCTCAGGAAATAATTGGGGTCCTCCCAAACGGGCCTCCTCAGAACCTCCTTCCAGTGCTTCAGGTTCCTCCAAGTCTCATCAGGAGTAGAACCAGCAAAAGGCGGGAACCCAGTCAGAGCCTCGAACAACATGCATCCGAGACTCCAATAGTCCACAGTAAAGTCGTACTCCTCACCGCGCAGAACCTCGGGGGCCATGTAGTCCGGGGAGCCGACAATAGACCTCGCGTAATTGACATCCTTTTCTCGCATCGATCGGTATCCCTCCCGACGTTCGGCCACGGTCCTCTGGTCCATGGGCTTCCCGAAGGGTACCGATGTTTCCGATGCCTTCTCGAGGCGGACTCGCATAGACTCAATTTTGGCAGGGGACAGCATTCCCGCCGCCAGACCGAAATCGGTCAACTTGACATGCCCCGTAGAATCGACCAGGAAGTTCTCAGGCTTCAGGTCGCGGTGGATGTATCCTAGCTGGTGCAGGGCGTCGACGGCGCAGAACATCTCGGCAATGTAGAAGCGCGCGTGGCGGTTGGAGAGGACTCCGGTGTTGTTGAGCAACGTTCGGAAGTCACCACCAGGTACGTATTCCATGGCAAGATAAATATTCTTGTCATCCTGGAACGAGTACAGAAGCCTCACGAGCCACTCACTCTTGGCCGTTGTCAGGATATCTCTCTCCGTGAGCACATGGCGGATCTCGTCGAGCTTGAACAGCAGTTTCTTGCTCATGACCTTGAGAGCGCAGACCTCACGCGTATCCTTCTTCTGGGCGAGGAAGACTTGGCCATAACCACCCTGGCCGACCTGGGTGAGGATCTGGAAATCTCCCTGTCGAAGGCGAACGCGGCGTTTACGTAGATTGGCACGCTCTCTGCCAGTATACTTGTGCCACATTTGTTCATATGTCTCCTTGTCCGTCTCAGGTGGAGCAGGGTATTCCGCCTTGAAAGCATCGAGACGGCTCTGTCGGGAGCCTACGTAGGTAAGGAGATCAAAGTAGTAGTCTAGGAAATCTAGACGCAACGAGTACGTTAGTATGCGTCACGATTCGACAAAGCGGGAGTAGGTATACGTACAGAGCTGCGTCACATTGACTAGTCTTCGAACATTTGGCTTTTGGAGAATCTCAAGCTCCTCCGGGGTAAGTCCTCGGGAGGTGTTAAACTTCTTCGCAGGGGTAACTGGCCTACTCGAGTGATAGAGCTCGTGTCTCGAAATCGCTGCGTGATTGTGGTGGTGAGAAGAGTCAAAGACACCCAGACGCGAAGGAGGTGGCGTATTCTCCTGGCCTTGCTTCTTGAGGGGACTGGTATGCGAAGCTACCCCAGTCTTGTGGATGATACTATCATCGGAGATCGAGATCGAGGTATCCTCGAGAGGCTGAACGTTGCTCTTCCCGGGGGATAGAGGCACCACGCCGCTGTGGGGTCGGGTGAGTTTGACAGGAGTCTCTAAAACCGGCGCATTGAGTTTCAATGCATTATCAAAGACACTGGATAGATCGAAAGCTCCAGGAACCGTAGTTTTCTTGCTTGGGCTGCCCTGGGGCGTGGAAGCGGGGTCGAGGAAATCGTGTTGTCCTTTGGCCGGCGTAGTCGGTCGAGGTGAGATATCAAGGGCAGCAGACTTATCGCCTTTGCTGCCGCCAGACAGCAGATTCGTCATGAAGTTGGCCATTTTGAGGCTCTGCGCGCCTGTTACTATGATTGACTCGTCAGCGGTCTGGGTTCGGCTGCAGGGTAACAACACAAGCATATTTCGGTGATAGGTTTAGGACAGTGCTGCAAGAGATGCCAAATGCAGACGAAAAGCTCGAAAGGACCTACCACTATTTCGAGAACTTGAAGATGCGATGGCTGTTTCCTTCCCATGCAGGGATCAGAAGGAGGGTAGTCTGGTCTGGAGGTTTCCGCAGTGTGGTGTCGATAATAAAAACGTATCGATGGAGTAATGCTACTTTAAGATTTCGTGCATATCACGACCCTGCCAGATGCAAGTCCGATGTAATGGCTGTCGAAAATCGAGGAGGGTTCCTCTTCGGTTGGCTGGAAAACAAAGAGTTGTTTTGTCTCTGGATGCAAGAAGACAATAACAACAAACGTCAGCGTCACTCGAATGTACTTCGCGTCTTACGGAGAAGATTGCGCTCGGCCTGCGGAAGGAATAACCGTGCCTGGACCTGAATCAATCGAAACAAAGCCCAATGCAATTTCTCAGACATCAATCAAACTGGTGGTAGCGCATTGTAGTGCCTCGTCACACAATGGGGGCCCCAATAAAGAGCTCATCCTCAGTGTTTAGCGGTGTTGTACTGTACAGTGGGCTGGTGCGGGGCAATTTTCCTTGCGAAAATAGTCAACAACCAAACACCGTTGCAGCAGCAACAGCAACAGTGATCAGTGCTGGCTGCCAAGTGGGGCGTCCCCAGCCTGAGTGACAGGGATTTTGATTAAGACATTTATCCTTATCTCCACGTGATGATAGGCCGTGAAGCCGAATCCATCATCGATTTGAATCTCTAGATCCAGCCCTGGAGCTTTCCAGGCTAGTGGCAAGGCAAACAGTTCTACTCAACGCGATTCCCAATTATTATCGAATACCAAATTAAAAACCATTCGAATTTCTGCCACATAGTCGCAATGAACAAGGAACGCGGGTACAACCCCGTGCAGGCCCAGCGCAAAGCAGATAAGGCAAAGGCCATAAAGAAAGGCAAGAGGACCCGTTCTTAACCGGCTTAGGCTTCGAAGCTTCGCTCGAGTGCAGTAGTTTTAACAAAGTGTTGCTTTGCATAGGCCGGGCCGAAGTTCAGGCGAGGAGAAACGAAAAGCTCGCGCGACGAAATCCTCACCGGATACAAAAACAGATCGATGACCTCAAAGCGATAACGGAAAATGGCGGCAAGCTTACGCGCCACGAGGAGCAAGTGTTAGAAGGACTAGAAAAGGAATTCCGTGCAGTTACAAAAGCGAGAGAAGCCCTCGGAGATGCAGCCCCAGTCTTCAGAGCACCCAGGGAGGGCGGGGACCAAGGCGTGCTGGGAAAGAGAAGACGCGGCCGCTACTATTCTTCAAGCGATGAGGATGTTCCCGAAGATGTGAAGCGAATCCCAATGCCCCGAGATACTCCGCCTCCGATACCCAAAGAGATTATGGATAAGTGGTGGGCGAAGAGGAGAGCGAGGAGGGAGGCAGAACGCGCAGAGGCTGGGGAGATAGCACCACCTCCAGCAGCGAAGAAGGACGAAAAAGCCCGGCCAGCTCCACCCACAGAAGAAAAGACGGTGTACGAAGCCAAACCAGTGGTTCGAGATTTACGGAAAGAAGCTGTCAAGGCCTTCGTGCCTACGTCGGTTATGATGAAGATGAAAAAGGGCAAAGGTCAGGGGGGTCTGATGGAGCCCGAGGAAGCCGACCGCCTCGAGAAGGAGGGATATTTGAAAGCAGCAGCGGCGCCAAATGAAGCAGGATCGACGTCCGCTGTCGGTCCTCAAAAAGTCAGCGTGGAGGAGGTCGAGGACGAGGACCAATAATATGCTTAATGATGTGCATATGGCAATTGCTGTCTCTCCACCAACTCCAGCAGCAGACAGCAGGCCGCGGGAAAAAAAAATTGAAAAAAAAAGCAAGACAAACATGTCATGTCTGGAACCCCGCCCATGTGAATTCGAAATCGGGAAGTCGGTGCGGTCTCTGTGCATAACGGGGTGCGTTCTTAGTCGTCATTCGCTCGCGAAGTTACACCACCGTCCGATGGCACATCGTGCATTTCGAAGGGCGTCGGACTGCGATTCGGAGCGGGAAGAGCATCAATGGGCCATTCTGGACTAGGAAATTTCCAATTGTGGCTAGCAAAGGGGGGGGAGGTGGCGTCCTCCGAAACGCAGCAGCGAAGCCCTGTCAGGAGACGCGAGAGGCCGGAAGGCCGGAATTAGTGGCCGGAATTAGTCCCGGAAGGACAGCCGAGTGTCGGCAGCGTAGAGTTCGGGCCTTCGCCAATCGCCATTGGTTTCCTGTTCGGTCATAGGGTCGAGAGAGTTCTGGAAGACCCAAAAGGACCAGGGAATCCTTCAAGGTTGCCTTGGCCCCATGTCGTTCTTGGTACGTAATAGTGGGCCGCTAAATCGAAGGCTCGTATGAAGTAGTTATACTGTAACCGGACAATGGAGTTGCCTCTCCACTTGAACTCAACATTGAACCAACAATTCCGACCTCCAATGGACTCCCATGCCCAGCACCCCGGCCTCGTGGTTCGGCAACTGACGGCCCCCTCTGCCACCGTTGAATTTTGGTGTTGGCTCCCCATTTCTAAGCTCAACTTCTTGTGCTAGTATGACTCCACCCCTAGTAATTTTCACTTAAATCCTGTGTATAAAGCCCACCTTCTTTTCCATTTGCCTCTACCATGTCTGGGTTTGACTTGACAACCCACACTAATTACTCGCTCAGTCCATTGTAGGACTTCTGATACTCTCGCTCGTTCAGAATGACTGCCATTGACAATGTGAGTGAGAAAGGTGTCCAGCCCGGACTCCCGCAGCAGGGGCAGAGTGGTCCTGCGGCGCGGCCCGAGGCGGAAAAGTCCGAAGAGAAGAAGGGATCGGCACCCCTCGACCAAGCTCAGCAGCCAGCGTCGTCAGGAGAAACAGACACTGAACTTGGATCGGTCGAGAATGGAGAGGACGATGAGGATGAAGAATATCCCGAGGGAGGGTTGGCTGCGTGGCTTGTAGTTTTAGGCTGCTGGCTCGCTCTGCTCTCATCTTTGGGGATCATGAATACACTGGCAACGTTCCAAGCCTATGTCTCGACCCATCAGCTTGCCGAGCATAGTAGTGGCCAAATTGGCTGGATATTTTCCCTATACACGTTCCTCGCCTTCTTCTGTGGCATCTACATTGGTCCAATCTTTGACAAGCATGGCCCGCGATGGCTCATCTTGGGAGGCACAGTTACACAGCTAGCCAGTCTTCTTGGTCTCAGCTTTAGCACGAGTGCGTAGTGTCTTCCTCCCTCACCTATCTCTCGCCTTTTTTTCTACTCCTCAGTAGTTTTGAAATCTCATGCGCTTGTTACTAACTGGCCGCTCTCTCTCCCGCTTTTAGAATACTGGCATTTCATCCTCTCCTTCGGAGTCCTTGCCGGATTTTCGTCATCGTTAATCTTTACCCCCTCGATCGCTGCCGTCGGTCATTTCTTCAAGCGGAGGCGCGCGTTCGCAACGGGAATAGCCTCCACGGGAGGCTCGATCGGAGGCATCATCTTCCCTCTCATGCTCAACAGTCTATTTGAGCGTGTCGGCTGGGGATGGGCCGTTCGCATCCTAGCCTTCCTATCGTTCACTCTCTGTGCAGCGTCGAACTTTCTTATTAAATCCCGTCTCCCACCCGCCCTGAATGCCAACGTGCACCCCGACATCCGAATCTTCAAGAACATTACCTTCCTATGGACGACAATCGGCATCTTCCTACTCGAGTTCGCGCTCTTCATCCCCCTCACCTACATTACGAGTTACATGCTACACAAGGGGTTCAACGACAACTTCTCCTTCAACATGCTTGCGGTCCTCAACGCAGGATCGGTCTTTGGCCGTGCGCTCCCGGGCTGGTGGGGAGACAAGTTCGGCCCTTTCAACTCCAACATGCTCGCCATCGTCCTCGCCATCGTCGCGTGTTTCGCCATCTGGCTGCCTGCGGGCCACACGACAGCGGGTATCATCTTCTTCATGCTCCTGATCGGCTTTTCGAGCGGCAACAACATTAGCATCAGTCCCGTGTGCATCGGCCGGTTGTGCAAGACACAGCACTATGGGCGCTATTATGCTACGACTTATACCCTCGTGGCGGTGGCATGTCTCGTCAGCATTCCTATCGGAGGAGAGATCATCACTTCGAATGGTGGAGAGTACTGGGGCCTCATTGTGTTTACGGGGGCGATATATCTGGGGGGCCTTTTTGCGCTTCAAATGGCCAAGGTAACCTGCGTTGGGTGGAACTTGTTGGCCATTTTCTAGGCCATAGAGAGCCCAAACTTTATCTTTTTCAAATTGAGAGATGCCATTGGGTAGGCATCTGAATATGATAGTGCGATATCGGGGCTAGATGTAATTAGATTATGGGTTCTCGCTGGATAGATTTCTTGGTGGTTCTTCGACAGGTCCTGTTTACACCTTCTGATCAGTTTAGGTTCTAATGATCGAGCGTCTATAAAAAGTTTTTGTCGTTATGATTATATAGTCAATAATACTCCAGTTCGAAAAGCAGACACTGTTCATATTCCGTATTTGTTCACCTATGCTTCATGAAGATTTGGCGATGCTTGGAGACGTTGGACAGGGGAGCGATGACTTACACGGCGTTTAAGCCTCCGTTTCTACTGTAATCTCCAGTTCTCCACTCATTGATCACTTTACCCTACAGACTTTAGCCAGGCAAGCCAGGCTCTAGGCCGCCCCAACAAGCCCGCACTGGCGGGGCTCGCGGGGGAATAGACACAGATCTGCTCGTAATTGTTTAGTGCACACAGGTGTGAGTTAGGCACTTCGACTTGTCGAAGTCGCTCCCACGATGCGACCGAATCCACCAACTGAAAAAAGGAACATTTCCCCCATGTGGGCCCTGACTTCAACGCTTCCACACAACCACCTTGCACCTCATCGCTATCAATCTTAAAATCGGAAGCTACTGGCAATTAGCACCGGGGCTCCTTCCGTCGATGTTGGCCTGACATTTCTAAGCATCATGGGCGTATTACGAGCGGCACGATCACGTGGGGCACACTGAGTCTTCAGTTTCTCCACGGACTTGTCCTCTCTCCTCTCCGCATTCCATATTTTATTACTCCACAGTTCCTCATTTATATCAAAATTCGCCGACAATATTTTTGCATGGACCCTGAATCTACCTTGTGGAGAAGCCGGAAAATAAATCTACACGTTGTGTCTTGACGACGGAGGCCGGAACCAGCAAAGCCATGTTCCTCTCACATACTGAGTATTCTGACGATGTCCAAGATGCCACCATGGACGCAGAATATCAGCCCGTTCATCGAAGCAATGCCGAGACCGCGTTAGATGATGTCTTCGGTGCCAACTCTTCCGGCCCATCCGAGAGTGTAGATCTCGGCGCTGGTAATTCTCTGCCGTCAGACATGCCACGCCTAGAGAGAGAACACACGACTGCAGGTTATCGCGACGGCATTACCGCGGCCAAGGCCCAGAGCATACAGGCTGGATTCGACGAGGGTTTCAGCCTAGGGGCTTCCATAGGGTCCAAGGTGGGCCAAGTCCTTGGGCTTCTCGACGGCATTGCCGAATCCGTCTGTGAGCCTTTATTAAACAATCCCCGTGGGGTTGGCGAGCCGGCAGCAAATGACGACAGTAGCAGCTACGAGAAGGCGAGTATCGGCCGCCTAGCGCAAGCTGCTAGGGACGAGCTGAAAGCTGAGATTGTCTTTGGAGCGGAGTACTGGTTCCCCGACGGCACGTGGAAGTACAACGTCTTGCGAGAAGGCGACGAGGCGGAGCGGGAGGATATTGTCTTTGAAGATGTCGCGAACTCGCACCCTCTCATTCGGAAGTGGACTGCCGTCGCCGAGGAGGAGGCCAGGCGCTGGAACGTCAACATGGATGTTTTGGCCGTGAGCACCGAGACCGCAAGTGAAAATCAGCGGCCAAAGGAAGAAGCGGTGGCCTCGACTTCAAAGCCAGTTACCGAGTCTAAGAACAGCCGGCTTGACTGGTGAGCGAAAAGGGTGGGGTATTTGCCGCGGATATGGTGTCTCGGCTTTCCTCTTTCTGACGATGTCTTTATTTTTGGGAGTCGAAATCCTCCGAAATATAGACATCATCGAGAAATAAGCCAAAGTCGGACAACTCAAGATCCTCACGCCCGAGAGTGCAATAGTGCCCTTTTCTTTTTCAATCCCACGGGGACGCGACAAACGTCGGCATTTCGGGCTGAGGAGCCTTTTGGCTTTACACGCTTACGCCTATTTCTGTTTACGATATATCATCAGGCCAGATGAGGCCAAATCAGGCTACGTAGGTGTGTGGCCGAGCCCGGTAATTCAACAGAGTCGCACAAGAGAGGTTGGGCCTCCATGGCCTGGCCCTGCCTTGTTTTGTTCTTCTTGGCGTGGCCTGCCTGCAGGGTCAACACCTTGAATATAGTCCAGCCTACAAACGACGTGCGTCGCGTCGGAAGGATGCAACGAAGAGCATGCTAGTCGTACCTGGATGGAGTCTTGTAATTCTGCAGCACCAACGACTAGGGTCCAATACAAGGTTCTGCTGCAGAGTGGGAAGGGTGCCAACCGCGACTCTTCCTGGCAGCGTTCGGAGTCGCGGACCAGATTTCCAATCGGCCAAGCTCAATGTCAGCCTGACTGCGACGTTGTGTTTGAGGTGCTACACAATATGGGAAATATTTTGACACAAGACGGCATTTAACATCTTCTCTCCCCTGTGTTGGACCGGGACTCCTTTCCTCGCCGCCTCCCTTCTCGTGCTACATATGCTTCACTACAGCCTTCGACCTCCTCTTGATTAGGCGTTCGCCTAGCCAGCAAAAAACTCCGACACCGTTCCTTAAAATGATCAACTAAGATCGACGGAAATATCAAAAAGGCATCTCTCGACTAATCATAGCGGATCCCACCTTCAACACACGGAAAAGAAAGCGTGGCAGGCGATCAGGAAGGGCTTTTGGGAACATTGGGGCCGCATCGCCGGCCGTGTCTGCTCTAGCCCTAGCCTGACGCACCAGCTGATGCTCAGGTGGTCCGACTCATTACTTATATTAATCGTGATTTAACTCGATATTGTGGCGGCACGCGAGTGGTTGACCTTCTTTCCGAGGAGGGGACCATGACCCGCCAGTGACCACGACGACTTACATCCGGGTGCGAGAGGAGTTCGGTGCTGTGCCGCGATTTACAGTGCGTCGGCCGCACTCAGGCTTATGCACACTATATATTGATGTATCCATATAATCAAGTTGGATTTGTGCGTTTCTGGATCGAGAATGCTGCATAGTTCATTCACATATACGACAAATCGGTGCCGAACCGGCGGAATCAGCCAACCATATTGGGTTTTCCTGGGGAAGTCGACCCCTTTTTTTAGCCAGACTAGAACTGGCTGACATCATGATGATCTCCGGGGCGTGCAAGATCCCGAGGGGTCCAGGTTGGGATTTTTAGAAATGAGCCGGAGGAGGCGGAATTCGTCCAGGGTACTGGAGTGTGTCGTGGACGGATTTGCCCGTTTCCTTTTTGGGTGCCCGCCTATTCCTCCTTCACGCTCGAGATGGTTCTCTACTACCCGAAAGCCTATGGCAGTGATGTTCGATGATGTTAAAGGATGAGAGAACATCGTTTCATTTTCCTCCCTTCCCGAAGGCTGCTCAGCCACGCGGGTAAGGTGCTACTGCTGTGATGGTGGAAGGGGACTTGATCTCGATCGATGCAGGTACCAGGAGATGATTCTCCAATGAGGGTAGCATTGGGAGATCAAAGGTAACGTTGGGTTCATTCAGAGTTCCCAAACGTGGGTGCCTTCGTGCATTTCTCAGCAAAGGGATGATGCGGGGTGTGAGATGGAGGCGTGTGTATATGCTCGACACACACGACATGCCATGAGCCCACACTCATAGATGCAAAGATGGAAAGTTTCTTTATTACGGACAGTGTCGAATCTCAAAAAAAGCGGCGTCGACAGAGCCCACCGCGACTTGAGGACGCACGAGGGAGAATCGCGTCGAAACCTATTGCAAACTCTTCCCAGCGGCGGAGAGACCAACATGTTCATTGTCCCCTTCCCGATAGCTAGAGCAATTAAACTCGGCCGCGCACTTTATCCTACAGGCAAGATAGAGTAAAAATACGAATGGTCGCTACTATAGTATCGTCCGTTATTGCACATCGGCTGGGACACTTTAGCCGCAGGGACGGGTCCGAATGGCCCAATCAAGGTGCATGGCGAGAACGGAGTGACGTTTTTAGGATGCTCGCTCGATATAATGGAGCTTCCTTCTTGTTCATCATCGCCGAGGCGAAAAGTTCCGTTGGTGGCTCGGCGCATGCAGTAATCATTAATCGAGCTTAGCAAACATTCAGCCTATACGCCTTTGATGGATTGGTATGGGGAAAGAGAGTGAGAGGAAGAGAGAGAGAGAGAGTAAATGGATCTAAGGAATCGGCCGGCCTAGCGGCCTGGCGTGTGTCTAGTGCCTGGATTCATTCGGGCTCCAGAGTGTTGAGGAGTCGTGGATACGCCGGCATCTCTGTGCCTCTGGGCCTCACTCGGCGTAATCTACGCATCCGAAGTGCATGGCGACCCTACCGGTCCAGTCATCGTACGCTCTCTCTCCATATCTACGAGTTCGATATATTGTGTGCAGGCTGCGAAAGGGTCGAGTGGTTCGAAAACGCACAAAAAGCGGCCTTCTCCCCCTTCTCGATGCCGATCTCATTCCCCTCTTCTCCTTTTCTTTCCCAAGTATCTCTGATACCGGTACATTCGCTTCGTCGTTCGCTTCGTTGCCAAACTTCATTCCTGGCCGTCTGACAAAACTCATAATATTATTATTTGTTGGGTAATATACTACCCAAGTTTGTCACGATGAAGCTTCCTCTCTTCGTCCTCGGCCTCGCTGCCGTCGCTTACGCCCAGGAGGACGCCACCGCCGTCATCGGCGATGTCACCTCCGGTGATATCACCCCTGATGTCGCCCCTGCCGGTGGTGATGCCACCTTCGAGGTCTACGCCGGTCCCATCGGCTTCCCTCCCGGCATCGCCGCGCCGCCCGCTCCTCATCTCCCCAAGAAGGGACCTCCCGCGGGTGCCAAGCAGCCCATCCCCATCTGGCACCCTCCCCACCACGGCGTCGACATTGACGACTGCGACGACGAGGACTCCGATGACTGGCACTGGGCCTGGCGCAAGGAGAAGCCCAAGCCGGTCCCCTTCCCCCCTCACAAGTGGACCACCAGCACCGTCACTGCCACCAAGACCAAGACGGTGATCAAGTGCGAGGACAACGTCAAGGAGTGCCCCGACCACCCCAAGACCAAGCTCACCACCACCACCGTCGAGGTGACCACCACCATCTGCCCCGTCCCCATCACGGAAGTGCCCAAGCCCGGTCCTAAGCCCACCCACGAGAAGCCTGCGCCTCCCCCGGCTACCAAGGAGGCTCCCGGTCCGGCTCCTCCTAAGCCCACCGCCGCCGAGAAGCCCCCTGCGCCTCCCGCGGCTCCCTCTTCGGCGAGGCCCTCTGCCAACGCTAGCGGTGTTCCCACCCCGCCTGTTGTTGTCGCCGCCGCTCCTAAGAACGCTGCCGGTATTCTCGGTGCCGTTGCCGCTCTCGTTGCTGCTCTCCTGTAATTTTCTTAATCATGGAAATTCCCCATCCCTACACTATTTCCTGTCCTTTTTGATACACAACAACCAAAATTTGGCATGATAAGCGTGGAGGGTTTCCCCAGTTTCTCTTTTGTCACATTCAACTTTTTATTCATGGACCATGGGTGGAGGGTGAGGTTTACATATTGAGGTGAAGAAAAGAGGACGATATGGCGTTATACGCCGAATGTGTAATAGCAATTCGGAGGGAGAGAAAGGGGATTGCGTCTGTGGGTGCGGGTGTGTTAGTACCGAATACTTCATCTTCAGCCAAAGGCGGATCCCTTTTTCGGAGCCGATCCCAAGCGGCGAGGACAGGGTTAACTTGTCTCTGGCTCGACCGGGGGATTAGGAGCTGGGAAAGGGATACCGGGGATGCCTTGTGCTAAGCGGTTTCATAGAATCTGGAAGTTTTGGGTTCTGTGGGCCGGGTTTGGTGTTATCTAGGTGGTTAGGTGATTAATTCAACATCCTTTTTTTTGTCCCCATCACTTTTGGCTCACACTACTACCCGAGGATTGCGAGTAATGCCTTTCGCTGCGGCGATACAGAACACTAGATGTTGCCGGATCGCTGAAATGCAGTCCACCACTTCCTGACATAGACCAGCACCCATAAAACGAGCGTCATAGCAGCCAGCCGATTACTGTTGTCAAAGACTCACATACATTGATTGCCTTCCTCGACGGTTTGCTTCCTACAATCCGAAACAATGATAAGTGAGGTTTTCGCGGAAATCTACTGATGTTGTTCCTGGTACTACTATCGCCATTTCACCATGCCACGGTTACCGGAAAAAGTATCAATGGGCTCTTTCAAACCCCAAACGAAGAAGGGGATGTTTTTGAGAGAAAACACGAGTGGGAAAACAACGCTCCAACTCCGACGCAGGAATACTTCTTCCATAGATCTGACCTTGTGCTACCCCGGGGAAGTGTAGACCATTTTCTTTTCTCGTCACAAGAGCCATGCATAAGATTACATATTACATATTAGGATGGCCCAACGGGATGTTGGGGTAAAAAGATGACCTTGAGAAATGAAAGGGGGAAAAGGAGTACTTCGTAGGGAAGAATAGACGTATGCGGCGAGTTGAGTACTCTCGGTGCTCACCTTAACCGCGCTTGCTTAGCTGTGCTGGATGTGCTGGATAAATCTCTCCTTATTTCTCGGCTTAATGAGGTGGACACCCTCCTTTTGGGAACAATACAGGTCCCGCTATTAAGGGGAGAGGGACACGCCACAAAACTCGTCTTGCAGAGGGATGACCTTATGGTGAAGAAGGCACCGATGGACAGATGGACGTTGTATTTCATTCTTGGCTAAGAAGAAAAAAAAATCATGATTAGGAGGGTTCCCTCGCTGGCTATCTTTGGCTGTTGTTTAAGAGGATGAAGAACTGGGTTTCCAAGTGCTATTAATGCGCCATGTAATATCGTAGCGTGAATCCTTCCCGATGGCAAGCCACTCCTAGGCCACGCAGAGGCCAGAAAACCCAATGCTCTTCATCCGGGGAACGCCGGCCTACACTGAAAGGCGTATGGTCGCACAAGCTCGTGAGGGGTGCGAAACAAAGTTTCCGCGTGGCGCGTAAAGAGGACATGCTCGGTAGTTAGCTAACCAGTGTTCTCTGGACACAAAAAGCAGGAAGCTCGTAGTCTCGACGCGCAGTGCTCGACGCGGCCCAACCAACCCTCTTGAAGTTGTGGCCTGTTGGCTGCCGTGAGATCGTACCAGGAACCCCTTTCATTCCCACCGTTGGCGAACCATGGCCCGCGTTCGTTCCTAGTCGAGGGCTGTTCAGAAGTGGGCTCAAGGATTTCATCCCATCCTAGACGGCCCCTAAGGTCCGCATTTGGGGGGAAATGTCCCGACAGATAACTCTATTTCTAGTAGTCAAATCAACCCGGGTTGAAAACGTAGGGCAAGATGCGATTAGGATCGCTGTGAGGTGTTTCTAGCCGTGATGCTAGAAGTAGGTATGGATCCGTTGCCACATATTCCTCGTCTTCGTTCGCCCTCAATATATACGTATGCATATTGTCCGGCCAACAGCGGAGTCCTGCACCACAGCCTATTGGGTTCGGTTTTCGAGCAAGAGTGTTAAAATGCTAGGTTCCTTGAAAGCGGCTTCTTCTTGTGTTACGTCGTCGTGTCGTGTAATGCCGTATTCTCCAGCTCCTCCTGTTCCAGCTCCAACTCGCGTCGCCACTCCTTCTGCCTCAGCTGCGTAAGCTTACCGGCAAGGTCTTCGATGCGGAGATTCTCCGTCCACAGAGCCCTCATAGACTCTCGATCCCTCCCTTCCGGGCCAAAAACAACAAGCTGACTAACCACACCGTCGGGGTCCATAACCGCGCGACCGGTTCTGCCGTTGGCCCACTCCAGCTTGATCTGTTTCGCCTCCGGGTCGACGGCACTAACGTCGATGAGCCACTTCTCCTCGTCATCGGTCTCCTCGTTGCCTGTGATGCCGATATCACGGCGGAGATCTGCGATTGCGCCGACCCTGTTGTGGTATCGAACGATTTCCTTCCTCAGACACCGCGCAAAGTGCGCGAGATCTTGCTTGACAGGTCGCTCCTGTTGGCCGGTCTTCTCGTTCTTCTTCGGCGGCGGCGGGAGATGTCTCTGCGCAAGTCCCGGCAGCGGGATATACGGCGGTACCGTGTGTCTGTGGACCTTGAGAAAGTCCGAATCTGGGAGCCAGGGACGATTGAGCATGACGAAGTAGGGGTGGATGAACTGCGCCTTGGACATGACCTCGAAGCGAAGACCGAGCACCTTGCTACCGTCAACGGCATTCGGGTCGGGGTCGTTTACTTTGAAGGCCGTGACGCCGGCGCAGATGCGGTAGAGACATTGCTGATCGCGGGCCTCGTGGATTTGGCAGAGCTTTTGGAGCTGCTGTTGGGCGTTTGCCTGGGAGTTGGCACGGTCGTAGGAGTATTTGATCGAGAGGGCGTTGGCGAGCTGGACTTTGAGGAGGTACTGCAATGATTCCACTAACAAGGATGGTTAGTCTCTCTGAGTGCAGGACGGGGGTGGAGGTGGGTGGTTTCTCGAGGGGCCAACTCACCTCGCGCCTCGGCTTCCTCGATTTGTTTGTCGAGCTCATTAATGCGCGCGACGCGATTCTGCTCCGTGGAAGTCATCTTACTTCCGGACGACTAGACGGTTCGAACATTCAATTGTATTCAGAAGCACAGGCTGATGTTTTCGTTAGGAGCCCATGAAGGCTCAAGTGCAAGGCCCAGATCGCGTCGCGTTTGTCGCTCCGTCACTGGCGGCACGGAATGCTTCTCACATGCGCGCATCTATCTTATCGATAAGATAAACAGTTTGACTTGCGTCGCTGTTTCATTGTTGTGCCCTGCAGGGAGATGTCCGATTACATAATCGTTTCACCTCTGTCTGTTTCCCCAGGTTTTTTTTCGCCGAACCTCGACGCGAAAAGCCCGACTGCCTGGCCCTGTTGCGCATTGGGAATCAAGGTTTATATCTGAATCCTCGGTCAGATCTGAGTTCTTCTCGAAAGACTTGAGATAACACTCGATGCATTCCTTGATCTGACGTCTATTTATTTCTTTCTCTCCAATTCTCCTTCTTGCCCGACCTTGACATTCTTTCCTCTTTTTCTTTTTTTTTGGGTTCCCAGATCGATTTCTAATCTTATACGAGGCCGTACCTGGTTGGCTGCTTTCTCTTAGACACCCTGTTGTCATTTTTGCCGCTTAGCGACTCTGTGGACACGGTATCACTTCTTGCGCATTCTGGAACATTGAACCTTTCACATTCCCGCATTTGTCAAATCCCAGGGTGGCGGGAACGGACAGCCAACCCACCCGGATAGCCAATCTTTTGCTCCAGATAGATGGGCCGTGGACAATTTGTCCATTGCTAGCTGTCTAATTGATCCCTTCCTGTCTTGGCTGTCTCCGTCTCCACGCTGCTGCTGCCTGTAACTCTGCTCCATGTACATCACTGTTGCGCCAGCTACCCTCCTTTGTCGACTTCCTTACACTCTTTAAGATTCTCTTCTCTTTCCCCCCCTCGGCTATTCAGCTCTATTCAAACCCATTTTGGACATTACCTCGACTTTCTCGATCCCAAAGACGCAAATAAGCGAAAACTCAAGCCCGCAAACCCAAACAAACGATCCACTCCTTCCCGATATTGCGATTCCGCGAACCTCGCTCCCAACCTGCACTCCCATCGTCCCAGCGGAGTGTCATTGATATCCTCTTCAAAAGTACAGATGGGCGCCAAACCCCGAAGAACCAAATCGCCCAAAACCAACGGGCCGTCTTCACTTTCCACAGGAAGTGTAAGGTTAAACGGCAACGGCAACATGAACAGCCACGTGGAGCAGCGGCGGAAGCCCGCTCCTCTCGATTCGAAACAAGTCACCCAGAACATCATGGCGCGCGAGTCCTTCTCCCTTGACGACCCCGTCCCGAAGACGCCGATCGTGAATAACCATGGTTTCTTCGAGCTCCCGATCCAGGACCAGCGCAACTTTGGACTGCTTGTCCTGCTATATTTCCTCCAGGGTATCCCTATGGGCCTGGCTATGGGGTCCGTCCCGTTCTTATTAAAGAACCACATGTCGTATAGTGAAATTGGCGTCTTCACTCTTGCGAGCTACCCTTATTCGCTGAAGCTCTTCTGGAGCCCGATTGTCGATGCGGTATGGAGCCCCAGGCTCGGTCGAAGGAAAAGTTGGATATTACCAATCCAGATCCTCTCTGGATTTGGCATGCTGTTTTTGGGCTCGAGGGTGGAGGGATTGATGGCTATGACCGGAAAGGAGGGCGGTCCTAGTGTCTGGGGTTTCACCGGCTGGTGGTTCTTCCTCGTCTTTATGTGCGCGACCCAGGATATCGCTGTTGACGGTTGGGCACTCACACTTCTCACCCCCGGAAACGTCTCCTACGCTTCTACGGCCCAAACCGTCGGTCTCACGGCTGGCAACTTCCTTTCCTACACCGTTTTCCTCGCCTTCAACTCGGCCGATTTCGCAAACAAGTACTTTCGCACAGAGCCCATCGACGAGGGCTTGATGACCCTCGGCGGTTATCTTACTTTCTGGGGCTGGGCTTACATCGCCGTCACGATTGGTCTTGCGCTCCTCAAGCGCGAGGAGAAGACCCAGAACGAGGATGGAATCTGGGATGTATACAAGATCATGTGGGGCGTCCTGAAGCTCAAGAACATCCAGACCATTATCATCGTCCACCTAATCGCCAAGATCGGCTTCCAGGCCAACGACGCCGTAACCAACCTCAAGCTCCTCGACAAGGGCTTCGGAAAGGATAACATGGCGCTCACGGTCTTGATCGACTTCCCCTTCGAGATTGGTCTCGGCTACTACGCCGGCAAGTGGTCGCAGAAGTACACACCCATGAGACTTTGGTGCTGGGCTTTCATGGGGAGGCTCGTCGCTGCCATTTTTGCGCAGTTCACAGTCGCGATATTCCCGGCCTCTGGTGTCGAGACTTGGTATCTCTTGACGGTTATCGTCGAGCACGTCTTTTCGACGTTTATGAACACGGTCATGTTTGTCGCCGTTTCGGCGTTCCATGCGAGGATTTCAGACCCGGCCATTGGGGGTACCTACATGACCCTCCTAGCAACGTAAGTTTTTTTTCCACCCCTTCACCCAAACTGTTGATTATCTCTCTGTTGTAAATGCAGAAAAAACTAACATGATTTTGTCCTCCTCAGCGTGTCTAATCTCGGCGGGACCTTCCCCCGCTTCTTCATCCTCCGCCTCGTCGACACCTTCACCAAAGCCACCTGCCACCCTAGCGACCCCACCCAGCTCACCGACCTCAAAGACAGCAGCCTCCTCATCACCGAACCGTTCTCCTGCGCCCTTCAGGCCGAGAAGGAGCGCTGCATCGCCGGCGGCGGTACTTGCGAGGTGCTCAGGGACGGCTATTATTTCGTCAACGTGCTCTGCGTCCTCTTTGGCCTGTTGACGTTTGTTATGTATATTAGGCCCAGGGTCATGTTTTTGCAGAGTTTGCCTATGAAGGCGTGGAGGTTGGCAAATGACAAGTGAAAAGAAGAGAAGACAAAAATACGAAATTTCTTGGGAATCTTTGCGCCGTGCTACTAGGATGAAGAGGACTAGAGGGGCATGGCGTATGCGATATGGTGTATTTATGGGTGGTTCCCATTTATGCTTGGTACACATATAGGCTTTTCTTCCTTCTCATTTCTTGTTGTTTGTGTGATTATCACTATATAGACTGGTTGAAAGCGATACCGGTGGGAGGAGTAACTTGGCGGGGATTTGGCTGTAAAACACTTGTATCACAATGCGATCATCTCTTCAGGCATTTCTGTTCCCGATTCTGAGTTGTGTTCCCACGCTATTTCCCTTGAGTGACATGTTATGATGAATCTACTTTCATGTTATGTTTCTCTAAGTCATTATGGAGTTTTATGACTTGGATGTGAGCGAAGACCATCGATCAAATCTAACTCCATCGAGTCTATGCAGGTGCTCAATGATATAATTCATATATATGTATATATACTAAAACCCTTCGAATGCCAACAACCAAAAGGAGACCCAAGAAACCACATACCGCCCGTTTTGCGCATTCTCGACGTGTGTTTTTTTTTTTTTTTAAAGAGAGTCATCAAAGCATTGAGGATGAAAGGGAAAAAGTGAACCCCCGACGAAACCCTCCCCTCTAGCCCTGTGCCTTCTTCTTTTCCGCAGCAGCCACCATATGCTCCGTATGCATCATCTGCACAGCCGGAATAATCAAGCTCTCAATCTCCACCTCGGGCTCGCCCTCGGGCAAGCAGCTCGGATCCATAGGATTATTCCCCGCCTCAAGGATGCAAGGCCCTAGCTGCGCCTTCCCAATAAGTTGCTCGACGCCGCTGACGGACTTGGTCCTGCGATCGGTGGGGACGCGAATCCAGCGATCGGGCCTGTTGGGTGCGACGAAGACGACCTCCCACTTGCGGGTGGCGAGGAGGTTCCCGATGACGAGGTGGTGCTGGTAGCGGTCGAGGGAGTAGGCGGCTTTGTGGACGAGGATGGAGGGGTCGGTCTCGAGCTTGAAGGAGACGATCATGCCCTCGGGGGCCCAGCCGTCGACGAGGTTCTTGAGGAATTTGGGGACGGGGTCGAGGTCGATTATGAGGCGCTTGGAGCGGGGGACTTTGGGTGAGGAGTCGAAGTTATCAAAGGTTTCTATTTCTTCTTCCTCGGAGGGGGATACGGAGCCGGCGGTGACTGTGGAGGATGGGTGGATTTCGGGGGTGGAGTTGTTGGAGTTGTTGGAGTTGTTGGAGTTGCTAGAGTTGGAGTTGGCATTGGCCTTGGCCGTAGGGGCAGGTGCTGTGGTGGTTGGGGCTGCGGCCGAGTTGGGGGCGCGACTCGACTTGGAGGAGTGTTGCGGCTTGACATTGTCGGCGGCGTCAGTGGATTGGATCTTGTGCTCGGCCATGCGATCAGGCGGAACGAAAAAGTCCGAAACGGCGGCCGCGAGGTAGAGCAGACCCGAAGGACCCAACGGGCGCATAAGACGCGCAATGGCCCTCAACTCGTAGAGATAATCCGTAATCGTGAGAAACGGAATCATAAGGAGAAGGTTATCCTCCTTGGCCTTGTGATATTTGCGCAGCACATCAAGCATCTTGTCCTGATGCGAGGCCTTAGCAACGACCTTCCCACCGGGCGCCTCAGTCAGGAAATCGAGGAAACAGTCGATCGAGTGGCTGTAGTGGCGCGAGTACGGCAGCAAGCTGAACTGGCGATGTAGGAAAATCACGGCATAGCCCGCCTCGAGGAAGTACTCGGCCGACGTGGCGCCGCGGGTGCCGGCACTGAAGTTGTCGATGAAGCGCACGGTCTGCTTCTCGAGGGGCACGGTGGTGCCGCCGGAGGTGACGAGGACGACGCGGCGTTTGGCGGCGGCGTGGGCGTCTATGAAGGAGCGGGCTTGCGCCTCGTGTTTCTCGAGGTTTTTCGGCGCGGGGTTGACCGAGAAGTATTGGTCTTCCGTCATGGAGGACTTCATGATTGCGGTGTTTGGGCGGTTAGATATATTCTAGGAGAGGAGGGAATTGGGCCGTGGCTGTTGTCCTAGGAGCGAGGGGTCTTAGGCGAGAAAGCTAGGAATGCGCGCAAAGAAGCAATTGGGTTTTTCAAGCTGTCCAAGTATATATGTCGGCCGAGAGCAGCAACGGCGGGAAGCACCGGGACTGCAGTTTATAACAGCAAGTGCGCGTGACTTGAATCTTCACGAACCGCAGCAAAAATGAAAGAAAACCGGACCAGCTAGCGATGGGGGACGAGTTAGCTCTCACACGATGTGTCTGCGACGGCTACCATTGAGCCGTGGTGGGATGACGCCTCGGCAAGACCGGGCCGGGCGATGATTTCATTGCCAAAAAGTTGCCCCGCCGCCACCAAGCAACGGCTAGTAAAACTGGGCGGGCGGAGAACTAAGCGGAACGGAAATAAGAAATGAAAAACGAGGCGGTATTCTCACCAATTCCCGAGCCCGAGTCTCGATGGTTGTTTGAACGTTCAAGTTCTCGTATGTGTAGGTGAATGCGGAGCTGCGGCAATGCCCTTCTCAATGTCGTCACTGCTCTTCAATGATCAATGAGAAAGAATGAGCAAAAGTGAGGGAAGTGGCATGATGATGTCAAAGGAAAATGATTACAAAATGGAGCTACCCCTCCCCCTCCCCCTCCTTCCTCTGTTGCCCCTTGTCCACTGCAACTATTGACGCATTGGCGGACAGGGATCACTAGGATCAACTCTGCGTGGATTATGCAGGAATCGGGGCTAGCTAGGGACCACCCCCCAGGTTATTTATCAATGGGGGTTCCTGGGGTCCTAGGGTCCTGTGGAGGACATGAGGTCAAACCGGGCTTCGGATGGCCCTAGGAATGAATTAGATCAATGGCAAACTTAGCGCCGGGGAATACGACTTATCTATACACTCCTTGCACCTGCCGGACGCCACTATGTGTCTCGCTGGCGAGATCGCCCAAGCACCTAAAACGCCAGAGCTGGCTAATCTACACCTGTCTAGAACTCTTAGGGAGGCATTTCACGAAAGGACCCGTTTCAAAAGAAAGATGTAGAAGTACACACAATTCAAAGGCTCTAAAAACCTCAGGCCAATCCCAGGAATCCATCTAACTCGTATATCATACATAGCGCCTGCCTATTCACATGATTGATGAACGACGGGGTTTCTCCTCCGCCCATCAAAGCTCCTTTGCAGAAGCCGTCTTCCCTTGATTTACTTTAGTACCAGGGGGCGTCTTCAGCCCGGCAAACACTGCAACAAGCACCACGGCTATACCCGTAGCCCCGAGCTGGTACGCAACCTCTCTCCCAGCCCACCAATACACACTGGTAAACAGCACCGGGCCAAGTCCGCGCCCGAGCTGGCCCCAGCTGCGCATCATCCCAAGCTTACCGCCCCTCTCGCCCTCGCCGGCTTCGAAGCTACTCAAGGCATTGAGACCCGTCACCACCGTCGCCGAGGTCATGGCAAGACAAGTCGCCGCGACATAGAGCATCGAAACGGTTTGGAGTCGGGCGAGGAGGCCGAACGCGGCGAGACACGCAAGCACACCTACGCGGACCGCGGTGAGGGGCGGAAGGCGCCGAGTCACGCCTCCCTGGAGGATGGAGGCTACCAGACCAACGAAGCCGAGGAGACGGCCGTTCTTGGACGAGGTGAAGCCGAACAAGTCGTAGGTCATGAAGGAGAGGGACGATTCCATTCCAGAGAAGAAGAGAAGGAAGACGAAGTGGATGGCGTAGAGGAGAACGCGCGAGTTCGTGCGCTTCGTCTGGGTCTTCGGCTTCGCCTTTCCGTTGGCCGTGGGTTTCTTCTCGTCTTGCCCTGTCAGTGCCGGCAGAGTCTCGGGGAGGTAAAGGTATAGATAGAGAGTCTCGGCAACGATGAGGAATAGAGAGACGCCGGCCGCCGTCGCAAAAGGGTTCCGAGCTACGGTCTCGATGGACGAGAGGTAAGCTCCGAGCATGGGGCCAAAGGTGAATGCAACGGAGAAGCAGGCACCGATGAGGGCCATCGTGGATCCGCGCGACTTTTCGTCTGAGATATCTGTAGCCATGGCTGTTGCAAGCTGAACATTGCCCTCCGAGAGACCGCCGACGACTCGGGATGCGACAAAGGTACGGAAGTCGATGGCTACGACCCAGAGAAGCACGGATAGGATGTTGCCGCACATACTCGCGAGGAGCGCCGCGCGTCTTCCGTACTTGTCGGAAAGCTTGCCGATGAGGGGGGAGGCGATCGCTTGGAGAAGACTAGAATGCAAGTATTAGCGGAAGTCGAAGCTAGTGCTGCTTCCATTGCGCTAAAAGCGGGAGAGCTAGGGTAATATAGTCCACTTACGAGAAGAGACTCCCCATTGCGCCGCCCAGCAGGACAATGTCATATCTTGAATCAATCTTGCGGGCAAACGCGGCCTTGTACCGGTTGAGGTAGTCGAGGACTGTTTGAAGGAGGCTCGCGGATGCACCGTCTGTTAGTGGAGTTGCAGCTTCGCGGTCGCGGTAGTATTCGAGGAGCTTCGGGAAGAGCGGGAGGATGAAGGTGAAGGAGATCTGAATGGCAACAAAGGGTAATCGTTAGCAATCCGTAGTGTGCGTTTCTGAAATCGAACTGGGGATGCCAATTGTGTGCCCACGTACCAAGTCAAGAAGCAGAGAAATCACAATGACCTTCAACACCTTCCTCCTCCACTGCGGATCTGCCGGTGTCGCCATCGTCGATGCTTTGAAGGCGATCTCAATACTCGAAGGGAAAGGAAAATAGGAAGAGGGAAACGATGCAGTCGGGTCTCCTCGGGCAAAAGGGGGAGACGAAGTCGGAGAGAGAGACAGAGCCGGCAGCCAGCCGCCGAAGTGCTCTACCCTGGGCTCGCAGAAAAAATAAGCAAGTCAAGAAATCACAAGTCGAAGGACGGTGCGATCGGTGTGGATGAATCCAAGGCGAAGAGAAATGTCGAGCGGAAACAAGGCAGAAGAGTAATACAAAAAAGATCAGACGAGAAAAGAACAGATAGAAATGGACAAGAACAGGTTACAGTGTCGGCCCAGATTTGTTTCAAGCCAGATGTTTCTTCAGGTTTCGCTGCCGTCACAGCGTCGCGGCGTCACAGCGAATAGTGGGGACGAGCTCTTACAATTGGACACTGTCTTTGGACGCTCAGTTGCGACTTCAACCAATTATTGCCCCAAGATGACCGCTTCGATTGGCTTGCGCATTCAGTGGCATCAGAGGCAACGGTTCCATCCATTCTCACCATCATCGCAAATCGTGATAATCAAGATGGATGAAGTAAAAAGAAAACAAAAATCAACAGAAAGAAAGAAAGAAAAAAAAAAAAGATTATGTACTTCTTCTCACTCATCCCACGCCTTACCTCTAGGCCCTCCCCTCTCCTACTCCGAGGGTCACGCCTCCCACTGGACCTAGCTCTGCCAGATAGGGATCTCCATTACTGCGGGACATTTCCTTTACTCGATCCCTGGGCACCGGATCGCAGACCGCAGTCTGGCGTAGAACTTGGGCGCGATAGGATTCGAGCCCAAGCCCTCCCGGCGAGGGGAGGCAACGGTCGCCTTAACCAACTTGGCTATTGCTTCGTCGGTCGTCTGGTGAGAGCTCCCTAAAAGATCTGAATCTATAAAGTTATCTCGGGGGTTTGGGTGGTTTTGGAAGTGTGGAAGGAGCGAGAGAGCCGCTGATGTGGCTGGGCGGGCTCCCTCCTTTCTGGTTGAATCACAATGCGCCGTGATGCGAACGGGACTTGGAGACCGGAACATGCCTAGATGCTAACAGCAGAGGCCAGAGAATCCAAGTTCTACCCGAGGGATGGACTGGAACAAGTTTTGATTTAAACTACGTCCCATCAACATAATATACATAGACAGAGCCAACTCTGTCGAAAACCGAGTACGGCTGAGCGCTGTGCCCAAAGCCGAGGGGACCGGAAGAAGAAATCCATCGTATCCTTCCTCCTCATACCGAAGCACTTCCTCCATTCGATGATTGAGCCACTGTAGGTGGTTTTGTTACCGGGGAAGCCGCCAGCTCAGAGAGGTGTGAAACCTCCAGCTCGTGGGGATGTGAAATCGACGACGCTGGGGATACGCTAGGGCTGGTTGCCGAAAGCTCCCATGGGGCTCGATGAGGAAGCGGTTGCTCCCAAGGAGGCACAATCCTCTCCGAAACCGCACTGACCGAGCTGACAGTCCTGCTGTGTCCGGGGAAGTCCGGATCATATCGTGAAGGCCGTTTGTGTCGTTCGCGTCGTGGTGGACGCGGAGGCGCATTCGGATCATACCAGCGTTCGCCGCCATATTCGATGAAGGAGTCGCGCGTCGCAATGCTTTCCTCGTACGACTGACGGTTGACCTTGTCGTATGAAAATGCCCTGCCACCGTTGCTTTTGTCCTTTGAGCCTTTCCCGAATCTCCTCATTAGGCATGCGATCCCTGTTACCGACTTAAAACTCTCCCAAAGCACCTTTTTGAAAGACACATCTCGGTTGAATCTGCGCATCTCCTGTCTCTCTATATTGACCGTATTAGTTCTATTATCCGAACAAATTCTCACACTCCATACATGTCTCCCATGCAGATGAAGCGTGTAGAATGCATGATGGCAGGCGGGTATGAAGAACGTACTCCTAAGGACAACGCTAAAGAGGCCAATGATGAACATCGCTACCAGGACTATTCCCAGGATGATGAAGATCTGGGCCCCGACAGGAAGTCTCTGCCATCCATTTTTGCCGGCATTATTCTGTTGCTGACTGCTTGCAGCAGATGTGGAACTCGTTGGAGAGGAGGATGTTGATGAGGACGATCCAAATGTGGATTGACCCGTTGAGGTGCTGGAGGAGGAGGAGGAGAAGGATGATGGTGATGTTGACCCCGCGAAGCCACCGACGTCGACGCTTGGCGAGTTATTATTCCTTTGGTTGGAATTTCTGCCACTCGATTGACTGCTTCCTTGTGACCCTCCAAATGCGCCTGGATTTGGCCCGTTTGAAGCTGGGCTCGGACTATCACTCGAGCCTCCTCGTGACCCCCCAATACGGCCTTTCGGACTCCGGCTTTCGAGAAATCTATGCATTTTTGAGGTCACGCCTTCTTCAATACGAGATAAACGTTCGGTGAGAATCATATGTGCATGACAGGTGGAGATAGCTAGGATGAACAACGAGAAGGAGATCGGTAGGGGCGGACTTATATGTAGCTATCAAAGAATATGGACGATCCCGTAATGCGGGAACTTCTTGGCGAACAATGAGTACTAAGTTCCTAAGGGAGCGTAAACCCCCCACCCACCATGGGAACCGTCCGGTTATCTAGGAATTCATGCCCGAGAAATCCTCCTGGCCAGGGTGCGGCATGAGGAGGAGGTGGCAGGAATGCGTCCATCGCCTCACGGCGCGGGGAATACAAGCATGACACCAGTTGACACAAGCAACCGTCTCGTCTAAAATTGCTACGATCTACGCAGGATCCATAGACTCTCCACGGTCTCTACACCGACCTCTCATCACGGATCATCTTAGCAGGTTCAATAAGAGAGAGACGAGCAACAAATGGATCGGCAGCCTTTGTGGCACCATGACGAGACGGGAGGCAGGCCCCTTTCAGCATGTTGTACAAGTTACAGGATCAATTGCAGCTCACCTAACCGCGTAGGTTTGCCCAGCTCGACGGTCTCGACCCCTCGTCGCGAAACAAGGTGTTGGTAGGAGATTTTGACGGGAAGGCAAGGGTCGCTGTTGGAGGGAGGTGAGGATTGGTTGGAGACGACCCCTCGAGCCTTGTTTGCTGTGGAAGGATCGAGGCGCAGCGGCCCTGCGGTCGATCGAACGGGCCTTGGACCCCCTGTAGCGAGCTTAATTTCCCGTCTTCTCGGCTATGCTACGGAGGCGATCCGTAGATCATTCATGCTGATTTCAGCCCGAGGACCGGTGCTGGGAGGAGGAACCGATGCGCTTGCTTCCTTTCGCATTGATTAGAAGCAAGCGAAATACCCTTCTTCGAGTCTATCTCAATATATGGTGCTACCACTACTTCGTATGGTGGAATAACGCTTCGAGGCTATGTGACTTATTGAAACCCAGAAAGATACTAGAAGAGATGCGGTCGTAGAACTCGTATCAGTATGATTGGTATTAATGCCATTTTAACTATGAAAAGGAGCTTGTATCGCGCATAGAACTAAATAACTTGAACTCCGGTATGCAAGCCCTAATGCGTCTTTTTTTTCAACATACACCCCTATGTGTCCTTCCATGTCGCGATCGCGATCGCGACCTATGTTTCTTGTGCCTCGTCAGCAGCGTCGACAGGTCTACTTTCTCACTCTCCATCAATGCCTCCGTCACCATGCAGATATCCTCGACCAACTTCTCAAGTAAGTCGAGCGACATGTTCTCCCTCACAACGATTCGAAGAATCTGGACATTGCTCTCGTTGCTAGGCAGGCAGTAATTAGGGATAATCCACTGCCTCGCCCTCATCATCAACGAGACGGACTCCTGCTTCACATAAGGGAACTGCTTCTGGAAGCGGTCGCTAAAACGGAACGCCACGACGGGCAATCCCGCAACGTAATCCGCCGACGTGATGTCATCAAACATGCCTGAGAGGGAGGTGCGCCGGGCCTGTGTTTTCAAGGCATACGCCTCCCGATTCTCCAGCGATGCAGCGACCTTCTCCCTGCTGTTCTCCACGGGACGGTGGATATCCGAGACGACGGTATACCAACCCGTCTCCTCGAGGGCCCGCGACAGCAGGCGAGCGTTGCGCAGGCAGTTCTCCATGACCTCGCGGTAACCCGCGAAACCGAGGTGGATGAGGTTGTAGTACTGCAGGACGACCTGGGCGCCCGGACGCGAGAAGTTGAGCGTGAAGCTCTTCTCAGTGCCGCCGAGGTAGTCGAGGCTGAAGACGAGGCTGTCGGGGAGGTATTTTTCGTCGCGCCAGATGATCCAGCCGAGGCCGACGTAGACGAGGCCGAATTTGTGGCCGGAGGTGTTGATGGATACAACTCGGGGAAGTTCAAAGTTCCTGGGGAATCGTATGAATATACGAATTCTCTTGCATATAGCCCGGCTGTGGGGGATCGATTGGGAGAACTTACCACTTGGGACCACCCGCGCCAGCGTAGGTGAAGGGGGCTATGAAGGCTCCGGATGCTCCATCGACATGAATCGGGATATCGATCCCGGTCTCCTCCTGGTACTGATCCAAAATCTTGGAGATTTCTTCGACAGGTTCGTAGTGGCCGGTAAAACTAATCCAGGCAGTCCGAATATCAGTCCCCGAACCGAGTCAAAGAGGAGATAGGGCTTGACTTACGTGCTTCCCAAGATAACGAAAACACCGATAGTATTCTCGTCAATATTCTTCTTCACAAGCTCCGGATCCAACCGATGATGGCTCCCCTCGCTCACAGGCAAAATCCTCGGCTCGACCTCAAAATACCTCGCAAACTTCTCCAGCGCAACCTGCGCATTGGCCCCCATAAGAATATTCGGCCTCGACGTATCCTTCCCCTCTTTCCTCCTCCTCTCCTGCCACCTCCTCTTCATCGCCAACCCACCGAGGTGAATAGCCTCCGAAGACCCCGTCGTCGCCGATCCGACCGCCTTCTCCCCCTCGCGCACGCCCCACAAGTTCGCCAGGATGCTAATGCAGCGCTCGTGGATCCGCATCAGCGCGGGGTACTCGTCCGCGTCGGCGAGGTTCTTGTTCATGTTCTCGTTCATGAGGGCCGTGGCGTTGGGCTCCATCCACGTGCCGACGAAACTCGCGAGGTTCAGGTCTGGTTTGCCGTCGAGGTTCATCTCGTCGTGGATCATCTGGTACACGGTGTCGGCCGAGGCGCCGTCCTCGGGGATGCGGAACTTGGGGATCGGGTCTTGGGCCGTGTATTTGGACGAGTAGGGGGTCGTGTGTCGACTTGGGCGGCTGGCCGGGTGTGCGAGGCCCGGGGTGACCTCTCGGAGGTGGCTGACGATGTCGTCCGGGTTGACCTGCAGTAGGATGGTGTAAGTCGTGGGATTCCGGGGAGAGGATTGGACAATTGCATTTTATTTTATTTTTTATTTTTTATTTTAAATTTTTTTTTCCCGCAAAGGACCGTATGAAGTTGCTGCTGGCTTGAGAAAGAGACTCACATGTCTTGACAACATCTTGCTTGCTAGTGTTTAAATAGTTAAATAGCTTCTCCGTGTAAGTTAATGCGCGGGACTTCGATCGCCGGTTGTTCCGGACAGCGGCAAAAATTTATTTTTCGGTCAGTCACCGGACAACTCTAATGGGAAAATGATTAGAAACCAAAATATCGGGGTTTTCTCGTCTTTTCAACAACTGAATAGGACTGCAGTCGATGAGAACCAGATCGAACGGCGGCACGCGAGCTTCTTATAGCTCTTATAGCTGACGGCACACGCCGTTGCTGGTCGGAATAGTCATGATGATGATAAGATTTATGAGCTGACGTTGATGTGCATGCGCATAGAGCTAAATCGCCTTTTCGCGGCATGCTCTCTTCATCATGACGCCATGCCTGCATACGGAGTGCTCTGTTCTCGTATAAAGGCTCTCGTTCATGATGGCTAACAATCATCGAGGCTCAATTGAGCGATGCCATGCCTAATCTATTACTCCGCGTTGAACTTGGCGCGCGTGTCTCAATCATAAGAAACACTATTGTTGATTTAGGTTTGCCCTAGAACTGGAATGGGAGTATGACGGAGTCTTGGTAATGAATAGCCCAGCAGATCCCATCTATAGAGCTCTCATCCAAAGACTATTCGACGCCGGTGTCGCCTACAACTTGATATTCTAAGACTTTATAATTCTACGATAATTACCGAGCCTTGCATGACGAAGGCATCGCATCGTGAGCGCCACGTGGGCCCACGTGGTTTTATGTGTTGCTTCCTGTGCAGTATTCACGGCCGAAGGAAAGCGAGAAAGGAAATCACCAAGATATCGGATCTGTGGGAAACTGCTGGGTTTAGGATCGGAGGTTCGCCGGGCTGTGTTCCGCTCCGAGCTGTGTATGCCCCGGCTAATGGGCTCGGAACACCGAACTGCAACATGACTACCATTGCAACGTTTCTGTTTGGCGCCATACCACTATGCTTGCATCAATTAGAACGGGATGAGGCAATGGTCAGAGCGGAAGAGGTCCACGGCTACATCTTCAGGCGTCCTCGGTCGCCTTCCATCGGTCAAGGCCGGGCCATCTTGGGATGAGATCGCGTCATCATCAACGACCTCCTTGTTTGGAGACCCATGTATGTCTCAGTTGCCGACGCTTTCCTCGACATCGCTTACTTTGAGACAGGTCTGAAAATTCGCAGCCAGGGACCTAGACGCCGTGCAGGGACGGGCCTCACGAGAGACATTGTTGTCAGCACACCACGCAGATGGCGTATCCCTCGTCCTCGGTGTCGATATCGTCGGGCGGTCCACGAAGAGTAGGTCGGCTGGCCCGGTGCATTCCTTTAATCCTTGCTCGCGGAACATAAGTTCCAGGAAAGCAACCGTTCGCTGATGGCATCTTGCCCTTGATCGCTCATCATCTGTGGTGTTTGTGGGAATGAGTGTGGCATTGAGCCATCCTTCCTCAACCAACCATGCGATCCTCTGTATCGTATGCATGCGGATAACATTTACCTTGGAAATGCAGCACCAGGCTCGGTCACCTGGTAGGCAGGATAAGGAAAGTCGAGATCACCCCAATGAAAACCCAGGGGCGACAATTAGCCCAATAGACCAGAAGACCCGTCAGTTCCAGCACCACATGGCTAGAACTGCCCTTTACATCCACCTAAGAACCCTCTCAACTGCGGCGGAACCCAGCCACTTCTAGGTATTCTATTCCATATATAATAAAAAAATTATAATATATTTATATAGAAACTATTAAATAAGTTTATAGAAGTAGAAATATTTAACTTATTGAAAATAATATATAAATAATGATAATCGGGGGTTGCGTATTATCCCGCCACCAGAGAATGTCAAATGGCCGCTATGAAGCCTTGGAATATCGCCTGCCGCTCTCCGGAGAACATATCTCAAATCACTTTCTTTCTCCGCCCTGCACCAGTGTTATCTATTAATGAAGATACTGACATGTTCTCTTCTCGCAAACGCCCCCTTCCACGCTGGGCTGATGCAAAACGATTAAGAAACATGCGTCGCCGCACCATGGTAAGTTCCAAGTTGAAGTTCTACCTGGCATCGGGCTTGATTAGTGAAAGAGAGAGAGAAATGACTGCTACACCACGTGAGGTGCCCGCGCCGCAAAGGCGCCTCGCGGCTGTTTGAGGATAATAATAATAATCTAATTATCTGCGCGTTGCAATATAACGTTCACGAGATCATTCCATCATGGCCTGAAGCAAGGTTAAATAATCGAGGAGATGTTCTTATAGCATTAGTTCAGTTCTCAATCTAATTCCACTTCTCACGGTGAATCTCGATCTAGGAGCTGAAGAACCTTTTGTCTTCCAATGACGTCTGACGCTCGGGCAGCCCTTCTCTGTATCTCTGTCAACATGCTCGCCTTCTTCGTATTCTTATCCCTCGCTAGCTTGGGAGCTTGTCAGTCATGCTCGCAATGCCAGCCGCTCCAGCTCGAGCCAGATATGGAGCTCGAGAAGCAACCACGATTGCCTGACCCATTCTTACGATTCAACGGGGAGCGTATAGAAAAAAAATCCGACTGGGCCTGCCGGAGGAAAGAACTCTCCCAGTTGTTCCAGCAGTACGTGTATGGCATCATCCCAGGGAAGCCAGAAACGTTCAACACATTTATGAACGGTACTTCGATCGTCGTTGAGGCAGGTAACGGCAACAAGACCCTATCCTTCGCCGCAGAAATCGCTCTCCCATTAACGGGGGAAGTCCCATACCCAGCGGTCCTTGCCATTGAGGGAGTCAGCTTCCCGGTCCCTGATGGAGTTGCGGTAATAACCTACCGGAATGGCGAACTGGCAAGGCAATCTGGCGGAGCGAAGTTCTTCGATATATACGGACGTGATCTCCACACCGGCGACTATGCCGTTGCGTCCTGGGGGATCTCTCGTCTCATCGACGCCCTTGAGCTTCTCCCCGAAAGCAATATCGACACCTCGCGGCTAGCCGTAACAGGATGCTCACGCAACGGCCGAGCCGCTCTTGTCGCAGGGGCCATGGACGAACGCATCTCCATTACTCTGCCTCAGGAAGCCGGGCTGGGCGGCGACGCCTGCTGGCGAATCGTGGAAGAAGAACTAAGCAAAGGGCGAAGAATCTGCATCACTTCATGTCTCCAACCGGACCCCACGGGTCTCAGACCGGACTTCCCCGGCCGCGATTTCGTTGGGCTCCCCGTGGACCAACATGAACTGGCTGCCATGATCGCTCCTAGAGCCTTGCTAGTGTTGCTAAACGACATTGACTGGCTCCAGCCCCTGGCCGCTTACACGTGTATGAAGGCCGCACACAGGGTATGGGAGGCCCTGGGGGTGCCGGATCGGATGGGCGTCTCTTTTGTTGGAGGGCATAACCACTGCGCCTTCTCGGAGAGACAAAGTGATATCTTGAACGCTTACATACAGAAGTACCTGGTCGGGAGTGATGTCGATTTCGACACTGGCGGATTCGAGGTCAACATAACGGGTGTATTTAATGAGCTGGACTTTTCATGGTGGGTTCCTTGGGACCCTTTGGAATTAGAGTAAAGGCTAAAGTCTCGAATCAGCCTGCGCATGGCATACCAACTCGTTCTCGCTTGGGAATTTCTCCTGACATCTCCTACACACGTGTCTTTTCTCGTGAAAAGTAACTACATGTCTCCTGGAAATAAAAATATACACTGGGTAGTACACAATGTCGAGGTTTCAAACGTGTGTAACTTCGGCGTGCAATGCTTCTCGAGGCCGTATCTATGCCATTCGAGAGCATCCGCAGCTGCCCAGAGCGACCACGACAGGCGGTTGTGTTTAGAGCGGCAGGATCGACGAAGGATGGCTTTCAGAAGAGTGTCGGTATAAAATAACATCCCAATATCCACGGGAACCTCGAGTCCATTTATATCCGCGGCACTTTTGCAGGGGATCTTTTGCTTGGGTCACGTCCAGGCGCCAATCACGGCAGTCGAGGTGTTGGATGCGATGTATCGCCTTGCAGGGAGACGAGTAAATGTATTAATAGCGCTATTTTGTTGCATCCCGAGAATGCTCCGCCTGCATATTTGCGATCGGTTCGAGAGTGGCGGCCGGCGGGTGGTAGACTCCGGAGCCACCGTGAGAAACGAACGACACATTCGAACTTGTTCCTTTGGTTCTGGGCAGACAGACGACTCTGGTCGCAGCCTAGAGTAGGAGGGACCTTTTGTTGGTGGGTTGGAGTGGATTGAGATGGACCAAGCGAGAAAAAATGGACAGGTGTTGTCAGCTGAGAAATTAAAATTTAAGGAATGTGATTGGTCCTTAACGTTTGTACAGTGGCTGGCAGCAAAAGTTCCTCGGCGGCGAAGGGAACTTTTTTCGTTTGCCCAAAGTTCATCTTGTTTCCCCCCGGAGTCATTCAGGGAAATATAGTGGACATCAATAACGTGTCTGGTGAGGTATCCCCGAGAGGAGGGATTTGATATGCTGCGTCGTACATCGGCCACTTTGGATCGCGAACAGCGACTGAGGTCAACGGGTATTCAATTGTCTGCTGTCGCATTTTCAAGATGCCTTATCAAAAAGAGTCTCGTCCCGCCATCTCTGCTAAGATGTTGACAGTCGCATGTGCTTCTTGGCACCTGGGATAATGTACCCTCAGTACCTCCCACGCCTCTTGTCGCATGGTGGAAAACCACTTAAAATTTCCCCAAATTCCAGAATAGTGGAAAGGGGCGTTTAACTCTCTTGGTGTAAAAAGGCCCTGAACCTCCGGATTGAGAGACTTTTGAGGAATGGCTGCAAAGGGTGGGAGAGGTTTTGTTGGATGCAACATTGATATTGTACCTCTCAGGTATTCTAAGGAGGACTTGGGACTTCCCCAGGTCGCATGACATGTACCCTTGTCAGATATGATGAGACAGCCTTCTCCAACCTTCAATGTTCCTTGACGTCTTGAAGAAGAGTGCCTCCAGGTTTCTAGAAGGTTGCAAATTGTAAAGACATTATCAGTTTCATAAATTGAGACTTGCCCTTGGCTTCCGTTAATTTGAATGCCCTCCAAGCCCTCATCGCTCGAGGTTCAATGCAGGTGTCGATATCGACATCGGTCCTTTCTCAGTAGCAGTGAACCTCGACTCTTGCATCCCGCATGGGCCGCCAGGGTGAAGGATACACGCCCGGTACAAAGAGGAAAAGGAAGGTGACAACAATCCACTTCTCCAGCACCCCACCATCAGTCCAAGCCTCCACACAGCGCCCTGATTAGTTCCTGTGAGGCGAAAAGACCGCTTTAAGAACACCAAAGGGCGGAATGGTTTCCTCTGGAGGGGATCATTGCCCCATTGCTATGGATTGATTCTCCGAAGTAGGAGTGTAATCGCCCTCTCTGCATGTATTCATACCTTGTATTCGTACGAAGCTGTGTCGCGGTGGGAGATAACACCCTTCTGTGAGTACTTGCAAACACAGATGATTGTACTTGAGGTACAGCGACAGCTGGTGAGGAAGACAGGGTGAGCAGGGTGAATTTTAACAGCAGGAGAACCTGGACTGAAGAATCCATGAACTCGCAAAGGGAGAACGAAGTAAGCAGCAGAAGTACTTCGTACTGGTACTGTTCCTGTTTTTGGGAGATCAACTATCGTGCAATTTACCACCGAAAAGGGATTCGAGTCAAGCCTCGATTGAAGTTAAGGTACTTCGTACTCCGTTTTTATCTCTCCCTTCCCTACCCTTTTAAAGGGAGACCGCCCGCTTTTGACGGACCCGCGCCTTAGATGCCATTTTGGTCGGATTATTAGAATACCCCGTCCACTACTGGTAGCTGGTAGAGTGAGCATTGTACAATTGCACGAAGCCGGGAATAATACTGGATTAAGGCCCGCTCCCCATTCCCCATTCCCCATTTCTTGACCTCCCACCTCACTCCCAAGTTCCCGGTCACACTCCGTTACTTTTTCTCGGGTCCCCCCATCAATTCCAACAAGTGAATGTCTTATCTCCTCCCCCTCCTCTCCCGGTCTCACTTTGTACTTCGCCTTTCGCACCGCCTCACCATCGAATACCGCTAAATAACGACCGAAGCGCATTCAGAAACGACCGGGGATTCTCACTACAGATTGACAAGGGCCGGCCGGCCATTGTTCAGACCTTCGTCCGATTTATCGACAATGCCGTCCCTCTTTCGCCGGCGCCATGAGCCCGAGGACATCAAGCCTCTGCCCGCCCCCTCGGAGGGTGTCGAGGTGTCGGGGCTCGAACATATCAAGTCTCTCGAACAAATGGAAAAGAAAGCCTACAACCTCGATCCGAACATGCCCTTGGACGTATTAAACGAACTCGATGCTGCTATCGCGACCGGAAATGTCGAGAAGGGAGCTGAGATTGAGCAAGCGCTTATGGACGACAACAGCCCCTATCCCGAGGTGTGTCCTTTTTCTTTGGTCCATCCTATTGCCCTCTAGCTGGATCAACGAGCCTTATGATGGGAGGAAATGAGAGGATAATCCATATTTCCCCCGCCCCGGCATATAATATTGTCGCGACGGGTCTATTTGGAGTAGGCTGGGGAGGAAATCCGGAATTATCAGTGGTTACTGACGAAACGCGATCGACGAAACAAAATAGGTTCGAGCCGTCGTCCGAAACTTCGATGTCGATATGCCCGCGAACACGATCCGCGCCTGGGTAATCGGAATGTTCCTTTGCACTGTCGGATCTGCCGTGAATATGCTTTTCTCGCTTCGCAACCCCAGCGTTACCATAACAACCTACGTCGTTCAGTTGGTCGCCTACCCTCTCGGCCTCGGCTGGGATCTTATCATGCCCGATAGGGAATGGAATCTATGGGGATTGAAATTCAACTTGAAGCCCGGAAAGTTCAATTACAAGGAGCATGTCGTAATTGTCGTCATGTCGAATGTGAGTAAACACGAGTGATCGATGAATTACCTTCCATCCCATTCACTTCAAGATTCGACGATTGAGATGCCAGTGGGATGGAGAGAGGACGCGAAGGGACGATCTATACTAACAACTTTGCCTCGTATCAGGCTGCGTACGGCGGTGGAGTCTTGTACGCGACCGATGTCTTGCTGGCCCAACAGCTCTTTTACGGCCAGCACTTTGGCTGGGCCTTCCAGCTCTTGTTCGGCATTACGACCCTCTGCACCGGTTACGGCCTCGCTGGTCTCGCCCGTCGTTTCTTGGTTTGGCCTGCGTCCATGATCTGGCCTTCCGACCTCGTCAATTGCGCGCTCTTCTATACCCTTCACGATCACTCGCCTTCCGACCCTTCGAAGACGAATGGCTGGAAGATTGGCCGTTATCGATTGTTCTTGATCGCTGGCGCCGGCGCATTCGTCTGGTACTGGTTCCCCGGTTGGATCTTCCAAGGTCTCTCCTACTTTTTGTGGATCTGCTGGATCGCGCCGAACAGTGTCATCGTGAACAAGCTTTTCGGCGGCCTGTCCGGATACGGCCTCTTCCCATTGACTTTTGTATGCTTTTGATCTTTTACGTGTACTCTTTCTGTATGAATTTGCCAAATGCTAACCGGCGACCAGGATTGGACCGTTATTTCGGGCTTCCTCACCTCCCCGCTGATTCCGCCATTCTACGCCATCGCCAATGTCGTCGCCAGCGTTGTAATCTTCTTCGTCATCGTCTCGATGGGTATCCACTTCTCTGGCACCTGGTACGCCGACTACTTCCCCGTGCAGAGCTCTATCTCCTACGACAACACCGGCGCCGAGTACAACGTTAGCCGTATTCTCAACGACAAGTTTCAGTTCGACGAGGAGGCTTACAAGGCTTACTCCCCTCTATTTCTATCGACTCAATTCGCGCTCGCCTACGGTCTGTCGTTTGCTGCCGTCACCGCCGTAGTTGTCCATGTGGCGCTGTATCATGGCAAGGAGATGTGGAGGCAGTTCAAGCTTGCGCGCCATCAGGAAGATGATGTGCATATGAGGCTTATGAAGAAGTACCGTGATGCTGAGGACTGGTGGTATTTCGGTAAGTTTTCCCAATCCTACTACAAAATAGGGCCGCCATTTCCCCTCCCCTCTCTCTCTCTCCATCCCATCCCCAAGCGGTAGAAGTAAATTAATACTAACGCTCACGGTAAAAGCCCTCTTCGTCGTCATGGTCTCGATTTCCTTTGGCGTCGTCGCAGGTTGGCCAACGGGCTTCCCTGCCTGGGCCTTTGTCATCTGTATGCTTCTCCCTATCGTCTGGCTCCTTCCCATCGGCATTATCCAGGCCGTCACCAACATCCAGCTCGGCCTCAACGTCCTCACCGAGTTCATCATCGGCTACATGGTTCCCGGCCGCCCCATGGCCATGATGATGTTCAAGAATTATGGTTACCTCAGCATCGGGCAGGCCCTCTACTTCGCCCAGGACCTCAAGCTCGGCCACTACATGAAGGTGCCGCCGCGCGTCATGTTCTCCTCTCAGCTCATCGCATCGATCTGGTCCGCCATCGTCCAGATCATCGTCATGAACTGGGCCCTCGGCCACATCCCCAACGTCTGTGACCTCCAGCAGGAGAACCACTACACCTGCCCCGGCGGCCGCGTCTTCTTCACCGCCTCCATCATCTGGGGGGCCATCGGCCCCGCCCGCATCTTCAGCGGCAAAGCCATCTACCACAACCTCCAGTGGTTCTGGCTCGTCGGCGCCCTCGCCCCCGTCCTCACCTGGATCCTCGCCAGGCGCTGGCCCCGCTCCATCTGGCGCTACGTCAGCACTCCCCTCATCTTCGGCGGCGCCGGCCTGCTGCCCCCCGCCAGCGTCTACATCTACCTCTGCTGGGCCGTCGTCGGCACCATCTTCAACTACTTCATTAAGCGCCGCTACACGGGCTGGTGGCTCCAGTACAACTACATCCTCTCCGCCGCCCTCGACTGCGGCCTCATACTTTCCACCCTCGTCATCTTCTTCACGCTGTACCTTACCTCTGCACAGGCGCCGCAGTGGTGGGGGAATGACGTCGCCGTTAATTCGATGGATTATAAGGGCACGGCGCATAAGTCGCACGTGCCGCCCGGCACGAAGATTGGACCGACAGAGTGGCCTTGAACGGGCCTTTCTGCACGATTTAGCTTCCCCTTTCTGTTTATGGAGTTCATTGGCTTTTTTTTTCATCTTCTTTTGCTCTCTCCCGGTTGGGAAGAACACTTTTTCCCTTGTATAATGACGCGAAATAGCGAGGGTATATGATTTTATAAATGAACCGATATATGAACCAAGAATACGGGAAACCTTGGAAACGAGACTGGGGATGGGGTAGGGAAGGAGGTGGAGGTTGGAACTAATTCTCCTTTCCTGTACATGGAACGCGTTCCCGCGCCCTGGTTTTGGTATATCCTTGGATGTTTGGAATCGGGAGGGGTTTCCTTTTTTTTTTTTCTTGTTTAACGTTAAGGCGTTTGAATGGTAGGAAAGGGAGCTTGAGGGCTTTAGCATAGGATTGGCGTGAAATTTAACGAGACTAGCCTTTTTACTTGAAGATGTCGCGTGTAAAGTCGTCGGAGAGAGACGGAAGAGAAAAGCCCGTATGATACAGAGTACTACTTGGATAAATCTCGTGCCAACACAAAAAACGCCAACCACGACACTACACATCAACGCTCGATAAAATACATGACCTAAATACCACAAAATCCCCCGTCCCGTCCCGGCGCCCCTGTCCCTGACCTCTCAATTCCATCATGATACACTAAACTAAGAGGCAGGCTCAGGCGCATCTCCCTCCTCCTTCTTGGCCTCCTCGGACTTGGCCTCCTCAGCTGCTGATTTCTCATCACCTTCGGTCTTCGTCTCCTCGGTCTTCTCCTCGGCCTTGGGTGCATCTTCGGGCTTCGCCTCCTCCGAAGGAGCAGCGACCTCGGTCTTTGGCTCGTCCGCTTTGGTCTCCTCGGGTTTAAGCTCCTCGGGCTTTACTTCGACGGCGGGGGGTTCATTGGCCTTTGGCTCGTCCGCGGCGGTCTCCGGCGCAGGTTCTTGGGTAGGGGCGGCTGATTGAGTCTTAATCTCCTCGGCGCGCTTATCCAGATTCTCTACGAGGCTGTCGAGAAGACCGGGGCTTTCGGCGTCTTTGGCTGCAGACTCTGGTTCTCTTGGCTGCTCGGCTGCGGGTGCCTCCGCTGTCGGCTCATTCGAACTCGCGGGTTCAGCTTCCACAGGCGCAGGTTCAACGGGGGCTTCTGCCACGGCAGCGGCGGTGGGCGAAGCTGACTTTTCGGCCTTGACGGCTGGCGAGGCTTCCTTCGCTGGGCTCGCGGAAGGAGCGGAGGCCGGAGCGCTGGCTTCCACCGGAGCCTGAGCGACATCTGCCGTGTCACTCATGACTGTATCAGCACTCTCTATCGCCTCCTGGGGTTTGGTAGGCGATGCTTCGCGAGGGACGTTTGGTTCAGTCTCCGTGATCTCCTCTTCAGCCTCGCCCGATTGTGGGGGAACCTCGGGGGGCGCGGAAGCCAGTGGTGCCTCATCTGCCATAACAGTATCTATCTGCGCCGAAGCCCCTGTCTCGGGAGCCTTCGGCGGCGCAGCTTCTACAGGAGACCGGGATGAGGGCTCTGTAGGAGACATTATCATGACATTCTTCAGGGGGCTTCCCTCAATCCTCGGGGAACCCAATGGAGGGATGGGTAGAGGTGGAGGCACTAGATTCACCGGCCCTGGTGATGGCACCTCGCTCGGTTTCTCAGTCGTCTCAGAAGGTTTGGGTTCTTTAGCGATGGTCGGTGCGTCGGTCATCTCATGGTCCTGGGCCTGCTTTTCCGTAGACTCGACAACTCCCGAATCCCTGTCGTTCTCGTTCTCTTCTCCCTCCTCACCCTCGTCTCCTTCCTCACCTTCGTCACCCTCATCCTCATCATCTGAAGGCGCTGCAGAATTGGTCTTGTGGTCCCTAGCTGCAGCATCCTCTCCGTCACCCTCCTGCTTAACACTCTGTAAACTATAGTTAGTATGGCATACACCAAAGGGTACAATCGAGGAAAGGAAGAAAAAACTTACAGCCTCTCCCGTCCCAGCAACGCCGTTGGTAGAAGTTCCAACAGTCGCCGCCGTCGCTGCAGAAGTGGACCGTGTACTCGGAGGTAACGGTAACTTCCTCTTCCTTCCACGGCCGGGACCTTTGGGTTTCCTCTTCGGCGGCGGGGGCCGGCGCCGAGCAGGAGCAGGTGGCTGTGGCGCTTCCCCACCGCTAATCGTAACAGGGGCTGCGACGACGCTCGTGGCGATGATCTCTCCCTCGATCTTCTGGCCCTCGACAAGAGTAACTTCTTGCGTGTAAGGGTTCCCGGCCGCGTCGACCCTGCGAACAGTGGCTTTCGTAATAGTGTTTCCGGAGGCCGGGGCCACAACCGTCTTCGAGGCAATGGTGATGGTTCCCTTCCTTCTCTTAGCGAGGTGACTGATATCCGGGCCCTCCAAATTACGCGGTAACGGCTTCCATGACTTGACAGTAAATCCCGTCGTACTCGGATCGTCCTCTTCCTTCTTCTCTAGCTTCTCGGCCGGGATCCCATCGGCCTCGGGTTCTTCTTCCTCGGCGGGAAGCGGTCGCTTATAAAGACGTCCGGATCGCGCGGCACGTAGCAACTCTTGGCTATGCGGCGGTAGGAGGTGTGCGTCTTTGGGAAGACCGTGGGGGAGCTCGATGGCCCAGATGTCGTTTGCTTTCGTCGTCTCGGGAGGGGGTGGAGGCGCGATTCGGAGCCATTCTTCTCGCCATTGTCGCACGGGAAGACCTGTTGGATGAGAATAAGTATAAATTATCTGGGATATGTTCCAAATGAGAGGGAATGTGTCAACGCACCCTCAAAGTCGTCGTGTTCCGCATAACCGGCACGATTAGCTCGTCTAGTCTTCAGAGTCGAGCGTTGTTAGTCAGTCGACAATTAACAGAGGATGATGTGGTAGCATCAAAACTAACACCTGGGGCCATTCTTCGCAATGGCAGCCCGGAGCTGCGAACGCGATAAACCACAAAGTTTCTAAAACCGAATGATTTTCAGACCGGGGATACTGCAAAGGAAGGTTCGACGGTCGCGTGGCTGCGAATTGATCGGAGATTCCACGATGGCCTAAGCGCTGTCGAAGCGTAGCTAAGAGTCGGAAGTAAGGGTGGTGATTGCCTTTGCCGGAAATAACCGTCAATAAGTGTGGTCGTGATTGTTCTAATCCCTCTTGGAGTTATGTACAAACTTGAACCAATTCGGCGACTTCAAATCTCGAATCGCGGCGCACTTGCCGTGTCGCGACGCCAGCCTTGCCACTGGTAAGTGTCACGTGACACACACTAACGATTGGCGATCACTGAATCATGACTTGTACAGTACGCGTTTCTTCCCATACTATGTATGCAATGCAATTAGAATCTTCAGTTCCCGTATCCAGCATCTCCGGCTTCCGGCCATCAAAGTCGGGATTGATGAGTTCAGTAGTGAGGGAAAGCCAAACTAAGTCACCAAGTCTAAGAAGTACACTGCACTTTCTACACGTAGCCAGTCGCAGCGGAAGCTGATATTCCTGATTACCAGCTAAAAAGAGTAATAGAACGTTCACATCCAAGCTGCGGAAAAAAAAAAGTTGAGTAGTGAATACGCAAGTTATTCAGATGCCAGGCGCCTGCTCTCCGCCCCTCTCCATTCATCAAGATTGGGGTATCGTTCCCAGTATCTTTCCCTAATCATACAAGTATAATATAATTGAAGTGTCGTGTCTTATCTTCATCCCCAACTCCGGTCTATGCTTTCCTTCGCCATCCACAGTTCCCACCCCCCGCTGTCCTGCTAGGAACAATTTCAAGGCCCCTTCTGAGGCCATATGATCACCATAAAGCTTTCACTTTATTCCTTGTTAGGCTTCCGCCCTCTTAGCCACCTTCCCAGCAGAATTCTCCAAGACAAGCGGATCGAATTTGTAAAACTGGCTGATGACCGTCTGCCTCTTGACGACCTCGAGTTCTTGTCGTCCCTTGCTCAGAAGCTGGGTGATCTGCTCAGGGTCCTTCACCGTCATGTTCTCGCGGAAAGCGTCTCTCGTTCGGCGCTTCGCGTATTCTCGGAAGTTGTAGGCGGAGAATTGTTGGCCTTGCCGGAGGAGTTGGCGGTACTATTCGTCATTGATGGGCGTTAGCAAAAAAGAAGTGCGCATGTCGGAGTTTGCGAATACAATATTGGATAGTTCCGCGGAGGAGCGATGACTAGTAGGGACTTACAAGAGAACGGGCTTGCTGGGCGGTGTCGCCCTTTAACGCGGAGGCGACTGACATTATGACTGTAGAATGGCTTTCGGTTTGGGGCAGTAGGGAGGAGAGGGTGTGCGAAGCAAAGGTTGAGGGCGAAGATCGATGCTTGGGGATTGATTGATAAAATAAGCTTGTTTGGAGGTGGGAGATTTTGGCGATGGCGGAATTTGTAATATTCCGCCTTTTACCTCCGTCGCCCGTCCGCAAGGCCGAACGCGGTTGACGTAACCAGTTACAAAGTGGAAGCAAGGAGCAAGGACCACAAACCAGGGCGAGTTGACCGAGCACTCCGAACCTCCGCCAACTCATTGAAGTCACAATTGTGTCAAATTTGGTCTCTGACTTTAATATTCCGTTGTTTGATGTGGCTTTTGGCCCTGACGGGGCCGGTTTGTTAATACGCCTGGCTACGAGGTAATGCATCAACGACATCGGAGAGCTGTGACGTACAATCCAAAGGACCACCTCTTAGGGAAAACCAACAACAAAAAATCCCTTCAAATTATACAAGAGACGGCATTGCTCTGAACTTGAAAAGAGGGAAGAGGCGAACGCGATCGCTCCGTACGTCAATTGGAAAGAGGGCTTCGTCACTCAGCCACGCTACGGGCGGATCACCATGGGGTAGATGAGTTAGATATGTTTGACTGAGTCTACGACGAGAGAGCAAATATATCTCTTATGTGGACGCGTATATACTATCCAAAGAGGAAGAGGCAAAAAAATATGTACATCAAACTAAATCTGTGTACAAGAATAGAAGGAAGCGAATATGCCGAAGGAACAAATGCAACCAAAAAAACGCCCCCCAAAATATGCGCCTATATACAAAATATGTACTGTTCCTCCATATGAGCTTCAAGGAAGTCCCATCAAGAGTGATTCCAAGTCCCGATATCTCGGGGTTCTGTTTGAAAGGTTAGCCGGAAAATTGATCGGAAAGGCCAGTAATAACAGCCTGAGGTCAAAGGAGTTTGTCGAGAAGGACCTACCCAAGGCCTGTGACTGGATCCCAGCCCTCCCGAGCAGAGAATCCATCCGTGGAACATCCAGGGTTGCGGCCGAATCGGATGTCGTTGAAAACACCAGGGTTCGCGTATAGCACCGGATTGACGAAACCAACGGTGGATTTGCCGGCAGCCAAGCGCTTTTCGTTTATGAGGGTGAGCATCGCCGCGAAAACGGGAGCCGAGGCTAGTAACAAGCGGTCAGTTTTTCTACTATAAATGAGGAAGAGGTTCGCCCAAAGCAAAGACATACCTGACGTGCCATATGAAAGGGTAAAGTTCCCGTTAACACCCGTAACAAAGTTCGCTCCATTGGCACTAACATCCGGATATCCTCTCGTCGTCCTCGAATTATTATACCGATCCGATCCGTAAAGCGATCCAGCCTCCCGGTGATATTCCTCTACGGCTTTCCTCTGGTATTCCGGCATGGGAAAGACGTTAGAGAATCCCCCACCCGACCGAATCACCTTCTCACAAGCCACTTCTCCGCTCCGCACCGTCGATCCCTCCATAACCTCCGTAGCCCCCACCGAAGTCACCCACGGACACGTACTCGGGAAGGACGGATTAAAGATCCCGCCCAGGGACCCATGCTGATACGCCCCCGTGAGCGGGTCGAAGCACTGGTTCTTGTTTCCCGCGACGCCAAAATCTCCCGACGCGAACACCATGGAAACTCCTTGGAGGGCGAGCTTCATGTACTCCGCGCACTGTCGCTCCTCGTACCTCACGCTCAGGTCGCCCTCGTTGTAAGCGTAGCTCGTTGAGATGACGTTGACCAACGGCGCCGTGCCGCAGACTCGCTCCTGCGGATACTGTCCGTCGATGTTGGGGTCTTTTGACCCGCCGCCTTGGAAATTGCAGTAGCTGCCGTCGATGGCGTCCAGAAAGTTGTTAAAGCTGCCTCCTTGGACCGTGTCTCCGACCTGGTAGAGAGTCACACGCTGGGGATAGATTAAGGACATGGCAAACTCGAGATCTAACGAGGATTCCCCGTTGTAGAAGTAGGACTGCTTTTCGGTCTGCAGGACGGCGTCGGCGATGAGGTGCACGATCGGGGACTTGCCCACGAGTCTCGGTTCGTATTGCTCGAAGAAGAGGTTCAGGTCCTCCTGCAGGAACGACTGGGGCGTGTACTCTACAATTCCCAACCCGTTGGCCGGCCACTGTAAAGTTCCTGGGGGCATGCCGTAGAGTGCTCGAATGCATGCAGGCGTTATCATGGTATCGCAGTCCATTAAACTCGCGAGGACACTAGGGTGCTTAACAATCTTTCCCGGTTTGGGTAGACTGCCGCTTGCCGGATCACCCAGAATGGCCGTTATTCCAGGTCGAATCCCTTCCGCTGGATGAAGCAAATCAGTAGATATGGGTACCCTCTTCCTTAACCTCTCGAGTTTCTCTTCGGAGAGTGGGATCTTGACGCCGTCGTGTGAGTCCCCGAGCCGTTGGTCGAAGTGCACGGTGGGTGTGATGATGTCGATGTGTTGAGCGAGATGTTTGGGGACGGAGTACCCATCACATGCGACATGCGCATGACCGGACTCATGATGAGTGAAAATGTGGTATTCTGCCTCGAGTAAGGCCTCCACCTCATCTCGTGTCGCCGTGAAAGATATCCAGTTCCTAGCTCTCGAGACAGTGGTTCGATTCCGATCGATTCCTTCATCCTCTAGCCATGCAAGAACGGCGTCTATTGTAGTTTCCTCCGGGGCAAATGTGTCGATGATCTTCTCTCGGGACCAGTGCCGCCCATAGGAGGGCGACCTTGGATCCGCAATCTCACTGACGAACTCATTGGCCTTGTCAAGATTCCTCTGCGTCAACCCGATTCTCACAGGTAGGGAGTAAGATCTCGGTAGACGAATATATTTAGACCAATTTGACCTGGTTGACCTCTTCTCGTGTTGGACATGCTCGATTACCGAGCGAGGTGACACCGGACTGGCCATCACTGCCAGAGCGGAGGTGGTCATCGCGATCAAGAAACCAGGTCTCATTGTTCACTTGATGCCCCAACTCCCACGGAAAAACCCAGGGGAAGACCATCGCAGGATGAACCTTGGGGGGCACCTCTACCAGTTGTAGAAAGTGGCAAGTACATGGGCCAGATATGAGGAGCTGGACAGGTGCACGCGTACCCTCCATTGGGAATTTTCCAAGGTAAATTGATCCCCGGTTTCTACGAAGGATCCAGTATGCCGAGCCGCTCCTCGATACCAGTTTGGTGGACCATCTTAGCTTGGCCCATCCCAAAAGACATGCAGATAATATGCTGGGCAAAACTCCATGTGTGTCTTTTTTTTCGGTCCCACCGAGGTCAATAGCACGAACACTGCACGTCGCCCCAAATCGTGGGTGAGCACGGCGAGCCGAAGGAACAAGGCTTCGCTTCGGGAATTATTCGAAAATTAAGCGATCTCATAGGGCAATTTGTGTCCTCCTGATATCGGAAAGTGTGGTCGCGAAGAGGAGCATGGCTAAATGGGATCAACTAAGATTCCTTGCTCTGCCAAATACCAGATGAATTGCGGCGTTGTACACAGACAGCTTGCCCCAATTAGGACAGTTTAGGACGGTTCCGTCCAACGAAGGCAATCCCCTCCTTATTATCCATCCCGTGTGTTCAAGCAAGCATATGACGAATGGGGCCCACCTCATGCGTCTGGTAATTAAGGCACCACCTGGTCAGAGGAGTCTTGGGTAGTAGGGTTTATTTTTGGATTCTTGCTTTACCGACGATTACGGGGGTGATATAGTTGGGGAGGGTGTGATCTTGTGCGAGAGAACACTTTCAAGAGCTGACGTTTGGTGTAACCCGGGATGAGCAAATTTAGGACGGACGGAATGGATTCTCTCACCGCAGGAACACGGTCATATACTGATCACATGGGCATCGAATCGGGTCTTGGAGCGTGATTGGGTTTGTGCCCCTTGCAGGCATTGAAAGGGGGAGAGACACCGATGGGGCTTCTTCATTAATTTTTAAACTAATGTGGTGTCTTGGCCTCGACATATTTCTGGAAGGTGAGCTGTTGCAAGGCGCGTTGTTCATTTATAATCTGCCACAGCTCTTCGTTCGCTTCATCAGCCCCTTGGCCCGAGGAGGTGCCTGAATTAGACTGCTCCAAACCGAGTAGGGCGGCTTCTAGTACATCTGGAGGGAAGCCCTTGGAGTTCAGCACCCGGCTGAACTTGGTTTCGTCGGCGAGGCTCGTCTCTAATTGCGCCGTAAAGGTATACTGCCTCTCTGCGCGAGTGGGCTTGACAACGGTGTGGATCTTGATGGGCTTCTTCTCCGCCATCGGCTGCGAGAACACCAAGTTTGTGACAGGTGAATTTAAATCTGCAACCTTGGTCGGATGGCCATCGCTCGCCAAGGTCCATTGGAGCACCTTGCCCTTGGAGTGGCCAGTGAGCAAAGTAGTTCCGTCAAAACTGGACGCTATGCAGGAAGCCGGTCCGTCGTCGGCCTCAGCGACTCCGAGAGGAGTGGTGACTTGGACTGCAGTCGAGGAAAGGCCTTCACTGCGGGGACCAAGGAGAGCTTTGTCTCCGAACAGCTCCACCGCGAAGACGGAACCATCCTCTGAGGCTACAAAGATAGCTCGAGCGCAGGGATCTAGGCACACACAGAGCGGTATGGATGGAAACAGCAGAGTCCTCAATGCCTCGCCTGTCTGGTAATTCCAAATAATGCATGTCTTGTCCTTGCTGGCAGAGATGCACATGGAAGTCTCCGGATTAGTGCTTTTAAAGATGATCACAGACGTAACGGCAGCCCTGTGATTTGAAAAGGACCGGTCTGGTTCATAATCTGCCCGAACATCAAGGTCGAGGAGGTGAGGCAACGACCAAACGTGAACGTTCGAGTCATCAGATCCTGTGAGTACGTGATAGGATGTAGCTGCTAGGCAGGTTATGGCCTGAACGTGGCAAGCAGGGGTAGCGGCCTGGCGGCCTGTGCAAATCTGTAGATAAAGACATACACGGTGAGTAACTAGACACGGACGAAAATCGACGAGGGGTATCACGCCGAGAGATATAAATTGAACATGAGAAAAGCCTACCTCCCATAGTATCAGTCTGCCCTGAGCTGTGCCTAGGAGCAAGACATCTTGTATCAAAGCGATAGAAGTTATTTTCTCTTGGAAGGGAATCAAAGCTTCCTGGTTGCCTCGTATCCTCGAGTAGACATGGACGTGAGCCTTGTCCTTTTGCGCCGCAAAGATATGTGAATCACTGACGGCCAGGCAATTTGGAGATGTGGAACTCTTCTTGAAGGTGGATTTCGCGCTCAGTGTGGGATGTAACTGGTAAGAGTAGATCCCTACATCCCTTGCTATTTCCGTCCTAGAGGAGAGGGGAGGTCCGCCGGTGGAGGCGAAGAAAGACTCGGAAAGCATTTTCGCAACGAGTCCAGCCAAGATGACGAAATATGTGTAGGTGTGTACCACGTCGGCACCTTAGAGGTTCCGGATGCGAAAAACCTTTGCTCAGGTGTGAAGAATAATTAGTTTTGAGTGTAAGTCAAGGGCCCTCGTGATGTTGGAGAGCGCAACGATGAGCACCGTTTCACAACATGGGCGTGTCCACACGAAATTAAGGTACTTCGTATAGGTGATATCTAGACCTCGACTGGGTCTCACGAGTCCGGGTAAGGGAGATGCAAGAGAGGCTCAGTTCAAAGACACTAGGCTCGATATCCGTATGTCGTCAATGGGCTGGAGCCGCATATGAGCGTCGGAATGAGGCGATAACCCGACTTGGGCTCCGAACGATACTGGCCTTCAGTTATTCTGCGGGGTTTATGAATTGGGGGATGCTATCGAAGCAGATCTGCAAAACTCTTGTGGGAGAGCCTTGAGATGAGATTTTGATCTCCAGGCAAGGCCAATGGGTATCAACAATACAACAAAGGTCCCTCGTCAGGAGATGGAGGATAACGGCCGCTCCGTTTCCTTGTGAGCTCCGAAATGCTTTTTTCTAAAGAGGAGCGAGTGAGAAATGAGTATTGGCTTGGTGGATGGGTGTTGTGGGTTGAGATGATGCAAAGTTGTTCCGTCTCATGCGGTTCTGAGGTGGAAGATTTTTTTTTCCTTTTCGGAAGGTTCCAATATTCAGACATTGACCAGGCCTGGCACAGGCTGGTGTGGGGCGTCGACTGGTTTATGCCAACCCCCATCCTGAAGGCTCGAATTCTACCAACTCAGCCTGAGGGACAAAGAAAGAACAAAATATTACATCAATATCATTGATGAGTAGTAAGTAATCAGGACGAGTGGACAATGTCGCAATTGTAGTCGAAATATCTTGATTCGACCAAAATGCCAAAATGCCAAAATGCCAAAATGCCAAAATAAGTGTACGAAGATTGCTCAAAGTACCAAGGTACAGAATATTCGAAAGGAAGTTGCAGGGGAACAGAACTTGCCATCAATTATCAACCATTTCAACCTCATCAAATCGCGGACCATCTTCATCACGAATTTGGGTGACATTTGAGCGCGATCAAATCTGTCACAGAACACGGGGCCTACACGAATTGAGGGTGCGGGTGCAGGTGCAGGTGCAGGTGCGGTCATCGACATCACTGACCGTTTCTCCACCAGCTGTTCCCTGCAATGCCTAGATCATACAGAGTAGATGGACGAGTCGCTCAATATGGAGTACTCGATGCACTGCTCGCGAACAGGTCACCAACCGACCCAGTAATCATATCAACACCACCCCCTGCATCGGCACTGCGGAGCAAATGAACGCTGGCAACCCACCTTCAGCGCCGCCATGAAGCAGCCGCTGACTCGGTGCATTCGCCGACTCCCGCGTCCGCAGCATTCAATCTCCCACGCGTGCCGACTCGGATCATTGATCCATTCCGGCACCGACTCCGTCTCTCGGACGTCACAGAATGGATTGGGCAATGTCAACTGGTCTTGGTCCTGGCACTTCATCCACTATACTTGTTAATGACAAGGCCTATGTCCATTGTCCGCACGAAGCCACGACGCGGCATTCAGCAACCACCTGGTGCCTTTTCAGCCCATCTTGTGCGACTCTGAGTCGGACCTGCTCCGAATGCATGGCCTTGCCTGGCCTGGTCTGGCCCTGCAACACAAGTTAACCCCAGAGCCAATATTCGGCCAAGCCTCCATCTCCACCACGCCGCCTGTCATTACGCCAACGGCAACGAGTCAATCTCTTGCAGCTGCTGATGACTCCTCTCTGTCGCCTGCAGAGCGCATTTGATCCTTGTTAGCGTGTCCACTCAGAGGATGAATGCCCCAGTCAGTGTGTCTCTCCTTCCTTTCCCCTTTCTGGGGCGGCGCGTAATCCTCTATGTGCCGATTCTAGTGTAAATTTTTTTTCTCCCTTTTTTCTCGCACCGTCTTGCTGTTCTCTAGTCTAAACCACGGCTGTTCCTCTACCTCTGACATTATTCTATGAAACGGTTCGTCTCCCGGCCAAAACTCACATTTTATACCAATGTCTCGCTTCACTAGGGTAATGCTAGATCTTCGTCCTACCTTACACACCCCCGAAGCTTCCATCACATCTGGCCCCCCCTTGCATTTGAGTGCCGCAAGAACGTGGTCACCTTTGTCCTAGCCATGCCCTTCTCCTATATACACACTAATTTGAGACGAGAAGACTGCAGCCGCTGCATTGATCGGCATACGCTACTGCTGGCCATCGATGCCTCAACTCCATTCTGCACCACCATAATGCATGGAGCAGAACAGTTGAGTTTTGACCGAGCTGGCTGGCCAGAGCGTCCAGCGCTGGCTAGGGGGACTATGGATCCAACAGACGCCTCACTACACTAGGAAACGCCTCCACGACCTGCTCGTTCAAGCTCTGGCCATAGTGTATTCGTAGGCGCACGCCAATGGCAATAGGAACGACGAGGTCTAAACGTCTGGAGTTGGGGGCCTAACTCCCTCGGAGCGAGGGCGATATTGTTTCCCGGAGTTGGTGATGGAGGCTCGACGAAAATAGCCATGGCTCAATTCTCGTGTTCCTCGACCGCTACGCGTTATCCCGTCCCCGACACAGCTTCAAGCCTCTCGTCTCGATCCACTCAGAGCGCCGGTTCGTTCATACATCGAGGACCCCCTTCATGCCAACACCCGACGCGACTCGATGCTTTCCAATCTAACTGGGGCCTTAATGTCAGCCACGTGTAACCCCTTTCTGATGCGACCTCCTGCGTCCGAAAATAACAGGCACTGCGCAGAAGCAGTGGAGAAGCTCGGGGCATCTACCGAGCCAGTTCGTAGTAATGGCGACGATCAGACGACCAACCGAGCCTGCCGCCTTACAACCTTCTCTCCCTTTCGTGGTCTTTGACATTGATAGTGCATATAGAGATCCCCATGATCGGTCAAAATGGAGTTGGTATCGGCAATAATCGATGTCCAGCCTGCTTTCCAGCCGTGCAAGGACACTTTCATGAACTCCGTCTATCACCCACCCATGAGAGGGGTGAGAGGGGGTGAGCGGAGTTGAGGGCAGGCAAGTCCGGGAAGTCCACGGCATTTCAAGCCTTTCTGCTAGGAACAAGGAATATTATCCTCCTGAACCGAAGCATCGGTCTGCTAGAGCTGCTTCTTTTTTACTTTTTTTGTCTTCCCATTTGGTCTAGCTGCTGGCTGAACTGGATTCGCTATTCCAATTCTACTTGGAAAAAAAAAAAACAGTAAAAGAAGTTTCCTTGCTTTTCCATCTTGCGCACCAACATCTTCCTAGCCCTCTTCATGGCGCTCGACGCAATTGCTTTTCCTTGGCTCAGTCGTTGTCTTCGTCATTCACCCGATTGACCCCTCCCCTCGTACTACAGCATTCTCAGCCAAATGTTTCGTCTCAGCATCTCGTGCATCTATGAGTTGCCAAGGGGGCGCCTGACCTCGGAATTTTTTGTGCCGCGGGAGGGAGAAGATGTGATTACTTCTTCTTATATCAACACTCTCCAAGACAACCCCCATTTACACCTTTTCAGTCGCTGCTTGGTAGTGGGGGTGTGTCCAATCGCTTAAGCAAGCGTCCAGTCGCATTCAAAAGCAAAAGCCCCCGAGGACTCATATATTCGCACGCATTGTCTCACTACTCTGGGCCAGCTGGCATTGTCTCTCCTCTCCTGGTTTTTTTTTCAAAACTGAATTGAAGTTTATACCACACTCTATGTGAGTACAACATCTGCCGTTGCTGCTCTTGCCGGTGCTATTCTTTGCCTGCCATCCGTTTGACCCCTTTGAACCCTCCAAACCCCCTCCGCTCCTTAAATTTCCTCTGAGCAGTTGTGCAGAAACTCCTACTTTCCCCAACTAAGACTCCTTGACCTGTATCTTTGGTGCCTTTGCTCAGTTATATCTAGAGTTTCCACCCATTTGTGTGCCATCTGGTGATGGGCATGGAATCTCCATCCCTTCCACACCCAGCCCTCGAGCCTGACTATCTTTTATCAGATCCACTCTCAAGTTCAGCAATGGATGTGAAGTGCTCCTCTCCTTCTTCAATGCTCTCTCAAATTATAGAGCCTACATTATCAGGCCCTTCTGAAGCACAGGAGAATCCGGAAGGCTCAGAACCTAAGATGGGTTGCACCTTCCCCGAGTTTCTTGTGCACGACCTCGAGGTGTCGACTGCAGTCTTTGCATCGAAAAATATGACGGCAGGACCTCCCACCACCACCACCTTCTCAGCCGGGACCCAGCAGGCCATGCCTCAGAAAGTGTATGGCCCTATCTCTATTGTCGACCTAGGGCCTGGTTACCCTGATTCGGACTATCTCTCATCACCAAGTCCGGGAATTCGATACCAACCACTTCCTTTCCAGACTCGAACCCTCGACCCAATCGAAGAGCAGACGCGAGCGGTGGAATCAACAGAAAACATCGGTTTCGGGTCAAACGACGACGACTGTGATTGGGATTCGACCTCGAGTGATCATTCCTCAAGCTTCTTAGAGCCACCTTCTGTCAGGGGCCGCGAAGTTTCCGTCATCACAACTGCCACATCCCTCGCTTCCGGTAGACTATCAAGAGCCTCTTCCCATAAGCCCGCCAATGTGGAACAAAACGCCGAAATGAGCTGGATTGACGTGGATTCGGACTCGGACGACCCCGAACTGAGGGAAGACGAAAACCGGGCCAGTTCAATTTCGCCCTCGGCAAACCGACTGCCTGTCTGGCCAGAGGCTGATAACCTCATTAACCCATTTGCAACCCCGGTTCCAAGTACAGAGAAGGCTAATCTAGTCGAAACACGACAAGCACCTGCCCACTGTGTCCCCAATACAGAGGATCGTATGCCTCTCTACTCTAGCAGAGTCGCGAAACGCCTTGTGACGCGGCGGCGACGAGGCGTTAGGATGGTCTCGGATTCGCATCGCTTGGCTCGCTATTCTAGAAGCCTCTCCGTTGTGGACCAGGAATTTGTTCCAGGAGAAACTGAGATGCCTGCACTGGTGCCTTTCGATTCAGTTATAAATCTTCGAGCCACGAAGAGCTTTCGCACGAATTCCACCTCCTCATGTGAAGAAGTCCAGCAACACGGTGATTTTGATAGGCACCAGCCCCCCTTTTCGGATGGTAAGGACGGGGGTTATCAGACGGGCGCATACGTCTCCGAGGCTACAACTAATTCTGCTCCAAACCATCGCGCATCACCACAACCACCCGCAAAGGGCCCCCTGGTCATTAATGTGCAGACTTGGCTCGAATCATCGGTTGGCCTAATGGCAAGCAGCAAAGGAGATGACGAGTCGATGCCAGGGATCCCCCTACCTCCCGACGTTGTCGACAATATTCGCGTCTCCATAACCTGCTTCCCCGATACCATGCTTTTAACGTCGAGCTTGTCTATTGACACAATCCGGACGTATTCGCGAAAAGTCAGGACACCAATGCCCGACTTGGCGAAAGAGAGTTCCTCCACTAGTACCATCCAGTCTCCACGGCGGTGGGGATTTGGTCGCATTCGATCTTCCAAGCGTAACAATGGATCTACATCGGTCGCGGGTCAAGATCTCGCGAGTGACACCTTGTCTATCGATGACAAGGCCTCTATCAACAACTCGGAATCTAGCCTCAAGGCACCTTGGGCACCGTTCCGGGCCATCTTTGATTCCAGATCCGACTACCTCTGCGATGCTCTCTACGCTCACCTCGTCGTATACAACTACATTGTGAGCCTCTATCCGAAGCCGCCTGTACCTGCCGCTAGTCCCACACGACCGCCGTCTTTACGGAAGCCCAAAGACGACTGCTCCGACATCCCCCAGAAAGCCGCCGCCTTCCTCGGCATCACGACCACGGAGGAGAGCCGCCCTGATACGCCAACGCCTTCTCCGTCTCGCCCTGGAACCGCCTCGTCGTCATCCCGAAATAAGCTCAGGTCTAAGAAAGCAATCCTGCGAGTACCGTCTCTACTCTCCATCAAGCCGCCTCCTAGCGTGCGTACCGCCCGAATGGAAAAGGCCGAGAATGCCATGAGGGATCTTCTTACGGGCCTGGCGAGGTGTATCATCAGATTAGTATACACTCTTAGGGAAGGCAGGGATGAAGTTGTTGGGGAGGATGAGGATGGGGAAGTGCATGCGGATCTGTTTCTTGTGAGGGCGCTGTGTGAGATTGTTAGGGCGAGTGAGGAGGGTCAATGATTCATGATTTTGGAGGTGTAAGATTAGAGGGTAGAAAATGAAAAGCATGAATGACTGAATGCTCTACTGCCTGGGTGCCTTGCTATTCTGTAACACCTTCTTATGCTCCGTAATAGATCATTTGCTAGAATTTCATACCTCTCTTGTCCAGAGCTAGCTAATAAGTCTATTTGCTTCTCCAGCCAACTCACCACCTCTCCAAGAATCACGAAAAGAAAATTTAGAATACCCAGGGCGCAAAAACCAGTATCACGAATCTCTTCGGGATTGTGTCGTCCAACCAACGTCTGGCAGAGAGAATAATCCTGTCCTTGTCTTTGATGATGACGCTTAGCCTTAGCCTTGACGAACCGAGAATGTATGAAGAGAAAAACCAACTTACAATACCAGATCAATGGGCACATGCCGCGCAAGAACCCAATCCCAATCGGTATCACGGACGCGAGAGCAAACACCTGTCCAAGGCTCCAAGTGTTTTTATTGCCCGAGTTCGCATAGTCCAATAGCTGTCTCCGATAATGGTTGTAACGATAGAAGATGATCCAGGTCCAAACGCCGACAACGATGGCGTCGACCAGCCCCAAAACCAAAGCCCAGGTCTGGTATTTCGGATCTGCCCGTACCCTTTTGTCCAAGACCGAAAAGACCCTAGCGATAGTGGGCTGCGGCGCCTGCGCTACTGTCTGGCGTTGGCGGATCCGACGCTTGGTGAGCTCTGCGCCGATAGCTAAAATGAATTCCCTCAGGACACACCAAAGGATGAGGACGAACGCTACAACGGCAAGCCATATTTCGTCACTTTTGTAACTGAAGCCGCAGATGTCGTCCCAGAAATCCTCGAATCTAAACGGAACGAGAAAGTTGAATAAGGGGTAGGTCATATCTCCGACATACCGGAAAACAAGGGATATAACGACCAAGAAAAACAAGAAGAATAGTCCGGGGAAGGATGAAACAGCGAGGAGGAGTAATGTAAACTCCTTCTTGACCTTCTTATCCGTGGACAAGTCGGAACTTCCAACGAGCCTATACGTATCGACGCGGCGAAACAGCCTCCCGATTCTGTAAAGCCAGACTGCCAGACTCATGATGTAGGCCAGAACCCACCCCGCCACGCGAAAGTCTTTGTACTGCACGCCATCTTCTCGGGAAAAGAACTCGGCCAGGATGGAGAATGGCAATGCGAGGGTGAAGACCCCCACGGAGTCAGAGAATCCGTCAAAGGACTGCTTGACGGAGGCGTATAGGTGCTCTCGCAAGGATGGCTTCGAGAGTGTGGGCTGCGATTTGGGGATTCTCCCAGTATATACCTGGCCTGTCTCGAAGAGGGCAAAGAGTACGAACATGCTCGCAACAACCCCTTGGATTATATAGGCCGCGTATATCTATATCCCAATTTTAGCAAAATTCTCCTTATAAGCAAGAAGAAGAGGAGGAAGGGGAGGGGAGGGGTGAAACAGAAGCCGTTGAAACCCGAAACCAAATCGCGAACTTACACCAGGTCCATTTAAATCACTCAGCCGTTCCCATTCAAACCCGCCAGCCGAACAAACTTGTTCAGAGCAAAGCCGACCAGGGATATCAACCACGACGTTGAAATAAGTCACGTTCAGCCTGGCCTCGTGCCTTTTACTAAAGTCCTCTATGTCAAGCCATGCCTGGACCTCTTGAGAGTAGTTTAGTCGGAGTTGAAGTTCCCACTCTAAGATCTGGCCGTAGCTAGGCACGTTCTGCGTATTGGGAGGTAATGCAGCTCTGAAGTACTTTTCAACGATGTCCGCGCCGATGGTTCGAGGGATCCAGTGAGTGATGTTGACGTCTCCATGCGGCGGTTTTACTAGTGTCACGTCAGGCTCTGCAAGTGTCTCAAACCAGGTACTATAAAAGTCAGCGACGAGACTGCAGTCTGAAGCGAAATCGAGGGATTCGATCGACGGTGGTGTCCAGTCCATGGGAGCCTTGCTCGTGGGGCTGGCCAACGACATTTTCGCCGGTTAGGACGGTAATAATCTGGTGAAATGTGAATGAAGGTGCTACGAGATAAGGAGGAGAAGAAGAAGAAGAAGAAGAAGGAAAAGAATTTTCATCCAAAGTCTTGCCCGAACCTGGAAGTATCTGTCTTGAATTCAGCTCCCCAAAATGCGCAGCCTCGTCTGTTTCAGGGAAACTCCCGGCGCCTGCTCAGCCCTCTCAGCTCCAAAGTCCGTGATGCATTGGGCCAACCAGAATCTCGAGATTCAACGCCATGCAGATGTTGCCAAGGACACCGGCGGCAATTTCTCCCAAAAACGGGAGAACCCATTCTTCAAAATATCAGAGCTTCACAGGCTTTCCTAAATCCAAAGCAACCCGCCAGCCACGACGCCGAGGCCACTCGCCAAAGCAGAGTACTAGATCCTTCGCAGGCATCTCAGTCGGCCCAGAGCTTCTGTAGACTTGCGGAGCAAGGTTACCCGGGCGAGCAGTAGATTCTCTCTGGTTGGGAGTTGGATGCATTGGAAGCGAAACTCGTGTAGAACAAATCTAAATACGCAGAGCGTTTAACGCGAGCCAATCAAAGATTCCAATGCGGATGATGTCACACGACTTAGAGATGCAGATCCTCATCTTGATTCTTTTTATAAACCATTGCGCTCAGTAAAATCAGCCTTCCACAATTCACCTCCGCGACAAGTATCAAGAAGCACCATCATTTCTGACACCAACTTGGGCTGATCGTTTCTCCAGTCCATATCCGGACTTCGTCTCTTCCCATTACGCATCACCACACACATCGAGACAACAGACATCAATGCCTCTCTCCACCTCCTTCTCCCAAGCCTCACTGGCTGCAACGATCCTCGCATCCACCATCGGAACCTACATCGCCCTCTCCCCTCCCAACCCCAACCCAGACACCCACGCCTCCTCCACCCCCGACACCATCCACCGCCTCAACCTCGCCAGCCAACAAACCACCAATGTCGCCATCATTCCCCTAGCTCTCCTCTCTCTGCACAGCTCCAGCCTCGCCTACTTCCACCCCAGCATCCCTCCGTTCCTCCTCCACCACGGCACCAAAAACGCCCTCAACAGCGACCTCATCACATGGTCGGCCGCCACAGCCATCCCGCTCGCGCTCATCCTCACCGCCGGCATTCCCTTACGCCTAGTCTCGTACGCCTCGCTCGGGAAGAACTTCACTTTCGCGCTCGCCACGCCCGACCGCTTGAACACGACGGGCATCTACCGCTACGTACAGCATCCCAGCTATACGGGCATGGCCGTGCTCGTTCTTTCGAACACGGCGCTTCTGTGTCGCATTGACGGCGTGTTCAGTTGCTGGATTCCGCCCAAGTGGTATCCACTCGTCCGGCGGTTCTTCTGGTCGGCTCTTCCCGTCGCGGTGGGCATCTTCTTATTTGGCGTGTGGACTCGGGTGAGGCAGGAGGAGCGGATGTTAAGGGCTGAATTTGGGGTGGAGTGGGAGGAGTGGCATTCCAAGACCCCTCGGTTTGTACCGTGGAGGTTCTATTAAGACGAGTTATCTATACATCTTGGAATCTCAAAAAATTAACAAAAAAAAATTTTTTTTTTTTATCTATCTTGGCCCTCCCCCCTCCTACTCAGGGGTCGCGCCTCCCGCTTGGACCACTAGCCAGGCCAGATGGGGATCTCCATTGCGGCGGGATATTTCCTCCGAGAGTCTTCCTTTGCTCGATCCCTGGGTACCGGTTCGCAGTGGAAATTACTCGGGTAAGGTAGGATTCGAACCCAAGCCTCCCCGTCAAGGCGAGCTTGACGGGGAGCGCCACTGCCTTAACACCAACTCGGCTACTGCTTCGCTGGGTCGTCTGGTGAAAGTGCGGGGGATTATTGTTGCTTATATCACTATTCCGGGGGCTTTTTGGTGGCGGATGAGATGTGGAAGGTGCGAGGGGCTCGTTGTGCTTGGAAGGAACGAAAAGGAGGGTGTGTGGATGGAGGGCGTTGGCGTGGGTGAGGCATCGCGATCTTGAGTCGAATGGCTTTTTTTTTTTCCTGTTCTATCAAAAGTAGAGATTATGTTTCTCTTTCTCTATGCAGAGCGGACATGGATCTTCTAAACGAAAAAAGTACACCTTCAACTCCGTTCCCATCCCCATTCCTTAACCCGTACCAGAAAGGAGAGATGCACTCAAGAGCTCTAATCCAAGACATGCGAAAAGAAAACAAAAAAGCTAACCAAAGGGGAGAAATCAGGTTACAAAAAGAGGAGGAAGGGGGGATTTTGGTTGTAGAGGAGTTTTTAGACCTTGCATAGTCTTCCGTTGACTTCCTCCCAGCCCTCGCTGCCGACGCAAGGATGGCACACAAACACATTCTTTGGATCGACTCGACGCTTAATCTTGAGCAGACGCTCGTAGTTGTCGCCCCAGAACGTGTGTTGCCAATCCTCTTCAAAGATGGATGCCTACCCGAAAAAGAAACCTGTTAGTCCACAACCACTTATTCGTTTGGAGAGGGAGAGAACCTACCTCGTTCAAGTACGCGCCAGTATTAGGAGAAAGCGCCGCCAAGATCTTGCTACTCCTCTCAACAGCCTCTTTCGCCTCAATCCTCGCCGTCTCATTGTGCGACTCAAAGGTCTGACCCCTCACGAGGTGGACATACGACTTCCGCCACGCAGGATTAACAGAGGTGCCTCCGCCCCTCGGTTTAGCCTCCCTCACCCCCTTACCGGCAACAAGATGGGTTAGCACCATGCCAGAAGGCTGAAGGTACTCCTTCAAGGTGGCGGAGACCGAGTCCACATCCGAAAGAGTTTCATTATCGAAGAGACGAGAGGATAAATACGAGCTGTAACCCGCATCGCCGGAGTCAAAGTACTTCTCCCACCAGCCTTGGAACGAATCGAAAGTCTCTGGCTGCGCGACCACGGTGACGTTCGTGTTGGGAAAGCGAATCTTCGCTTCTTCGATGGCCGGGTAGAGGATGGCGTAGATCTCGGATGCGTTGACAGCGCCGGGGAGGAGGGCGAGGCCCATGAGGCCGCTGAGGAAGTCGGGGGGTCCGGGGAAATAGGTGTTGGGGATGTTGTTGGCGATGAAGATGTAGGCGCCTACGCCGGCTTCGGCCCAGGAAGGAAATTTGGAGAGGATGAAGGCTTGGTATTCGGCGAGCTGAGGGGTGTCGGGGAGGGCGAAGAGGGCAAGGGTGAGGTGGACTACTGGGGGACTGGGGATGGTTTCCAGCGTGACGGAGGTAACGACGCCAAAGGTTGAACCGCCGCCCTTTGGGAGAGAAAAAGGATGTTAGTTACTTGAATCACAGAGCTGCGTATTACTTTAGAAACTTACACCGCGGGCAGCCCAGAAGAGATCCTCATTCTGACACTCATTAGCAACAACAACCTCCCCATCTGGAGTGACAAGCTCCACTTCGAGCACATGGTCCACCGCAAGTCCGTGCTGGGGGCCGAGAATCGAGTGGCCTCCACCCGTCAGGTAGCCACCAACACCGACGCTCTTCGAGTTACCGCCCACGACGACCTGGTTCCTCGAAGAGAGGAAGGTCTGCACGTCGATCATCTGGGTGCCGGCGCGAGCTGTCACGGCATTGGACTTGATAGCCTCATCGCACCCCCGTGGCTGGAACGATCCATCGTGGTACTCCAGACCCTTCATGTTGTGGGTCCAGATAGAGAGAGAGTTAGGGGCGATGGACCGTCCCAGGAAGTCATGGCCCGTGGCTTTGACAATGAGGCGCACATTGTTTTTGCGGGCTGTGACTTGATGTTAGCCATGGAATTCAGCTTGCATTGACCAATTTCAAGCTTAATCTATTTTCTCTCTCCTCTTTTTTCTGCAACTCACCAAAATTGACGGCGGCCTGGACGTGCTTGGTCTCGGTGGCATTCACGACGAATGTAGGATATCCTGAAGCGTCGCACGGATAACTTGGGTCAGGAAGACAGGAGTCATTGCTGAACTGGTTCCATTGGGAGGAGGTGGGGTGCTCTGCGTGGAACTCGTAGCTTGACCATCCGTCGACGACGACTGGGCATTGGTCTGGGTCGTAGGTTCGCTGTCCCTGATGACAGACAGCTCCTGGTGGAGCTGGTTGAAGCAGTCCTCCTCCAAGCGATTCATTAAAGCGGGCCCAAGAGGCCTGCGATGGCCAGTTAGCATCTCCGGGGATGACTTTGCATGATTGCGGTGAACAGTTCTTCCGTCCATGGATGACGGTAGAGAAGGATAGTAATAACTGGGTGAATAGAAATGGAACGTGGGGCTTGAATGATGCGGAGACCATCTTGAATGAAAAGGGATGGAGGTCCCGGCGGCGCGGATCGGAGACACGGGCAGATGATATATACGGGATGGCGTCAAACACAACGGCTATACTAGTCCGTAACCAAGCCCCAGAAAGAGGGCAGTGAAAAAGAACTTTTGGGTCTGGGGTGCTGATTGGCTTGGCAGCAAAAAGAAGAACTGAAAACCCAAGATGACGAATATGACTTGTGCCTGCTTCAATGCAAAAATGTTTCTGTTTCTGGAGGTGGCGAGAATTCAAGCCGTTCAAGTTCCAATGTACTACACGAGAACTCGATAGACTCAAGGAATAATGTCAATTGATCCTCGGGGGGGCTATTGAGAAGGAAAGAAACGTCGGGAAAGAGGAATGGATCAATTCTGGGGATGGGTTCTTTTAATTATATTTGATCGATTCCCAAAAGGCAGGGAACAAGCTGAATGATGGGGATAGGATGGGTTTTAGGTTCAATTTGTTTGACGGGTGGTATTAAACGGGAAAAAGGGAGGCGAGATCAATTGAGAGAAATCAAATGGAGCCACTTACACGGAAGATCAATATGTCAAAAGCTTCGATTAGCGACCCTGGACCGGAGAAGCAATCGGCACTGACAGACGCAGGCCGAATGGTAGTACTGGGAATGATACCACACTTCTCCAGCGTACGCGTTGTCCTTGTCCGGCGGCGAAGGCAGTAGCGAAAGCTCATGCACCACACCCGGTTGACCCTATCCGGACCGCACTCGTCGACAGATTAGAAAATCGAACTGGTCCCGGTCCCGTTTAGGAAGAACGGGGTTAATTGGCTGGAATCGGATGAGTTGTACCGGAGCGACCAGTACGAAGATGGAGAGTGATTTGATTCGGCAGTCGTATTGTGCGTATTTCCTTTTTCCCTTTCAAAGCCCAATGGAGCGAGCTCGCGTGAGTCGTCGTATCCCTCGTACAAGCAGGTTGAAGAAAGGAAACCCCAGAAAATTAGGCCAAGATCAGTGAGATCGGGGAAGGAGGGTCGAACAGCAGAGAAGTCTGGTCGAAGTGAGAAGAGGAGAGAGTCGTGGGGGTGTAACTGTATAACTGAAGTATCGGCAGGCGAATGAGTCTACCGGAGAGTACTTCGTTTTCTGGACGAATGGGATTGCGCAGAATTCAGAATATGGCAAGCGAATATGACGATGGATAATAAGCACGGGAGAATAAGTTGCGACCGTTAGACTATTAAGTGTAAGTCTGGTGGCTAGTGCAAGCTATCGCAGACCTAAAGCCGAAGGGGTGAATAATGGGCTAGCTGTGGCTGGGAGTAGCAACGAGATATGAAGAGAAGAACTATTTATTCCGGATTGTCACAACAAGCGATCATGTGTGTGTGTGTCTAGGTATCGACTGTGAAATGTATGCAGTTGCAGCGAATGGGAGTGTTGAGGAGAGAGAACTGAGACTGGGTTGTGACCTGAGGCTTGAAAGGCTAGAATATCTGGAGCGAGACCACGCCTTTTCAATCAATCGGATAAGATGCAAACGTTTGCTATTTCGCGAGATGAAGCCAACACCAAACCAACACTGACACGAAACAGATCAATCTCTGAGATGATGCTGCCACTCGGTACGTATGCAAAACGAAAGGGGTCTACGCGTCCGGTACTCATGGCCGCGGGGAGACGAAAGCAGCATGGATTAAACAATCAAAGTGACCTGCCCATGACGTCCTCACTTGGGACGTGGAAGAGTCACGAAAACGGGAGATGGGTTGCGTTGGGCTGGGTTGAGTGGCTGGCCAGCCAGGTCCCGTGTTGGACCAGGAGGTACGCTAGGCTGAGCGCAATATCACCACCCGCCGAAACCTGGCGGCTTCACGGCAACGGATGAAGCGTTTGAACGCTAACCGAGGGAATGGTGGAAGATGGGACGGGAATAGAAGCAGCCGCAGCCTGGTTTCGACCAGTGGCATGCGGCGAAATGCAAGGAGTCGCAATGGTAGTCGTAGACTCGTAGGCATGGTCAGAGAGTGCAGACCGTAATGAGCAAAGGGGCCTGGGATACTGAGGTATTCGTCAGCGCAATAATTCGTCGACTGGCTCTAACGATGTGTGGCCTTGTTCCTGAGCATTAAGCATGGCTTGGCATCCACATCCACTTGGATGCAATGTGATGGGATTGATAATACCGTCAAGGCAGTAGGATGCAATACGTACGTACGTACATTTACTCGTGGACTTGGAGATGGGTGCAATTGGTGTGCCTTGGTGTGCCTTGCCTCGCCTCGCTCGTCTCGCCTTGCCGGGTTTAGTTGGAACCGGGATGGGGGCGAATGAGAATGGGCCGTAATGCGGCGAGGGGAGACGGAACACTAAACCCCACGCGCGAGGTTAATAGAAAGTGCGGAATATTCCTACGATGTTCGAAGTAATCCACGAAGTACGAAGTACTTCATGGTGGCACGAGGCGAGGCACGAGGTCAGGGCATTCGCAATCACCAGCCAAGCGGAAGGAACGTTGAAGTGTCACTCTCCAGTGTTCAATGGTGCGTTTAGTCAATTCCTTAGCACGCCATGACACTGTAACGGTTACTACGTAAGTACGAAGTACCGTACGAACAATTGTAGATACCCGATGCTCGTTGGATTGATCGATAACTGCCAACGGCCTGCGCCGGCTTATCTTACGAAATGTCGACATTGATGGACGGGCTCGCCGGAGGAATAGTATGGGCCAAAGTACAATGTAGGCCCTAAACAGCGAGCACTCGAGGCGTAAATCATAAACCGAGTCCGTCAATTGTCCTGAGCGATTCCGAATAATGGATTTACGATCAGCGTTTAATGATGAAGGGATGTTGGACGCGGCCTTGTGCTGGCCGCGTATTCTCACATCCTCCAATGTGTGTTTTCGGGCCTGCCAAGACTTTGAGGCTCCCACCATGTTCCAAATCGACGGTATGAGAGGCGTGATGACGACGTCAGCACCTTCTAAATTACTCACTCTTGCTGTCTCTGTCTCTTTGTTCTTTTCTTTTCTTTTTCTCCCTAAGCGAATAACCGTTGGGCATAGGTTCCCCCTTGTATTATTTCTACTTTCAAACTATTGATGCTTGATCAAAATGTGACTCGAGTCTAGGGGACAGGAACCGGCGCCTCCGTGAGGACGATGACGACGATGGTTGGGATCCTTGGGATCCTTGCATGGCTCAAGGCCCACCTTCCGCTTCCTGATCCCACTTCTCCGATTAAGGTTCCTCTTCGCACGTCAGCTTCCCGGAAACGAAGACGGGAGAAGTGAAGGGATCCATGCCCATGCCGCAAAGGAAGAAAATGCTTAAACGGCATCCCGGAACTTTCCTGGCGAACCCGAACCGAGCCTCCGCGATTGGGTCTGTCCACTCGGCTTCCATGGCGAACCGCTTCCACACCTCACGCAGTCCCATGCGTGCATGGGGTTCCCGTCTCCACTCGTCCCATAAGTCATAACCCAATAACCTTGGTGTTGTTTTCCCTCTGCTTCTTTTCGTACGAGATGCTCGGGGAATGGCCCCTACATCGGATCCTAAACAGTACCTGTGTAGTGTGGTGTAAACTGCATCCCTGCATCCCTGCATCCCACGAGAGCTTACGTCCACTCCTCCCCTCCGTCCCCAACCTCCCCCCAGTGTCGATAATCTATTTATAACAGCAAACCGAGCCGAGTCCGAGATGGGAAATTACATACGACGTATACAGCAAGGCATGCGGCGGCTTCCTTTCCAGAGCAGCTTCTCTCGTGCTGAGAGGCTTCACACCTTCCAACATGCCTTGCTTCGTAGTTTGATTAAATCGTCTAGCTCGTATTAGTAGTGGTTGGCTGCCCTGGTGCCTTTTTCCACTTGACAATAGTGATGGGAAGATGGTGGTGCTCGTCAGGTTGGCGTTGAAGCGATGTTACACCGGTACACGTCAGTTCTTGAGTGCACTTGAGCCATCGCTCTCATCATCGACACTACCGTTCGGAGAGGCCTGGCTCGATCTGATCCAATCCTATCTTCAAAGGACAATTCAAGTAATATTCCACTTCCAGATAGGCGGCCTGATTTGATGGATCAATAATTTTCTTGCAATATCCCCCCCCCCCCCCCCCCCCCCCCCTCGGCTCGCGACTCGCGATTCCCTTAACTCCTCCTGTCACACCGCAAAGAATTTTGCTGCCTGGAACGAACTAAGCCAAGGAGCCCCCAACGTCATCGTCTGATCAATCCAGACTTCCGACATCCATGGTTGCGACGGGGTGCGACCGCGAGCTTAAATTCTTAATCAGGCCAGGTCCAGTGCATCAATCTCCAGGCTGTGCCACAATTTACAGGGGCCAAGTTACCCCCACTGTCCTACTCCAGGCCGCTGATTTGCTCGCAACCCGTTCGGTCCAGCACCATTGCACACCCCACGTCCCCAAAACAGATCCGCGTATCCGCTAATAAACTACAAGTACGAAGTAACATTGAAGCACCAGAAATACTGGAGCCTAAAATTTCGGGAGCAATTTGAGCCGTTGATTTAGCAAACACACTCAGAGCTCGACTCCGAAAGCCTCGTCATCACGCATCAACCTAACCCCAGCAACAAGACACGAGACGGCGCATCCCACACAGACAAGGCCCCGGCAGAAACACTCGAGAGGGGAAAGGGGAAAAAAGCCATGGCAACTAAGCGAGCTCTCGATGACGAGGACGATGCCGAACACCAACCCCCTCCACCATTGATGAAACGCGCAAGGCGCGACCAACCCTCCTCCAAGCAGCGCCATCACCAGAATGCCCACATGGACCCCACATGGGGGCAAAAGTTCTTCTTCGCACATGATCTCTCCTCCAGCGTGCCGCAGGATGATGAGCTCGAGTTTGAGGACGACGCCGATGCTATGGCGTATTTGCGCTCCGTCAGGTAAGGCACCCCTACTCTTCCCATTCCTCATTCCCCCTGAAGCCATCGCGACCCCGGCCCAGTGCTGTCTCTCTCCCTGAGCTCTTTGTGCTGAACATTTGCTTCTCTATTTCCTTCAGTTTTAGTAAAAGGGAAGAAAAATTAGAGCAGGTTTACTGATATGGTGAGTATTTCTTCTGTAGGCAACAAGCAGGTAGTATCCCCCACCTCCTCGTCGCTCCCAAGATCGGCCCCCAGCTGCCCCCTTCTTATCAGCGCGCCTTGGCCCACGACGAGGACGGCAATGAAGAGGGAGAGATCGACGAATCCGCAGACCGCGCCGTCTATGGCAATGGCGTAGGCGACTTTCGCGGCTACTACCAAGACGGTGCATACACCGCCGCGCCCTCCGGGCCCGAGGAATACCTCTCTGAAGGTGAATACGCCTCGGATGAAGAAGGAAGAGAAGAACAAGACGCGTCCGCGGCCGCGGCAGAAGCCTACTTCTCCTCCATCCGCTCGCGATTCCTCTCCCTACGCTCCCACCTCCAAACCTCCCCACCAAAACACATCGTCGCCGCCTTACCAGAATCCCACTCCCCTTACGTCCCCCCATTCGGTCCCCGCAGCTCAACCTTCGCGCAATGGAACAAGCGTATCCGGAACACCGACCCCCTACCCGCCCAGGTCGCCTCCATGGACAAGGACGCCGTCATCCGCGTTCTCCGCGTCGTCATGGGCGGACGATTCCTCCGTGTGGGGAGGGAGGTATCGGAGCGTACGAGCAGGTGGTTGTGGGCTCTGTTGGCGAGGCTGCCGCATGTCGGCGAGTTGTCGCATACGGAGGTGGCGTGGGTGCGAGATCTGGGCCGGAGAGCCGTGCTCTTGGGGAGGAGCATCGCTGAGATGGCGGCGCTGAGGGAGGAGTTGGCGGGGGGAGGGGGGGATTTGGGGTTGAATGATGCCGTGGATGAGAGTGAGGAGGACGAAGATGTTGTGCAGGAGTTTGAGGGGGAGGATAATTACAGCGAAGACGAGAGTAAGACGGAAGGGACAGAGGCGCCTGTGAAGGAAACTCCGAGTGGGGCGGCGGCAGAACCAAGTGAGATGGCGTCTCCAGAAAGTGAGCCGAAACTGGCGACGGAGAAAGCAGGAGCAGAAGAGGAGAAAGAAGCAGAGAAAGAAGAGGGAGAGGCAGACGAGCAAGAGGAAGGCGAAGCATCAGAAGGCGATGATGACGACGCCCCCATGGACCTAGACGACTCTGGTGCCGAGGAAGACGACCTCGAAGCCGCCAAGAGTAGACTCCTCGCTCGGCTTGACCGCTCCGGTGGTGACTCGGAACCCGGCTCACCCAATACACCCGACGAGGAGGATGGTGAACATGTCCAAGAAGACAGCGACGAAGCCCTAAGGGCGAGGATGAACATGCGCGCTACCATCAACATGATCCTGACCGTCGCCGGTGAGTTCTACGGCCAGCGCGATCTCCTTGAGTTTAGGGATCCGTTTGCAGGCATGTAGGTAGTTATGATCTACCTAAGTCTGTGCACGAGTCGGTAGGTCTCTTGTCCAAGACAAACTTTGTTTCGCTTTGCGAGGCGTTTTATCGCCTACAGGTTTAAAATGAGAATTGTATGGAATATGTATGCGTTGCGGTCTAGATATGAGAACAGTATAATGGTAATACAAAAGCATCCTCCCAAGCAAAAAGGAAAAAAAAAAAAAAACCTGGATAGTTTCCTCGCATGCCGTGAAGCGATGGAGGATCTTTCCAACACTATGACGCTCCCTAACGCCGATCTGTTGAACACAAAGTAGCCGCCGCCCCTGTCCTCCACCTCAGGTGCCCCCTGCCCCCATTTCCGTCCTTCCTAATCCATCCTGCGCGCCCTTATCTAGTCCGTATCCAGTCTGTATCCAGTCCCGCTCCCGAGCCCGGCCGCCTTCTAATTGTCCTTTAATACGCAGTTGATACAAAATCGCTTCTACACCTCGCCCTCGTTCACCGGCCATACGTCCCTCTCAAATATCCATCTCTTCGCCAAAAACCGCCGCATCCAAAAAAGCTGCCTCCCCAAAATCATCATCGATAGCCATATTCTCCTGTCCGGGATCCTCTAGTCCCGACCCCGATCCACCCGCACTCTTCCTGCCCGTCTTCCTCCTAGGCACAGCCATAGCCCTCGCATTACCCAGCACCGTCCTCGGGCTAACATCCCCATCGACCCAATCCCTCGCGCCGTTCCAAATCTTCAAAGGAACTTCTTCGTCATCGTCATCAGCGTAACCTCGCTTCTTAACGTTGGCAACTTCCTCCTCAAGTATACTGCCCACACTCTCCTGCGACGACGTCAACCCCGCCGATGAACAATCCTCCTCTTCATCAAAGGCAGGCTGCGACGAGAGCCCACCAACGCTGTGAATGCCGCAAAACGGCATCAATTCCCTCTGCGCGACGGACCCCGTGGTGACCTTAGCCCTTGTCCGTGAAGAGGCGCTGTCCCCTTCTCGCTCGTCCCAGAGCTTGAAGCCGCTGTAGGCGGTCCCCGTCTTGTAGCCCTCGGGGACGGACTTGCGGATGCGCATGCCGACGTTGAGGAGGCTTGCTTGGACCGAGGCGGGGAGGGAGACGGGCGAGGAGGATGGCGGGAGACGAGGGGAGGATGTGGTTGGCGAGGAGGTGAAGTAGTTTGTGATTTGGCGCTGGGAAGGGTCGGCGGCCACGCCGGCGAATTGGCGCTTCGTGCGAGGGCCGGACATGATTTCCAAAGTGTGGTGTTTGTAGAATGGGTGAAGGTGAGAGGAACTGTGGCGAATATAAGCTTCGGCGTTTTTCTTTGGGTTTCTGTTCGCTCCGCTGGACAACGAGATTCGGATTTGCTGCTTTTCTGCTCCAGGAAAGCGGTAGATTCTGGAGAAATTCCGAGGAGGGGTGAGGTGCCTTTTCAATTGCGATACACCTGATTAATTGAAAGATTGGGAGAGCATGTGGTCGCTTGCGATGGATGCGCCGGTTGCGAATTAGTGTAGATCAATACAAAAGATCCACCTCGGCGGCTGGCTTAGTGGAATGTTAAAAAAAGTCAATGGATTTCAGACTACGAGGAGATAAAAAGAAAGGATTCTCGTAAAGAATGAGGAAACAAAGCTCTCTAAACACTGGGGAGGGGGGCAAATTGAAACCTATGGAGAGGTGAGGAATGGAGGGTGTTTGACCTGGTCGACTTCGATGGGGGGCGAATGCGACTGACCAGGATTAATTACGACTTGGCACTTGGGCGACTTCGCCATGCAAGTGACTTTCCCATGCATATGAGATGTGTGCACGGGGATGCGCATTCGGAGCTTTCTGATTGGTTAGTCATTCGTGGGGCGATTGAGTGGGGACCGCGTTAATTTTTGCCCTAAGCGCGTCGAGGCGAATTAAAATCGCGTCAATTTCGCGATTTGGGTCAAGATATCCGGATAATTGCGTAAAGAGAGAATTTCTGTTGCTATATCCGTTAAGACAAGTGGGTTGGCAGAGTGATCAGGATTGTCCCTTCCTCTCCGGCTTATCAGGATATCGTCAATACTAACAGATCACTTCGAAATTAAGCGAATTAATGATAAAAAGAGAGGGGAGAAGGGCGAGTAAGGTGCCAATCTGATTGCAATATGTCGGTTTGGTGACGTTTCCAGGGCAGGGAGGAAGGTGGAGGGATCTTGCCTCCATAACAGCGAAGCTAGTCAATACAATACGGAGTACGTCCATATATTCAGTGTAGTTCTTAAACTACTTCGTAGGTATTCTCTCATTGTCAAAATCATTGATGCAATAAATTCATTCCCTGCTCAGTGATGAATAAGAGCTTAAAGGAGCAACAATGGCGACAGGACGAGGCTAGCGACTCCGCTCGTGACGCACCATCGAGTTCTTTTCAGGAAACCTACCCCAAGGTTAGTTATAGGAGCGATAGCTCCCAAGATAAGCGCTGGTTTTACGGAAGTAATCGTCAAGAGCCTGACGCTCTGCAATAGAATCTTTAGATAAAAAAAGAATCCGAAGATGGTGACTCTTTACTTTCTGTTCGTTCCAACCGTGTTCACCCATGAGACGTCTATGGATGTATTCAGGCGATCGGGCGATTTCCCTAGATTCTGCTTTTTTGTGATAGGTATCAACGCTTTTTTAGGGTTTACTTGGGGGTGTAGTTATTAGTTCTGCCTCTCAGTAAAGTACTCAGGCTCATGACCCATCCTGCCAGAATATGCCGGCCCTGTCTTTCCACGGAGTTCCTGTAGATAGTATGTTGACAGATATACATGTCCTCGTTATACTTCGCCAGCATGAAGCTGCCTCGAAATGTTTTGAGCATAAAACTTTTCGAGCTCATAGAATCGATAAAAATACCTCTGATCCTCCTGACTAGGGAGTTGCTGAAAGATCTCCTTGACGAAATGCGCCCTCAGGATCGCATTTTGCGCATAAAGATTCTTAGACCAATGGACATCATGAATGAACATCGGTTACTTGTACAGGAAGTAAAATGGCCCGCTGTGAGCAAACTGGAAGTCTATGAGGCCAGAAATATTTGGACCCGAGCCGTCAGGAGGCTCTATAAAGAGGGTGTTTTGGTTGTCGAAGTCGGCGTGCATCAGGACGAAAGGTGGCAGGTCATAAGAAGCATCGCCGTGAAGTGCAAATTGCTCGGCTATCTCACTCCGGGTCTCCCTGTGCAAGTTCCGGCGAACTTACGGCATGGGTGTCCAGGAAAGAATGAAGGTCTCCTCCGTTGACCGCAAAGGCCCCCTCGGTTGCTCCCTGGCAGGGGCTGACAAGTGGACCGATGCGGTTCCTGATTCAAGAAACTGATACGGTCGAACTTTAGAGAGACTAACAAATTTTATAGAGATAACATCCCCGAAGCTTCTCGGAGAACGTGTACGGGGACCGACATCATTGTCCGGGTCCGGATCGTAGTAGAATATCTCTAGGACAGGAAGATCAGTGCGCTGTTGAAGGGATCAAATTGTGCCATCTAGCTCGAGTCCTTAGCCGAATCCCCTTAACACGAGCGAGGCGGGCAACGCAAGAAAACCCGCTCCAGACTTCGGACTAAGGTGCAGTCGAGTCCTTTGCGTCGAAGTAAAGCACGTAAACTTCGTGCCAAGGTCCCCTCGTCAGTCGCTTTACGCTTATGCACTTGGAACCGTATACTTCGGCCGCTCGTTCCTTGAGCTTATCGAAGTTGAGCTGCAGCACCAGTGGCTCATCAGAATCGTACTCCGCATCTGCACTGGAATAAGACCACATAGCCGATTCTGGACACACTGGGCAGCACCAGAACGCCAGGTGGAACAGAGAGGCGCCCCTTGTGTGAAGAAGTGCTCGTTGCTTGACTCTTCTGAGTCTCTGGAAGAGTTGAAACGGAGAACGTGGCGTTGTGAAGCTTAGTTCCTGCATTTTGATCGTGATTTGACATCAATATGGTGGATTCCTGTGTCCCGACTCTCTAAGGCCCTGGTAATCTGCTGTTATGCGATCACAAGGATGCCTTCATTTATATTCGCAGCTCCTGGGTTAAATCGCCAGTTTACGTTATCTACATGAGGTCGTTGATAGATACTTAGCTCGGTAAACAGCCTGGGGGCATGGTTTGTTGGATTTAGCCCCAACTACACCAAAAGAATGAGCAACATGCCACTCTGTAGTCGGCGTCCGTAATTGGAGCCAAATATGTTGTTTCTTTCTTCCAAGCATGGTCTCGCGTATCAAATGGCGACACCGACGAGATACCGCCCGGAGACTCAACGCTTGAAAATAGATTGCCCACGAAGAAGTGATACTGCAGGGTTGTCATTTTGTCTAGAGAATAGAGAGAGTTGTGATGTTCCAAGGTGGTCTTGTTCATTTCCTTCACGAAAGCCTGGATTTGGAGTCTTCAGCCTAGCTAATGGAAATATGTCTTGGATCAGAACAGAAGAGTCTTGCATCAATGAACAGATCTTGAGGACCTACATCCAGCACAATGTCACGACTCACCACCACACATAGCATTACACGTAACACTCCTCAAGGTAATCAATCACCTTGAGGTACAGCTCGCATCCAGGAACCCCCGTTCAATTGGCAATGCAGGTCCCCTAAACCATCTCCCCGCTTTTACTCACTACATGCAAGACATCAGCCATTTTCCAGGTCCTGAACTACGGGTGAAAAAGCCGCCATGTTATGCTCCTCCCCGATGTCCTCCTCGAACTAATTGAAGCATGCCGGCGTCAGGAATAGCGTTCGGGACCCTTTGTCGGTGGCGGCTCTGAATCCTTCGGGGATCTGCTCGGAGAACAAGACGTAGAGGAGACACCTAGCTTCAAAAGACAGGCATCCCGGGCAAAAAGATTAAGATCGATCGAGAATCTGACAGCGGAGCGGGGAAGTGCACGAGAGAGAGAGACACTTGCGAGAGGATGATTCCCAGTCATCAAAAAACCAATGCCGATAAAATTTTTTGCAACAACATAAAAAAAGACTAGAAAAAACAAGGATCCATGTCTTGTTCTTCGTTGATGATGCAAGATATCCGGAAAACCCCAACGCCCCTAACGAGGATTTTTGAGATGTTCCATCTTCTATCCGCAAATAACTGTCATTATGCTCAATCGGAGGGACTAGCTTTGTCTATACGCAGAGAGAGTGTTTGCGAACGCGAGGATGAACCACCGACCGATGAACCGTTTAAAAAACCATGGCAGAGAAACCGTTTTTTAGAACGTAACAAGCCACAAAACCGCAGGTATCCCCCCGTTTACTTCCTTCGGAAAGAGCAGCCCTCAGTGAGACGAGCCTTGCCTCCGGTCGGTTGGCAGAGAACTGTGGTGCAGCCTTGGCAGATGACGACGGTCTGGGCGTGGGAGAAGACGGTGGTGATGGTGAAGCAGCCGGGGCACTTGACGTCCATGAAGAAGGATCGGGGGCCGGGGACAAGGGTCTATTGAAATGTGTTCCCGTGGTTAGTGTCTTCTGGCCATCATTGCGGTATCAAGGTCCATCGAGAAATGAACGAGGGTCGGGGTGGGAAGTTCGATTGAACGCACCTTGAGCTTGTGCTTGCGAGCCTCGGAGGCAGGGCTGGGGTTGAGGAGATCAACGGCGAGAACCTAAAACAACAATTCTTCGTTAGCGTGATGGCTCCCTCCAGCAATGATGTGACGATCGTGGTTCGATGAGGGGAAAAGAGTATCTTCTTTCGGTTGTCCGTCATGTCAAATGCCTTCCAAATCCGCATTGTCTCCATCCAAGGTGTCCCGTGTCCATAAACCCTTGCCACTATTTTCGTCGTCCACCTAGTCTTGTTTTCCTCCTCCTCTCCCCCCCCAAAACAGGACATCCCCACGTGTTCCATCAAATTTCATCGAATCGGTGATATTCCTTACCATCTTGACTGATTTTCACAAAGAGACTATATCTCAAAATCGATGCGAGCTTTTTCTGTTCGGGAATAGGAGGAGGGCGGGCGTCGGCACAGATTTTGCTGGGGGGGAATGGCTCGATTGTGGTGGTTCTGCCAGAACAAAAAAAAAGTGTGAGAAAGGGTTGGGCGGGGGGCAGTAGGCAAAGAGGTATATTGGATCGGTGGGTAAGGGTATTCCGGAAAAACCTCTGCTTACTGGCTGCAGGCTTGCGAAACTTTTGGTTTTCTTGTGTTTTGACTTTTTTGCGCTGCCAATTTTCAGCCCCCCTTCTGCCTAGTTTGAGACACATTTGCAGTGATTGTAGGGTTATGTGACCCACCACGTGACTGGCGCTGGTCCTGACGTGTAAATGACTTCAACCTTGAAGGCCTGGACCACTCTACAGTCCAAACTATATTGGCCGCGCACTGTATTGTCATGGCACGCAGGCACAGGTGAAAGGTGAACGATGCATGGTGCGTGTAAGTCGATGGATGGATGCCATATTGTTTTGTCCTACTTCAATCCGAACTGTCGGAAAGCGCCCCAGAAGCAAATTATGGTCTTGCTCTTGGTTACGTCCCTGATCTCAAGGCCTAAAGTGAAGGTCTAGCTCAAATCTGCAAAGCTTTGCACGGATATAGACCTCACTCTGTGATCAGGATTCAGGTCTCCGCCTCCTGTTCCAGTCCGGATGAGTCCAACCCAACTTGGGTCGCCAAAAATGCATCAAATCGAGCTCCAGTAGCGAGCGATGCTGTAGACAAGCATCCTTTTCATCTTGGAAAAACCTCCACTCAAATGAACAAATGTCTAAGCTCACGGCAATCTCAGTCTAACCCTAGACAAGTGGTCCGAACGACCACCCATGTAAGCTAGCCAGAGAATAGGCGTGTATAGACACCATGAGTAGAGCGGAATCAAAAAAATCAAAACAAGTGAAACAGCCTTAACGCCTTTTCCGATACGGAAAACATAAGGGGGGCTGGACGCTCCCGTCATGTATCCTTGAGCCGCCTGTCTAATGCGATGCAAATACGCGATCCGGGGAAAGCCGAAAATGTAATAATGAAAAGCAGCGCCAAAAAACCGTCATCCTCCTCTTTGCCTATAGCATGCTTTTATGAGTGCTCGGGGCACCCAGAATCTCACGGGAGATCCTAATGTACGAACGGTGAGTGTGTGGTACAGGACATCGAGTATCCTGGTGAAGAGTAGAACTCAGATGCAGCGGGAGAAAAAAGAAGTATTTCAGCGGGGTGGATTATTCGCAAGCACAAATCAAGATGACCCGGCCAAAAGACCAGCTATCTTCGGTTGCGCTTGTTGATAAAGACATTGGGTCCCTTTTTGGGAGGACGAGGTGGCATGTTTTGGGGCTATTTCAGTGAAAACGGTTAGCTACATGTGAATACACTGCCTATCTCTGATGAGCCGATTGCTTACCCTTGAGGGCGGAGGACGGGGAAGCTCGCCACCATCAGGCCTTGCAAGAGGAGGGCCCTGGTGTTGCTGGTGTTGCTGGGGTCGGGGAGGTTGCTGAGATTGTTGGGGCGGCGGGGGACGTTGGGGAGGACGAAGTCCGAGAGCATCCATGGCAGCGGGGTCAATGGCCTTGGGAGGCATCCTTGGGGATTTCGCGGGCGGGGGCCGCATATGCGGAAGTTTACCCTGCAGGATCTTGGGGCCCGCTTTCCGAGATTGGGCTGAGTTATTGTTACCGGGATTCGGACCGGTCGCCTATAAAGTACTCAAGTTAGCAACGAGCGTTAAATAGCTCGGTTCAGTTCAGCATACCTTCTTGGTCGGGGGGCCGCTGGCGTCATCTTGGCCGTTATGGGGTCGCTTCTTTCCCTGGGCACTTTGGGGAGAGTAGATAGAAGAGTGAATAACAGGCCGGTCAACTATCGATGGTACCTCGGGAGTGGCCTGTCCCCGGCCATCGATACTATGGATACGCCGGTTCAAAACGTGTTTCGAAATCGGCTGATTCTCTAGTCCCGTCACGCGGTGAGGAGAGGTCGGCGACTGCGCCGCCGAAGAAGAGATGCCACTACGCGGCGCATCTGTCATGACAGCATCGGGAGTCTGGTGATTGACCGGCGGAGCGCGAGGTTGGGCTGGCGCGCTAGGTTGGATTGCCGGAAGAGCACGTTTCTCGGTAGGACGCTTGAACAAGCCCAGAACATCACCCTCGGTGTACAGCTGCCGGTTCTTGGCATCATCTATGAGCTTCGCCCAAAACTCACCCTGAACGAGAGCCCTCGAGTCGCCGAGGATCCAGAGCGACGACTTGGCACGGGTGAGACCGACGTTCATACGGCGGATATCAGTCATGAAACCGATACCTCCCGTGGGACTAGCACGGACGCAAGAGAAAATGATGATCTCACACTCACGGCCCTGGAAGGCGTCAGTGGTGTTGAATTCGATGGTCTCGGTGATATCATTGCCATAGCGGGCCGAGAATCGGTTCCGGAGCTCATAAAGCTGGGCTTTGTAGGGCGTGATGATGCCAATCTTGCGTTTAAAGTCGCACTCTCTGTAGTCGGTACGAAGGCGCTCGTAGAGTTGCATGGCCACGTTCAACTCCTGCACGTTGACTAGCGACTGGCCCTTGTAGCCCTTCTGCTGCACACCCTTGACATCGAAGAAGCGGTAGGGACTAAAGACCGTGCTAGCGTGCCAAGGCTGTTGACGCAACGCAGCCATATCGGCGCCGTCAATCAGACGGCCTTCGTAGAATTCCCGGCTAGGGAACTGGCTGATGAGAGGATGCATACGGTACTGCATGTCCAAGAGGTGCACGTTGGTCGGGTGGCATCGCTGCATACGAACGAACAGGGACTGGTCGTAGCCGTACCTAGCGGCGGATTGCGACAAGACGGTGGGCGGAAGCTGCTTGGGGTCACCGACGAGGATGCACTTCACGCAGCCGTACTTGAGGGGTATAAGGGCGCTCAGCTCCACACACTGAGCCGCCTCATCAATGATGACCGTCTCGAAATCCACATCCGTGAGACTCTTGAAAATTTCGTGGCCGCTGCCGCTCAGCGTCGCGCAAAGTACGTGAGCAGAGCCGAGGATCTCGCGCTGGAACTGCATGCGTTTGATGTCGATTTCTCGTGAAACGGTCCTACCCGAATTCTTCAACTCATCAATCTTTGCGCCGACCTGCGTCTGGCGGCGCCTCCAGGAATCAAGCTCTCGTTGATATTTGGCCGATTCATCACGATCGCCAGCATCCCGAGCCATAACAACTTTAATCCGGAGCTCATCAACATTCTTCTTGATCTCTGCGGCCTCGGTGTGGATCTTCTCGCGATCAGCCTTGATATTGTCCATAACATTCTCGGCTTCCAGACGGCGATTGACAAGTTCCTCGAGAGTTACGTCCTTCACCGCGGCATTGATTGCATCGCTACGGCCTAGACGGACAACATTGATCTGACGCTCGGATCCGCCCATGGTCTTGACACCGTTCTTCATTCGAAGGACCAATTCATCCACAGCGGCGTTACTGGGGGCGCAGACGAGAAGCTTCTTAATAGAGCCATTTGCCGGCTTAGATGCGACGGCCGCCGGCGTGTTAAGGGTACCAGTCAGGAGACAACCAACCATGGCGACGATGGTTTTGGTCTTTCCGGTTCCGGGAGGACTGCAGAGCGAAACATATCATTAGCAAACTAAAACATGCAGAAGAGGGATATATGTATGCGTTCTGGTCTTACCCTTGGATTAGTGTGAAGCCATCGTTGTCCTTGGCTCCGATAACCGCAGTGGCTTGGGCCGGATTGAGATTATAATTGTCAATGAACTTTTGGATGGCATCCTGGCTGTAACGCAGAATCGGCGAGGGTTTGGCTTCCAACACCTCTTCGAGGAGGTCGTAGTGCTGAAGACCTTGCAGAGTGGCGTATTCTCGCTCGATCGTGGTCATGTTAGTGATCTTCGCCACGTAGAGTACCTTGTTCGGCATCAGCTCCGGAAGGATCGCGCGACTGTTCGGGCTCACGCGGTACTCGATTTCCAGGCTTCCCTGTTTATACTGGATCTTGTGGACTCGAGAGAGGCAGTGAGGCGCCTCGCGATCCTGCAGAGGGTTTTCCGACTTGGAGATGACAACAAGGTCGCCCTCGCCTACTACACGCTCCCTCGTCTTTTCCGACAAGGGCATGCTCGATGTCACTTGAATGAAACCGTCAAAGTTCATCCGAGACGCAATCTTCATTCCGAAAGGCTTGGCCGTGCTTTCGGCCATCGCCGTCACGAAAGACCGCCAAGCTTCGTGGAGAAGTAGGGGGGAAAACGTATTCTTGTACGCAACTTCGTCCTTGTAGGTGTTAGACACCTGGCTTACGGGAAGGCCATCGGGAGGATCAACGCCTTGGTGGAAAATGTCCCATCGAAGGATGGCGTGGTGCAACGGACCCATGTTGGGGTCGATTCTTGCTCGGATGTCCTTCTCAGTGAGGTTCTGCTTGCGCTTCTTGACCGGCTGGCGGTGAGTTTGAAGAAGAGCCCGCGCTCTACGGCGTTCCGCATCGTTCTGCGCTTGTTGATCCGCTCGCTGCTTACTGATAAAGGCGTCCAAGTCTTCATCCCCGGACTCGTCTTCCTCCTCTTCTTCGGAAGAGTCCACCATGATTTCGCTGCGGATAGCCGGGGCGGCTTCTTCCCGCATGCGTTTCATCTTCTCGATGTACTCAAGATCGCGCTTCTTCTTGTCCTCTTTAGCTTTCTGGCGAGACTCCTTTAGAGCTTTGATCCTAGCCGCATCGCTCACGCTGGGCTGCGCCACGGGTTTCATCGGCTTCGTCACAGCAGTCTTAGGCTTGACTGCTTGGCGCTGGGCGATGAGATCGAGGGCCGAACGGTGCTTGTCAATCGTGCTACTCAGCGCAAGCACGTCGTCCCTGTTCGTGCGTTCTCCCGCACCAGCCTTGGTCCACAGATCAAGCTTGCTCTGCTTCTTGGCCTTTTGCGGCTCTGGTACCTTCCGCTCGGAGATAATCTCCACTTCGGCGTCATCACCATCCAGTGCCATAAGCAATTCCGCCTTTTGCTGTCGAGAAAGGTTGGTCCCAATCTCATATTTACCCTCGGAATTCACCTTACAGGCGCGATAGATGTATGAACGACTGTTGGCACCGATCTCAAGGTCGAACTCCTTGAGACGCTCGAGAAGCTTCCGTACGATCTTCGTTGTGATAGAGACCAGGTAAGTGTCCCGGAGACGAAGCATCTTCGTGAGGCCGTAAAGATACTTGGAACATGCGTTGAGGACCTTGCGCATCATAACCGCCTGCACCTTAGCCTCGTCTTGCGGAGTATTGCTATTACTCTTCAGGAAATCCTCCTTCAGAGCGGACGCGAGAAGTGCGTCTTCCGCAACAAGACTCTCTGCCAGCTCGATCATTTGGCGGCATAAATTGGTCATGACAGAAATCTCAATGTAATAGGACCACTTCTCAGTATACTTGAAAACGGTTTCAATCCAGTACCACTGGCTTGTCCACCAGCTGAAGACGGTATCAAGGTCCGGATGTGTCAATGAAGCCGTACGAAGAAGGCCAGTAGCGGGATCGCAAAGAGCAGAGAGAATATCTTGGGCAACGCTCAGAATGTGGGGAACGGGACCGTATGGCGGCATGGTTCCACCGCCCGCATCAACAACCTCCCGATCCTCGTCCAATGGTGGTGTGGCCGTTTTGTTGATTGCAAAATTAAAGATACGGATGCTCCCACCGGGCTGCTCGTGGACCAACCGGGCAATTGCGTCGGACCTAGATTGTTTCCCCGTCATCGTTTTAAGGAGCTCAATCGCCGATTCGCGGATAACATCTGCTCCGTGGAAACTGAACGCCAGAATGACCCTCATACCATCACGGGACAAGTCGTCGAGTTCGGTCTGATCGAACCCGCACAGTCGCTGAAGGACGGTGCCAACCACTGCTGAGAGCCTATCAAACGTTTGGTTGAACTGAAGCTTGGATTTATCCATGGGCTCGGTCGCTTTTCTCATGGGACGGAAGCTCTCAACGGGCAGGAGCGGAAACATGCCCTGAAGGACATGACGCGCTTGTTCCAGATTTCCTGGGTATAACAAGTCGAGGAAGCCGTCCCACAAAGAAGCCGATTGCCGCGTGACGACCGTTTGGTACGGTTTGCCGAGGTGGATGCTCTTGCATTCTTCAGCCGTGGCCCTAGAATCTAGCTCGAGGGCTGTCCTAATAACCTTCATAGCAGCTCTGTTTGCATCAAAAGGCTGGGAGCGTTTCTCTGCCCACTCGACGATGTGGCCCTTGAACTCGTGGGCCATGTTAATAGCGGCGTTCAAGTGGAGCAGATTGTTGGGAGACACGAAGGCTTTCAACAGGGTGTTCGGAAACTGGCCCCGTGCGTTGGCGACGGTTAAGAATGATTCTAGGACATCATTCAAGACATCGAACCCGGCGCGAGCGCAGGCAGCGTGTCCTTCAGGAGAGATTGAAAGATCCCTGATAAACCTATTAAACAGCATGTGTAGAAGTGACTGACATGCATCGCTCCTCTCATTCTTTTTGACCGACTTGATCCAAGAATACATCCATGAAACGGTGAACGGGGGCTTTTTGCCGTCTGCTTCCTCCATGCCGATTTCCATACTCTGAGAGAGCAGGGACCGGAAAACTGGTGAAGCGAAAATTTGTTCAGCAACGGCGAACGGCTTAGGGTCGCTAATGGCGTCCCAAAATGCGGATGGAGCTTTCTCAAGCAGTGCCGAGAACGACTTGATGATATTCACCAAGATTCCTTCAGAGTTGCAGATCATATGCTGGAAAAGAAGATCGTACGGAGTTGGCTTCACCTCCATGGCGCGAAGCTTGTGGGTAACGAGACCCTCGCTTAAGGTTGGTAGAATGAGAGAAAATCCTTCCCAAAACTGTTGAATCCGCGGATAGGAGTTTGGATCCAAGGCATCCAGACCCGAAACACGAACGATGGCATCGGCCAAAGGCTCGTTCACGGCCCAGTCGAACTGCTCTGGCGTCATAGATCCTGCATCCATTGACCGCCAAGATGTTTGGGCAAACTTAATCGCAAGGGGGTCTTCTCTAAAGAGAAACTCCGTCATGGTCGGAAGAACCGAACCTGCACCGAGTCGAAGGGGCTTCTTGCTATTAATCTTGTAGAAGACCCTCAAGAAACTACGGCGTTTGTCAGGAAGGGCAAGGTATGACAAGTCGCATAGAGCTTCATAGACGGTCAATAAGAAGGCCGGACCGTCGCGTCCAAGGCTGGATACACGAAATGACTGGTTCTCCCTCTCAACATGCTCGATAATCTCGGTAGCCCACTTCAAGCTCTTGTCAAGGCGGGAATAATCAAACATCCGGAACAAGCGCTCAGCTTCTTTGACGGCAGCTTCGTTATATTCCCTAGAATAACAATATAACGCGTCAGCGGCGGAAGGTATGGGAAGATATAACAGCACAAAGCAGCTGTTGCCGAGCGGGGAATACATACTCTGCGAATGAATTCAGCCAGGCCTTACGATACATGTGCCAGTTCATGACACACCTATCACAGGCTCTCAGGGACTCGGCAATACGATTGGAAACCTCCGTCACCAAATCTGGCTTATCTTTCATGGCGAATGCAAGGCTAGTCCAAAAGGCGATATTCACCCTTTCCTTGGCTTCTGAAATGCGCTTCTTTTTCTCTTCATCGCCGGTTTCGAGGACATGGGTGTAATCCTCAACATCGTCGTTGCTTTGCTTAGGACAGAGAAGGTGGACATTCTCCGGGATAGCACGGAATTTGGCGTGCCACTCGGCGACCACCTCCCCGATTGGTCCTGGCGCCATCTTGTCAAGAGACTGTCTTCAGCCTATAGACATTCCAGGCACAGTGAGGAGAGGAGGCGGTCAAAACGGTATATCTGGTTATAGGTTGATCGATCGAGACTGATCGAACGCAACGAAGGATCATAAGGATATCGGATCGATGCCCGGGACTCTGGGGTAATCGAGGACTCCCGACGAGCACGACGACGTCGAAGAACTCCAGAAATTAACTGACTGGGTATCTATTAGCCTTCGGTATCAACGCGCAGTGAAAAAGATCCCTCCCCCATGCGAGAGAGGGATAGACACTTGTATGAGTAGACTTGAGGCGAGTTTTCGATGGATCGAGATGGGGACAGTCGAGACGGGGAAGATGTTTGTGGGAAGAAGAAGAAATCAAAACAGGAGAAGAAAAACTCTGTAGGGAGAAGAACACAGTGATTCATTAGGGCAAGGGAGGGACATCTAGATCATACTTGGCGGGAGCTACACAGGAGCACGACTTACTCTTCTTCGCCCAAATACCTCCCATCCCTCTGCTTCAAAGCGCAGGAGCAACACAATTAGAAGCTACCAAGACTCCTGAATTTGCATTTGACAACTAAACTAGGCAAGGCAGACTGGCTAGAATCCCCTCTGGGGAAGGAGGAATGTATGTGTGCTGGGAAAAGGGAGAGAACTGTAAGGATCGTGAAGAGGTTTAAGAGGTTCTGGTTCAAAAAGGTGAAAGCGCACGCGTTTGATATCGCGGAACTGCTTGGATGAATTTAAAGTGGGTATTTAAGACCGTTGTGAAAGGGCAAAGTCACTTTAGACTCATTTTCTTAGAGAATGGTACAAATCAATACTAGGCTAGAATGGGTTTATTGAATATAGAGACAAAATAGTATAATAGCCCGGATAATAACCCCACCAAGCACATGATGTAGTCAAGTCCAAGGTCTCGAGTCAAAGTCCTTTAATATCTCGTATTCATTCGAAGTTCGATGTTCAAGTTCGTCGTGAATCGTTTGCTTGATTTTTGATGTCGGAAGCTAGAAAACGAAGATATGAAGGGAAAGAACAGCCATCTAATCCCTCGTTAGAGGGTAGGAAATGAAGAAGCATTGGGTCGATAGCAAGAGACAGACCCTTCAAGCTAGACTTTGAGACGAAGAAGTCTTCTCGTCTTCAGTCCCACCGGCGGTCTCCCGGTCTCCGAGTGGTCAGGCTGGTCCCTTTCTTGCCTTTCTTGGGCATGATCGATTTCTTTTTGAGCCGCCTTGACCTTCCGCTTCGGCTTGTTTCTCTCGAGGAGATGTTCGAGGACACAGGTGGTTGCATCCCAGGCATCGGTGCCTTCGGACGTGTTAGCGCGGCACCTATCGCAAGTTTGGCCATGCCGGATGAAAAGCTGATGCAAGCCGTATTTCAAGTGATCGGGAACCAAAAATTCACAATGCCAAAATGTCAGCTCGGGAGAAGCCGTGGGAGGCACCCATTTTAGCCACTTGCAGAATCGATGGACGTGTGTGTCCACAGCAAAGCACGGAACTCGAAGGCAGAATAGGATGACGCAGGCGGCCGTTTTCACACCGATCCGTGGGTAATTGACCAATTCTCTCATCGCCTCTGGAGCCGTCTTACCATGCAAATGGTCTAGCGATAGCTTCCCATGTTTCTCCCAGACCATGTCAAGGATTTTCTTCATGTCCGCCGCCTTAACGTTTGCAAGCCCACCTCGCTTAATAGTCAAGGCCAGCTCCTCCTCGGAAGAGAGCCTGACTTTATTCCAATCGACGCTACCCTCTCCAACCCCGGTCTTGAGGATGCCATATTTCTTGACCAAGGCGTCAAAAACTTCGTTTGCAGCTCTCATGGTCGTTGCGGCGCTCATAACTGTTCTCAAAAGAGCATCAAGGACGGACGGTACCTCTCCACAACCTGCGACTGTCGTCGATGGAAGAGGAATCGTCGGGGGCGCACTGACCTCTCCATGAACCTCTGTCAACAGTCTGTGGACTTCTTCGCATGTCTCTGGGCTCGGGCCTTGCCAGTTCGGAAAAGGGGTCCTTCCGAACATCAAGCCATGAGGGTTATCCTTGGTTTTCCTCCGGATGCGCTTGGGGGCCGGGGCCACTGGATCTCCTCCGTCTGGTAGTTCAGGAGGTGTTAGCAGGCCGGATATCTCGTCGACGTTTGCAAGCTGCGCTGGAAGAGTGGATTGTTGACAGGCGGCAGCCTTGGGTGTTTGGCCCGAAACTTTGGGCCGGTTCGCATCGTCGGGTGTAGAAGGCAGTGTAAGTGCGTCGATGACGGCGGTCTTCTGGGCCTTTTTCGTATTAGTCGTCCTGCCCATCCAGGAAGCTTTGTCCTCTTCTACGCTGTAGAACATACGCTTTCGTTTTCGACCAATCCCGTAGTATCCCCGCCCTCACTCACAGGCACATCTATTCTTCCCAAGTTGTGTGGCAGCACATCCCAACCTCCCTGAACTAGCTGAGATTGGTCCTTACGTCGAGCCCGCTTCCGCGGCCTGCTATCGACACCATTGACTGGTAGTGACTCCTCCTGTCCGCTCTCGTCGAACTTCTTCTTCCTCGAAGCAGACCTCGTGAGCATATCTTTCGACACACCGAGGAGGGCAACACAATAAAGGGCTCGTACGAGGGGTAAGGATTGCGGGATGAGCAACTGCTACTGAGCAGAGGCAAAATCGTAGGAGGATACACAACGCACAACCACACAACCACCATCCACGACTGATGCACCCATGCACATAAGAAGCAGGCAAGAACAGTAGATGAAGCAAGGTAAACCTTGTCACAGTAGAAAGCATTATCACCATCCTACTTTTCAAAATCAGATTAATGTTGATGGAAGTACCTCATGTAAACCTTCTCTACACCTTCCTTGAAAAATGATACATTCCCCTATAGAGAGGCTGCAACCTGAAAGTATCTATAGTGATTGACATGTGAAGGTCATGATGTACCTGCCTCCCTTTCATACATCAATAATCAATAAGCTTACAACGGTGGGATTATATCAGGAAGGGGATCTAGCATCACCATTCCAGGTTAGGAAGAAGGCAAGCTCAACACCGTTGCCTTCCGCCATCCCCCCATAGCCCTCCAGGGCCCATCGATTCATATGAATCAGGCCGAATAGAAAGGACAATCAGGGTCGAGCGCAATAGGAGGATATAGTATTTTGAATAGAGAGCTCATTCCTAGGCCTGGCTCTCCTCCTCCAGATTTGAGGTGGAAAGCTATCTAACTAAAGAGCAAAACGACAAACGCCGGCCTTATTACTTCCGTTTCCCGAACAAATGCAAAAACACAAAAACTAATGAAACCACCCTCGTTAATAAAGGTATAAGCATGTCGCCCTCCCTGCTGTGACTACCAGATACCCAGCTTAGAAAATGCTGTTGACAATATTGCTTCCTATCGTGGCACCAGCACCGAAGATAGCAGCATTACCGAGCCTAGAGATGTTCGTTAGCATGAAAAGCTCACCTCGGAGAACCCAAAAGGTGAAAACGCCATCACTTACTTCTTGCCAAACTTCTTGCCATGTTGCTCGAACTTGCTTCCACCCTCCTTTCCAGGCTCACCCTCATGACTTCCCTCGGCAACAGCCATAGGCGGCACCTGCGCATTATAAGGGTTCACAGGGGCCGCAGGCCCTGGGTATCCGGTCTTCTCAGGCTCCTCGATAAGGACGTAGTTCTTGGGGAAGATACCCTCTTGCCCCGTCCGCAAGTTTCGGCCCATCCACCAGTCGGCGTTCATGTACTCGTGAATCGCGATGCGGTCATCCTTTTCGAAGCTGACGTCCCGCGCATCTTGGCCGTTGTAGGAGTAGAGCGCACGGGCGTGGGCAAGTACGGGTTTGACCGGGGCAGGGGGCTGAGGAGGTTGGTTTCGGATGGGGAGGCTCGGGGGGCCGGTCTGGTGGTAGGCTGGCGGCGGGTTGACGTTTGCTTCGGGGTTCGGTGTGGGAGTCGACTTCTCGGAGGTTACGGGGGTCGCTGTGCGGTTCCGGGCGGCTGCCGCTCCGCCGCCGTGTAGAGGACTTTCGGCGGGGAGAAGGTTCATGATGGTTTCGTAGGCATCGTCCTCGATGAGGCCCTTCTCGACTAGGGTCTCAAGTTCCTACAGGTGATTTGTTAGTATGTTGTGTCTAGGAACGCCCCGCCCGCAAGGGGGGACTTCGTGACGGCTTCGGTGGGGAGATCTTAATAGGCAACCAGGAATCGTTTCCCCCCGAAATGGTTCCATGATCGACGTACATTCTTAATGTTCCGAATAGATCGGTTTGTTTCGATGATCGCCTGCCTGTCCATGCTGATGACCATGTTTGCAACGCTATGTAGCGAATAACGAGAGACGAATAACGAGAGACAATAGGCGGTGTGAAGTTGAGCGATGGTTCCTCGATATATGATTAAACGTGGCGATTAAGGACGTCGGATGTCGCCGCTGAGTAGAGATCGTAAAATGCAGAAGTTGGTGAGATTTGGTTTATGTGTTGGTTCGGGAACCGGCCGATTTGATGGAGCCGAAAAGTAGGCTGTGCCAGGTAATACTATACTTCCTAGTCACATAGTGTAAAGGTAGCGAAGGTAACGGGTAGCACGGGACGGCGGAGGAGGAATGCGTGGCCTTGTCCCACAATTACTCAAAATGTCCAGTTTGGCGGGGCTTGGCTTTCCAGGAACGGATTGATCAATGATGTTTTCCAGTGGGGGTCGAAACTTGGCGATCAAATGATTGAACTGTGAATACGAGAATTTTCATACGAGCACAGAAGATGTAAGGGTCCTTACCTTAAAACGCCTACGCGGTCAAGAAGTCCGGCGTGGATATTTAATCACAACTTCGCCCACCCCGACCTTGAGAATCCGTTCCTCAGCAAAGTTCGCCTGTATTAACAGCATTCGAATATATGTTTTCCACGGGCCTCGCCGTTCCAGAGGCCCTAACTATCCTCGATACAGGATGGGGGATTTCTGAGCTGGCATCGAACTTGTGCGTCCTATCAGCAGGCGACTTCTCGTTTTGAGATGGTGGGATGTTGTGCCCGGTGCCTTGCAGTGCTTGCGGAACCTATCAATGCACTGGGGACAGTGTCGAGCCTCTGCCGGAGCTCGTTGAAGCCTTTCCCGACGGGCTGGGTATCTTGAACTTGGCTATAGGTTTGGGGTGACACAAGGATGTTAGTGGGTAAATCATCCCGATACTGAGAGGGATGATTCGGAGTTACTTATCGATATCCCAAAAATCACACTCGTCAACGAACAAGATCTACCCCTGAACAACGGGCAATAGAAGGTGTTTCCCAATCCCGGTAACCCGAGCAAAGATCACCGCCGTTAACGTAGAGGAAGGACAGGGAGGTGCTAAGAACATGAGATGAAGGCTGGACCCACGGATGGCACTGGTAGAGCCTGACCCTTCAATGTTGTGATCGACAATCGAAGATATGGGTCACGGTGAAGCAACCATTAACACTTGCACGAGAGAAGACCACTAGTAGTATACATATCAAATACATATATTCCTTATAATCTTATCATCTATCTTTTTTCACCAACCACCGATTACCCCAAAACATTTAAAACTTCTTATCCTTAACAACATAGAGATCAACATACTCATCAACGCTCATAGCATCCAAAGTCTTTCCATCAACACCGAGGTCAACAAGCTGCTTCACCTTATCGGCAGAGTAGTGAGGAGCAAGGTGCCTCTTGTACTTGGCGAGAATCTCAGGCTTAGCCTCCTCCCTCCTGAGCCTATGGCCGAGAGGAGCCTCGACAACGACCTCATCAAGGATGGTGCCGTCGTTGAGCTCGACGGTGAGGGCGTTGGAGATGGTGCGGAGCTCGGGGTTGTGGTAGTCCTTGGTGAACTGGGGGTCCTCAACGCAGGTGATGCGCTTGCGGAGGGACTCGACGAGGGGCGAGGTGGCGGCCTCGGATCCGTCGACGTAGTCGGTGGCCTCGAGGCGGCCGAAGGTGAGCATGACGGAGCACATGTACTGGATGCAGTGGTCACGGTCGGCGAAGTTGTCCATGGGCTTGAACTGCTTGTCGATGATGCGGATGCAGGCCTCGTGGGTTCGGCAGGTGATGGCCTTGATGTCGGCGGCGCTCTTGCCCTGGGCCTTGAGGATGGCGTGGATCTTCTGCGAAGCCTCGACGGCGGTCTGGGAGTGGAACTCGGCGGGGTAGGAGACCTTGAAGAGGACGTTCTCCATGACGTAGCTGCCGTAGGGCCTCTGGAACTCGAACTTGTTGCCCTTGAAGAGGACATCGTAGAAGCCCCAGGTAGGAGCGGAGAGGACGGTGGGGATACCCTTCTCGCCCTTGAGGACCTTGAGGGCAAGGTTCACGGCACGTTGGCAAGCATCACCAGCAGCCCAGCTCTTTCGAGACATGGTGTTGGGGGAGTGCCTGTAGGTCCTGAGGGACTGGCCGTCAACCCACGCCTGGGTGATGGCGTCGGCGGTCTGGGACTCGGAGAGGCCGAGCATCTTGGAGACGACGGCAGTGGAGGCGACCTTGACGAGGACGACGTGGTCGAGACCAACGCGGTTGAACGAGTTGAGGAGGGCGAGGCAGCCCTGGATCTCGTGGGCCTTGATCATGCCCTCGAGGACGTCACGGACGGTGAAGGTCTTGCCGCCGGCAATGTTGCCACCGGCCTTGTTGGTGCGGGTGACCCAGTCGGCAACGGCGAGGATGGCACCGAGGTTGTCAGAGGGATGGCCCCACTCAGCGGCGAGCCAGCAGTCGTTGTAGTCGAGCCATCGGATCATGGCACCGATGTTGAAGGCACCATTGACGGGGTCCAACTCGAAGGGAGTTCCAGGAACGCGGGAGCCGCTGGGGACAACGGTTCCGGGAACGGTGGGACCGAGAAGCTTGGTGCACTCGGGGAAGTTAAGGGCCTCAAGACCGCAGCCGAGGGTGTCGATGAACACCCATCTCGCAGTGTCGAACTATGGACGGAAGAAAAAAAAAAGCGTTAGATTCTTCAATTGAAAAGCCAATTGGCCACTGTAGGGAGTATAGGGGAGAGAACGGAGAGTATATGGTAAAGAGGCTAACGTGTCGAGGGAGTGTTGGGCGTGAAAGGGATACTCACAGCGAGCTCGGAGTCAATCTTGTAGTTGTGGACATAACCAGCAATGTCGGTGATCTCGGGATCATAGTCGTTCTTCTCAGACGCCATGGTGGAAGTAAAGGCAAACTGCCTCCTAGCACTGGTGGAAAAGCTAGCGGCTCCGACCCTGGGCGCAGCGGTGATGCAGCGCCTGTAACCAACAGCAGTAGCACAAGTCAACGACGAGGTGCTCCGTCTGGGGACCGAGATCTTGCGGGAAACTGCTCGGAGGCTTCGATTGACGGCAGACATGATGTCCTTCTTTTGTTTCTCAACTTTTCCGTGGTCCCGTTCAAAAGTCCAGGAACCCCTTCAAGCTGGTCGATTTGGAGGATGGATTATCTTGTTTATGCCTGATCAATTGTTGAGGACAACTTCCGCGAACTTTCGGGGAGCTTTCACCTTGGGGGAGGGAGCATGTGGGTGGGGTGGGTTTTATACCAACAATGTTGCAGCTTTGAGCCGTGCAATTCCCCTTGTGTGGGTTGTGTGGGGGGAGAATTTAGCGTTTTTTTCCCTGCCTTCTCCAATGTCCTTTCTCCATCCACCACCTTGGGAATCCACTGAGCCGAGCGCCTGCAGGCGGATTCCCGAAGGAGGCCGAGAAACTGCACTGTTTAGGCCTCGGTTGTACGCGGACTGCCGCCGCCATAAACTCGGGGAAAGCTCCAATTGTCGCTCCTTGCCAAGATTGATTGATTAAGTACTGGATTTGGGGTAATGCCGAGCCCGGAGGAATCCCCTCACGAACGATGGAGATTTCTACAATTTTTTTTGTTGAGCCAAGATTATATCTTCAGGTATTTACGAAGTCTTGCTATCTGGGCAGGGACTTGCATTCCACATAAAGCCGCACGAAGTCGGCAATAGGACCATGTGCACCTCCAGCGCCGCGCCATGCAGTATTTAGTCTCACTGAAGCATCAATTGTACATGTAGTGTATGATCTGATGTGGTGCTGCCCTGTGCCAGCAAGGTCGCAGTATCATTTGATCTAGTATCATGATGTTTCAACGCGATTGACCAAAAAAAAAAAAAAATTAAACCCATAAAATAAATCTAAAAAATAAAAATAGAATTTTAAAGAAAGTCAATTTCATAACAAGCTTAGAACTACTCTAGATGGTATCTCAACTATCAAACGCTCTTAGTAAGAAGAAAGACAGAAAGAAAAAAAAAAATATTGAACAAAAGAAAAATTCGTCTGAACGCATGCATCTCAGTCCACGTTCGCAACTCATGAATTCCCCGTAGACCATCGTCTCGTATCGATGGGTAAGGGGTATCTGGTATCGGTAGTATCATTCCATCCAACCGATCTGATGTGGCTTGGCTGTGAGGGCCATTGCCGCACAGCTCGCCTGTACTGTCTGTCGTGAGAATAAATCCGTCTTAACCCCGATCCTCCATGACGGAGCACTCAGGAGGCCAGCGCGGGATCGGAATGGAGGCGAATTTCACCTTTCGCTCCTGTTCTAGCTTGCGACGGAGAATCTCCACCTGGAGGAGCCATCGCCATTGAAGCTTCGTCTGCCGCTGGCAAAATTCCCGCGCGAGCATATCTTCTTCGAGAGCAAATTCTGCCGCTAGATTCTCGATTTCCTCGGCTCGTTTGCTCAAGAGCTTCTGCCACTCTTCCTTTTGTCGCTCAACTAGCTCTTCCATGGCTTTAAGCTGGCGGTCTCGCATGACGTTGATTTTTGCTTTGTGAAGACGCTCTATGTTGTTGCGTAGATTATACTGCTGGCCGAGCTCCCGCAGATCCCGCTCCGTCACGACCCGTGGCGGCAGGTCGGCGTCGGGGCTTCGGCCGAGCCCTTCGCAGTAAGCTTCCATATATTTTAGGCGAATACGGATACTGCGCTCGCTTTGCTCGAGGGTTTCTTCGAGCTCCATCTCGGCGGCGAGTTGGCGGTCTTCTAGGTGTGTCACCGTCTTGGCGTGCCTATCCTTCATCTTCTCCATCTGGTCCGAGTATTTATCAGACAAGGCTAGCTTCTTCTGCAATTGCCTTGCCCACATCAAGTCCCGCTTCTTCTTGATGAAAGCTTGAAATCTGTCGAATTCAGCGGACTGCTCATCGGCCAGATTCGAAAATTCTAAGCTGTTCGCGGTACGCTCCCTCGCATCTCGTTGCTCGATCGCTTCCGCAGCCGCCGCTGCCTCCCGCGCCGCCTTCTCGGCCTCCCTCTCGGCTAATCTGGCGGCCTCTTCGGCTTGCCGTCTCTCCAACTCTTCCTCTCCGTTGCAAAAGTTGGGGCATCCTACCGTCGGATCCCAAACGGCGCCGCATATATAACAAAATTGTGCCTTACACCGACAAGTCATATGGGTGCACCCCTGTGTAAGTTCGACGAGGGTCCGACATCTGTAGCACCTCCTCCAGCCCGACTTCTCGCCAATCTTCAGCACAGCATCTAATTCCCCGTCATCGGGGCAATCTTGGCCCCGCTGATGGGCTTCGTGCTTACACATCGAACAGGCTTTGGTAGAGCACTTCCTGCATATAACGACGAAGGGGTGTTTCGGGTCGATTTTGTTTCGCGGTGGGATGAACTCTCCACAATTGGCATTCGGGCAAAAGACTCGCGAGTCCCATGGCGTGCTGAATTGCACAACCGCCTTCAGGAAACGGATTTGCGCTTCCACGTCGAGAAGTTCGGTTAGTAAGGAGCTCGGGATCGGTAGGGTGCAGCATCTTGGGGGCATCTTGGATTCGTCTCTCGTTGCTTGTTTTATCATGATTTTCAAGCATTCGCTGCAATATGTGTGACCGCAAGGCAGGTCTTTCGGGGGGGTCGACGGATCGAAGTCTTCTCGGCAACAGACACAAGACCTAGTAAACAGTCTTCATGGTAAGTACGAGTTCAAACAGCCCAACGAAATCTAACAGCTACTCGACTACTCACGTCGTAGCCCTCGAGGTGGTATTCGATTGTCTCCTCTTCCAAGGCATTCGCGGCTTCATGAAGCCAATCCCAAAGGTCGATGTTTTCTTCTTGTTCAAGGCATGCAAGCGCCTCTGGCGGGCCGCATCTGTACTCTCGGAGACTTCTGTTCTGGTATATTTCGGTTGAGTAATATTCGGACCCAGCTGAGAGAGATATTTATCGTAGAGTTCGAAGCTGAGGCTTTCCGACCAGCGACGGGGATTCAATGGTATCGGTATCTCGGTCATTGAGGGGGCATTGGGCGTGGAGGGGCATCGGGATGTTGTAGTGCTACGTGAGACCGAGCGGGCCTGTGCGTCGGAGAAGGAGTTGATGAGGGAGTCGAGACTCGACGAAATCCTCTTGTCGGCACCAATTGCAGGTTGCGACGCATCGATCCCCAAATCTAAAGCCTCTCTTATAAGCGCGTTGTCCAACTCTGTCTCAGTCGTGACATTTCGGGCGCAGAGTACGTCGACGAGATAATCGAGGTTGTCGTCGTTGGGGTTGAGGAGAGTGGGGCTGGGGCTGTCCATCGATGTCGTGATCAGTGGTTGGGCCTGATAAGCCAAAGTTGAGCCTATCGATGCCATTTCCTGCACCCAGGAAAGCTATATACAGCGAGAGGGAAAGGAAAGAAATAAAATCTATAGAAGAATGAACACGGCGGTAGTGGGGAAAGGAGGTATCATAAATTATTCATAAGGAAGCCGCGCATCATCGTGGTCGACCAGGAAGGCCGGTGCAAAGAGGTCAATTGAGATCGATTCAGAGACTCCCAATACTCGGTCAAGGTGGGCATAGGCCACGTCTCAAAACAAGTCGGGTGCGAAACGAGAGAGCGAGGCGTCCAAAGGCGTCGCCAGTCGCTAATAGTGGGGGACGATCAAATGCCCTGATCAGAGCGATCCTGCCGGCGTGGATAAAATGGGCTTGGAAGGGGGAGAAAGCCGAAGGAACTTTGCTAGTAAACGCTCAGGTCCCTGAAAGAGGGTTCACGTGGATTCAATGTGAAAGTTGAATTGTCGGTGTACAAAGTGAAAAGAGTGGAGGAGGTGGAGGAAGAAGCAAGAGAAGGGTATTAGATGATAGACCAATGTCAGTGCAGCCAATGTGAGACCCCAGGGTCTAGAGGGATGTGATTGGGATGGGGATGGGGTTATCGCGGCGAGGGTATTTATTAAGTTCGTCGTACGAACCGTACCATAATCTTTTTGATCGACCTGAGCTAGACTTGCATCCGGTGGACACAATTTGTCTGTTTTGTAGTGCAGTGTATTTACAAGGGCCCAGAAAACCGGGTGAGACGATGCGGGACGAAACGGGGCGGGAAGACGTCGAAGAAGCGGGCAATTAATATTGCTCGGAAGACAAACCCAGAAAGGCTCAGAAGTCATTGAAATTCCGTTTGCTCGTGAGTCGTGGGGCCGTGCCAGCGGATAACCAACCACCCAGCCTTACTTAGTAGTTTGCAAGTAGTCCAGTGACCCAGGACGTTCTCAGGATACTCGGCAGAGCTGAAAATGTGATTCGTTCAAATTTCAAGGGACTTTGGAGTCTGGAGGCATTTCTCCCAAACCAGATTCTTCAAATCGTCCGTCACCCTGCCGCTAGGCTCTGTTCGCCAACCGATGCGCTGCTTTTAGCCAGTTAGCTGTGATCCGAGAGCCATGTACCGATGTTGGGTTCCCCGTCCCAGACAACAGAATACGGAGTACGTAATTCACGGGTGGGATATCCACACAACTATGAAGTATCGATCCAGATGCAGCTCAGGTAGTGTCTGTGATGAATGCCACGACCAGAGACGGGTGATGCTCAGGCCGGGGTACCTTAGTAAACTAGATTATGCGTACTTGGGACAGACACCAAGTGGCATGCCGGACCAGGGTCAGCCTGGAATACAACATAGCCCATCCCGCACCCAGCCTGGCTGGATCGGGATGGGCAAGCCAAAAGCAGAAACAACTTTGAATCAAGCTTATCAAATCCCGATCAAAGATTAATACCGCAGTTCCGCAGGTACTATCTCGGTATTTGGCTGTTCCAAGTGCGACGACATCCTGAAATCTCATTAAAATGCCCTGCCAAGATGGCACAAAACCGGGATGATCCGGTACTCCTACTCGCTGGAAAATCCTTCGCTGCAAACAACATTTGAGGAGTGGAAACATCTCGTCTTATGTTATAAAACTAGAGGTACTTCGTCGCAAAGGGAGTGGGTGCCGAGGGAGCATGTACTCCCTTCTCAAAGTACACTACTCACGTACCCGAACATGTACACTACTTCGTAACTTCTTCTTACACAATAGCACGATCGTAGCCAAATTGATGAGACCATCAAAACCACATGATCACCTGCGATTTGATCCGAGCAAACGGGCTCGAGCCTCCCCTTCCCCTTCCAAGCCTGGCCAAGCGCTAGGCCCGCCCGCACCCCACCAACCGGCGCCACCAACAAAGCTCAGGAGATCGATCAAATCAGTGGAGGCAGGAGCTTGCCGATGTCTGACAGAGTTGATAGTTGTGACAGTAGCGACCTGCTGCAACCGGAAACTGTATTGGTGACGCTTCCTTCTTTTTCGTTCCTGCTTCCTCCTTCCTTCTCGGGAGCGGGGTCGGAAGAGGCATGCAGGAGTCGAACTGATAATTTCAACAATTTGATGTTCAATATTCAAGTACGAATCACGAAGTAGCTCGAATCTTCTTACCCTCTGAAGTGTTCTCCCACCAGCCAGACAAGCCACTCACAGCTCATCCCTCCCTCGATTCCGCCGGGCTGCAAAAAGCACATCATCGATCCCTACCCTTTTAAAGACATGGCGTTCCCTCTTTGGCAAGATGTTCAGCTTGAGAGCGGACGCGATAACCTAGAGCACGAAATACATGCTCAAAAAAGAAAGAAAGCAAAAAGTACGAAGTACTGAATACAAGTAAGAAGAGAAAAAAAAAAAAAAAAAAAAAAAAAAAAAAAAGGACACCACGTCGATCCCTCGAGTGTAATATCAAGCGGGCAAGTGGATAAGGCTCAATCTTTTCTGGACTCTAGTTTAAACCGAAAGAGTGCAAGGCAAACCATCAAAACTGGATCCATCCTTATGGAGTACAGCCGCCGTTACGATTTCAGGTATGCAACGGAGTGCATGCAGCCCTGGTAATGTTGTGCATGCAACTTTACTGATCGACAAACCAGCGCCTACATCTTAGATCAACCTTCAGCTCTCCACTACTCTCAACGTCGTGCAAATTTCTCCACCGGCAACGAGCTAAGTAATACAAGTAGAGTTCGCGGTTGTGGTAGGAAACACATCTAGAGGGACGATGAGATACGCGAGACATTGGAATTTCAGATACTCAGCTCAGCAAGGCCCAAACAACTCGTGGTCTAAAATCAAGAGCAAGGAGCCGTGGTTCCTCGGCATGCAACAGCAAACTCAATCGGACACCCTTGCGAACTGCACGTGGGAAGCTAACTTCCAGCACTCAACGTCAAACCCCGGCTCAAGACATACGAAGTACGACGCGGACATGTGGCCCTTTTGCCAAGTGCGAATAATGCAATCAAGATCAAATTGGCTTTATCAGTCAATTACAACCACCTCAAAGATGTAATCCAACGGCTCCGGGCGGCCGAGTGTTACATCAGAATCATATCCCTCGTCCTCCGTGAGCTCAACCGCCTCCCTCTCAACTCCCTCTAGTGCATTAGCAAACGCCGCAGCGGCAAAGAGATCATCTCCGGGGAGATCCCCTGTGAGACTGCCTGCATCGGAGCCGTCATCCGAACTGTCATTCACAACCACTGCCGGTTCCATCACGACGTCGATCTCGTCTTCCACTAAAATCGCGTCGTTGTTTTGCCTCGGGACTTCTGTTTGTTGGTCTCGAGGCAGTATCCCGTCGTCCTGTAGCAAACATTTCTCAATATGACGGTACAAGTGTTCCGCCACGACGGGAGGAAACGCATTGCCAATTTGCTTCTTGATATATGGTGCACTGAAAACATGGTATACAGGGAACCCCTGAAGCGTGGCGTACTCTCTCAGTGTCAAGTCTCGTTTACCACTGAAATGGTAGTTTTGGCCACCCGATGTTGTGATACACCGGGGAAGGATTCGGTCTGCATCCCAAGGCCTAAAGTTGACACGGCGCATGTCTCGCGGCTTGTGGAGGGGATCCACGCCTCGTCTGGCTCTGATTCGATGCAAAGCCTGGCGAGCCGTCACATATGGCTTGACACCATTCCCTTCAGCTGAATGAGAGGGTTCTGGGAAAGGGGGAAGTTGCTCGCCGGGGCCAGCACCGATCATGATCAAACGCTTTCTCAGCGCCGGCAACCCCTAGTTTGCCAGCGCAATCACCTTCCACCGCACCGAATAGCCGTACATGGTGAAAGTATTGATCAAGTGGTTAAAGTACGGTGCGAATCGGACCATCATCAACCCGAACGTCTGCTCTAGCGTAAAGACTCTCGGCTTCACCTTTTTCAAAACAATCTCGCAGCCAAAGAGGGCCGCGAGATTTGCGATATCCTTGGCTTCATTGGGGATAGTATGAGCCGGTGAAAAGACTTGACATGGTGGTGAAAAGTGACACATGTCCGTTATCATCGCCCTATGTGCAGTCGCCTCGATGAACTCGGCGACACTTTGCTCGAAAACCTCAGTTAGAGGAAAGTTCCGTCGGTAAGAGTTGCACGCGGCATCCCAGTGGTCCACGGCGTATCTGGGGAATAGGCCGGCTTTGACTGCCCCCCGCGATGCTCCACCTGCTCCTGAGAAGGTGTCAAAGAAGGTATATTTTTGGCCCTGAAGACGCCTCTTAGGACGAGCTTCAACCCCTCCAGGGTGGTTGCCGTTGGGTGGCGGCAACGATCTATCAACCGCAATGGGTGTTGTAACGTGGCCCCCTTCTCGGGGCATATAATCCCCGCCTGGTATCGATTCTCCTCTCCAACCCTTCCGCAAATTACCCCGACCAACCCGATACGGCTCATCTGCCTCGTGTGGGAGGACGTTTATCATTGCCGCTTCGTAGTCGAGATGCATGCTTTTCCGCGCAGCCTCTCGGAACTTTCCGGTCGGCCACCATCTGTAGTATTTCCACCTGCAAACGAGAATCCCACTCTCGTTATGCTCCGGATACGGAGCGTTCGTTGTGATGAGCGTCCTGGTTGCGGTCACTTCTGACACGGGAACCTCCACCAAGGCCTGGATTTCTGCATCCCTGGGGTCGTCGCGGTCCACATCGTACACTGCAGCGACTTCCCGACGGCGCCACTTAAGAAGGCCGCCCATATGTCGGCTCTTGATGTACGGGATGCCTCTGATGATGGTTTGTCCCGGTTGCGAGTCTTTCGTCTGGTATATCGCTTTGATTTTGAGGTATCGGAATCGGAGTGGATGATTTGGTTGCATGTTGATCTGCACGACGACATTGTCCCGGAGGCTCATGCCGTTCCAAGTGATATGGCTGAGGCGGAGGCCAATCCCACCGATGTCTTGGTTTCGCCGGACCCCGGGGCTGGTTTCCCTAACCTCGTCATCCTGGGTAAGATCGAAAATCTCGTTCTCAACCAAGCTTTCGAGCTCCACAATCTCATCTTCGTCGTCAACCTCGATAACGGTGGGCCGTGGTAGGTTTCGGCCCCCAGAATTGCGCAGTTCCCAGAGCCGTCGGGAGATCTCGAAGACTTCAGCGTCCTGGGCGGAAAGTTCCTGGTCATCTTCGTCGTCATCGATTATCCAGCTGTTGTCTGGGCTCGATCCTGGAAATAGATCCATCGTCACCTTTTCAGGCAGTTAGTTCGCAGCTCGTCTACTTCCTTGGGGGCCCTACCTAGAGCGTTTCTCTAATACTTAGAGGAGTATCGTATATCCTCGAAAGTCCGCACGAGCAGGATAATCTCCTCTCCTTCAGGTAAAGGTACCCTCTTTAGTTGCACGGTAGGCGAGGTCAGACTAATTATGAAGGCCCACCTCTCTTCTAGGATACGATGGGTTTTTGCCAGTTGAGTTGAGCACTCTTGATGAGAGGTTGAAAACCTCTTAGCTTGAGTTGCTGGGGAGAGCGCATATGCCCTTCTGATGCGCCCAGCTTGGCGGGGCAGTTCAGTGGACTGCTAAAACGAGCGACTTTTCCGATAAAGGACTGAGTAGGACCATCAAGACACAATAGCCGGATGGGGTACTCCTGAAGCCAAGGACGGTGGTGCTGATTTGGGGAGGTTAGGGGAGTGTGAGAGAAAGGGTTGAGTCAAAATCTCCAGGGTGGAGGGGTAACACTCCTTGGCCAAGGGCAAGAACACTGGTGAAGTCTTCCTACAAGATTTTAAAGGAATGGAGGAAGTCACGATGGTTACTGAAGGCTTATTTATTATAAGATATAAGTCTAGTTATAGTTCCTCCCGAATAGAAGGAGCATCTTTGAGCTTGGTCTAGCTTGAGAATTTGAATTTGAGTATCTATTGAGGATATTATGAGATGTATTCTTAGGTAGGTGATGGGCTTTGTTTTCTCCGTTCTGGTAAAGAGGCTTTTATGCCCTTTAACCACCATCTAATACTATGGTATAGAATGGGTCAAGATGATAATGAACGAATAGACCGGCTCTGGTGGGTTTTGGAGACTCGAACTCGAGATCTCAAGGGCAGATCTAGGCACCAAGATTAAAATAGCGGGATCTCTAAGGCGAGACACACACACACATGCAAAGTCGTTCCGGCACTGGGCGACCAATCTCGAGCGATGACTACCATTCCACATTCCATCCCGATCCACGTTTTCCGCTACGGGGAGGCTTATGGTGTGATGATGATCTGGATCAATGGGGGATGGTTCTGCGGGAGGAGGGAACTTTATGGTGTGGAGGACTGTGTGGGAGGTCGACGTCATCAATCTGCTGAGCGTCGAGAGGTTAAATCCTGAAGCCTATAAGGACGCATGTTCCCTCAAATAGTTTATCCCGAGCCAGGAAATCCTCAAAGCCGGTGACTTTGCTTTTACAATAGCAAATTGAAATTCTCAGCTTTTAAAGAAGAAAAAAATGCCCAAGTCAAAGCCTCACCACGAAACGGCTCCGGTAAGTGGAGGCTCTCTGAAGACTCCATCCTCTTCTATGCATTGCCACAGGGAACTAACACGGCGATCATCCAGAACGAGAACCCGTACGACGTCCTGGGCGCGGGGAACGAAAAGGAAGAAGAAGTACACACCTCCCATCAACGTGATAAGAATCTATCATGGAAGAACTAACACCAGTAACCACTTTGCAGGGCCAGAAGAGTCAGCATCATCCGTCCCGAAAAGGCGAGATGCGGCAGGACGTCAGCTCGGATTTCTCAGTATACCACGCTACCCCTGGACCGGCGATTCCCAAGGACTTTGACGTCAAGCAGGAGGGCACCAAGGAGGAGAGACGGGCCAAGGCGGCGGAATGGAACAAATGAAGTGGTGATGTGGGGAACAACCCTTGTCTGATGGGGGAAATATAGGTGCCTGAAGGGAGGACCCTGGGAGTTGGGCACTTTTTAGTCGAATGTTCGAGTCTTCTAATCTACTCCAAGCAGCCAAGGGTAGTCTTTCAAAGGATGTTATAAACGATTTGTCTCAATTCAGGGTCCAAGGGCCCTTAAGTGCCTCGGTAGCTGTGGTGAATGTCTATACAGGACGGCTTCTTCGTGTTCCGTGTTGGAGTCGAAACGATGACGCAACTTGCTGGCAGCGAAAAACGAGGGATCAATCTATCGTTAATATAGTGTAGCGTACTGATAAGCAGTGGACGCAAAGTGTAAATACTCGAGCCCGCTTGTGGCTAAACCTGGGACGGTCAACTGAGCAATTGGACTACACGATGAAGTCAAAGATCACACACATTGAGCACTTCGTGATCAACTCTGCGAGGGTAGTATTGATCAAATTGATGATGTCTGGTTGTAGTTTACGAGGATCTGGGGAGGCCGCCATCGCTTTGCCACAAAATAGGTACTCCGTAATGTCATACTTGTACCTCATACTGTGAACAAGGTTCCACGGTGCAAGCTTCAAGTACGGACATGATGGTGGCTGCGATTTCCCCAATTGTTCTTCACACACCCAGTATACTACTGACACTTCCGGTGTGTGTATTCGTGCTTGATTGTGCCTTTCCAATGGTGCAATGAATGGTGACATCGGATTACGACAATTGTACCTGTGTAGATGTTATTGTGGATTAAACAAGGAAACGATGCTTTGCCAAAGGCCGCCGTTTCTGCTCTAAACAAGTACATTCATTCACTTGCTTGCCTGCATTCGATTTAGCCCAGGCCGGTCATGATCTGAGATACCATTATTATTGCCGCCTTCCCTTTTCGGAATAAGATAATAGAAAACGGTTATTGTCACCATCGAGCGAGGATTGTTCCGCACTGGGATTCGAACGACGATAAGCAGAACATTCAAGGGTTCTTCGCCATTCCAGGTTACACTACTTCGTACTTCGTGCTTCGTAGTAGGTTTTGGGTTTTTCTAGGTCCGTTCTGCGTTCATCAAATGGCCCAGCCCCCGCCCACCACCCACCCGCCCGTGTCTGCTAGCCCCAATCTCCCTGGCCTGGGAAATCGGGGTGCCTAGCCAAGGCTGTAATCTACGCTACTTCCGTGCTGTGTCCATGGTTCTAGGCCCCTGACCAACGTCGCCCACTACACTGAGGCCGACAGTTCCGAGTATTACGAAGTACACGCCTCAACTACCACCTTCTCTACCCATCCTCACCAGTTACAAGTTACCGTCCCCTTTTCGTCCTGTTCTTTCCCCAAACCCCAAACCACTGGACGTCCCTGAGCGAAAGGGGGAATGACGACACGAGCACCCATCACCACCCGCAGCTCGACCAACGACAACCGCCGAGGGAAATAAGCGCCGCCACCGTCGTCGGCCAGAAACCTCGGACACACTTCTTCTTGTGCGGCTGCGAGCCTGCGAACCTGCGACACCAGCCCAAGACAAAGAAAGCCCACGCTCTCAGGTTGTCTTTCTTCTATGACTTAGCTCGAATTATTAGCCACCCGATCTCTTCATTCTCTTCCCCCCCGAACGACTAGTTTTATCCTTAGCACCCATCTCTCTTTCCTCGCCTCCGCTCCTTGGGCAGGATTCGCATCGTTAATACCGACATTCTTCGTTTCCTCCCATCACCGAGACGCCGTCAATCAACCCTTGCCCCGCTCACGAATTGCCCACCGAGCTGTGACGACACCCCGAGCTCGTCTCGCCCCATTGAACCGCCGACATGGTGTCGATTCTTAACGAAGACGACAAGGGGACGGTGAAAAGAGTGGTGCCCAAGCAGAGCAACAAAATCCAGGCCGTAGGCGTCGCCAGGCTCTACGTTGCATATCCTAAGCGTTCGAAATGGACATATACAGGGTTACAAGGGGCCATCGTGCTTGCCAATGATCTTGTCGGCAACACCTACTGGCTCAAGATGGTCGACATTTCGGTACGTTCGTGTCCAGCTTCACGCACACGCATTCTCCTCCTCGGCTTTAAATGTCATCGATCCCCTTAGACTTCTATACACCGACTGACCTGACTTTATCTGTTTAACAGCCTGCGAACCGCGGAGTTATCTGGGACCAGGAGATCTTCGACACCTGGACCTACAACCAGGACCGAACCTTCTTCCACACCTTCGAGCTCGAGGATTGCCTCGCCGGCCTTTCTTTCGTCGACGAGAAGGAGGCGGCCCTCTTCCTAAAGAAAATGAATAACCGAGAGAAGCACGCGAGCCGAGCGACCAAGGCTACTCCGTTTGGTGGCAATGGTCAACCCACACACAAGCATGGCTTCCTAGGCCTTGGCGGTATCTTTGGTGGCCACCGCCATTCGTCGGCGCCTACGCCGCCCGACTCACCTGGCGGAAACCTGTCGGCATCGCACAGCCACCGATCACGACTGTCGTCTGGTAGCACCACTGACGTGTCCAAGGTTAGCGAGTTTGCTTTACTTGATGCTTTTGACCCGAGGTGGAGGGAGAATTTCGGTCACGACCTGAGGTCGAAGGGCCTGACGGATGATTTTATCAAGGACAACCAAGAATTTATTGTCGACTTCCTGCGAGAAGAACAGCAGAAGCAGCGTCAAAAACGAAACACACCACCTGCGGCACCTAACGGCCATGGGAGGGCACCCCCGCCGCCTCCACCACCAGCTGCCCCCGAGAGCCCTGCCTCCCGAGCTGAGCTACCAGCCTCTACTCCTCGCCGTGGATTACCTCCCGCGCCGCCACCGTCGAGACGTCCCGGCGGCCGCTCTGAATCCGCCGCAAGACCTCCTTCTCCGCCTAGCGAACCACCAGCTCCCCCGCGACCCAAGTATAACGCGCCGCCTCCTCTTCCTGATGCGGGCAAGTTCGCGCACTCCGAATACCACAGACCAGTACCAGCCGCTCCAGGACCCGCTCCACCTCCCCCTCCGCGACCACCCAAGACTGCTCTTAACGCACCTAGCTCAGCGCCCCCACTACCAGGTAACAGGCCTGCACCTCCTACGCCGAGCCGCGGACCCGTCCCACCGCCACCGCCGTCTCGAGAGCCCGTGCACCACGTCCCGCCCCCGATATCATCAGCGCCGCCGCCGCTACCGCCAAAGGTTCCCGCTACATCGGGCGCTGCCGTTCACGCGCCACCCCCGCCGAGCCCACGACCCGTTCCCATGCCTCCTACAGCACCCCCATTACCATCAGCGAGCGCTCCCCCCGCTCCCCCACTACCTCCCCCACTTCCCTCGTCCAGTGCGCCGCCGCCACCTCCACCAGCTCCGCCTCTACCTCCACCATCAAATATTCCCGTCCCTCCTCCGCTCCCCTCGTCCAGCGCACCGCCCGCGCCGCCCCTTCCTCCGCCATCCGGTATCCCGGCGCCTCCTCCCCCTCCACCGCTCCCTGCCACCAGCGGCCCTCCTGCCCCTCCACCCCCGCCGATGCCCAACCGCGATTCGGGCTACTCATCGGGCGTCCCGAGCATGGCTCCAGACGCATCCCGTGCGGGTCTTCTCGACAGTATCCAGAAGGCGGGAGGTATCCATTCCCTCAAAAAGGTCGACAGAAGCCAGATCCGCGACAGGAGCGCAGCCACTGTTGGTGGTGGTGGCGGCGGCGATACGGGCCCTCATGGTAGCGGGCTGCCGCCTGCTGGAGTGGGTCATGCCGGCGCGAACACTAGTATGGCGGATGCGTTGGCCGCTGCGTTGCAGAAGAGGAAGGAGAAAGTCAGTAAGAGTGGTAAGTGTTAGACCTGGCTTCACCCTCTCTCTTCTCTCTGTATATATATACTAACAAGCTGTCTTGTAGACGACGAGGATGACGACGACGACTGGTGATATACTCGGTCTATGCATGAAGGAAAGGGTTCACAGCATTTGTGGAAGGTCGTGGGTGCATTTTCCGCCCCCCTCTCCATCTCATGGGGGCATGTGGGAACCGTCTCGAGTTTGATGATACAGCGGTGGGACTACAGCGGAGGTCTCAGGATGGACAGGACTGGAACGGAGAAATGATGGCCACTATAACGATAGGTGCGAGATGGCCAGTAGAATCTTCTAGTTCTGCCTTATTACGAGCGGGCTGTTTCTCGGTCTCCGGTGGGATTATCCACCCAAGAAGGAGCGGAACAGGAGTGTACCTCCTGACGCATGACACTTGGAGACAGGTTTAGGTTGACAGAAGGGTGCGTATAGCTTTCGTTTATATGTAAAGTATCAAAAAGGAAGAAAAAAATTGCAAGTATTCTTAACACATTAGAGTGCGCATAGAAAGAAGAGGAGCAGACGGTGATTAAGAACGTTGAAAAGATGCCAATAGTCCCCACCACTAGGGAAAAATCGGCGAGTCTGATATGGCAACACTCAAATAAAACAAACCTTAAGAAATTGGACAAAATCATGGGTGTCACAGGAATGCGATTCTAGAAATGAGGCATTTGGAAAAAAATATTTGTTTGCTATGGAGACTATCGACGTGAAACAATTCGTAAAGAGGAAAAAAAAGGAATCCCGTGACGTCTCTCCCACCACGGGATTAGTGAAAGAAAGGAGGGGGTTAAAAACCCGAACCACAAAAAGAAACTGTCGGGGAAATCGAGCGCACATTAAATATAGTTTGCCGGATTTTGAGAGAGAAGACAGTCGTTCACCGGTGGGAGTAGTTCGAGTTGTCGAGAATGGTGGATGAGGATGGTCGGAGTGGCCTGAGGGAGTGAGGGGCGGAGGGGTAAAAATTCTATCGGTGCGCTTCCAGCTGGTCTTTAATCCTCCCGCTTTGAAAAGTAATGAATATTTCAAGCGCTTTTCTTTGCTAGGGAGAAAGATGGAGGTGATAGTGCACCGTAGAAAACGTCGGTGAGATTGACCCGCTGTGTGGCGAAAAAAAGTAAAAGGGAGAGTTTGACCTAGTCGGTGTCCAGGCTTTCTCCCCTCTTCGCCCCCAGAGAAACCACATCGACGATGCGCACCATGCCGCCATTCGATGGACGTTTAGATATCGTCGATGGCGATATCCTTAGCAGCAACGTTATCATCCGACTCGGTTTCAGAGTCGCGGTCCTCGTCGAACTCGAAGTTGCAGTCGCCCTCGCCCTCGCCACCGTAGGTATCGGTCTCGTTGATCTTCGCGTTCTCGGGAAGTTCTCCGTAGGCCTTGAGCGAGCGGGCCTCATCGGCGGTGTACTTGAGAATGACGTCGCCCTTGTTGTCTTGGTAGTCTCGGAGGGAGAGGAGGATGATGTCGCCTTGGTTGATCCAGACCTTCTTTCGGAGCTCTGTTAAAAATACAGTTAGCACCTCGCATTCAGAGAGAGTTAACGGTGGGGGAAATGGTTGTATAACTTACTTCCACGAATGTTTCCTAGCCTTCGCACGCCGTCCATGCACTGGGCTTCTAGACGACCGTTGCCCAACATCTTGACAACCTGAGCGTATTCCTGGCCATCTTCCTTGAAGACGAGCTCACGCTTCTCGTTATCGGCTTCGTTCTTTCCCCTACGCCTGTTCTTGCCACCCTGTTTTGCGATCGCGTTAGTATTATGTTACTCTTTTCATCTCTTGAGAAGTATATTGCTGCGTTGCCTGGGATGTTGGAATGCGGGGGAGGGGTAATGAGGCGATGGGGGGCAGATGGGAATCCAGGGCAACAGGGGGTGATGGAGAATGTGTCTTGCAACTTACCTTTCCCTTATTCTTCGGCATATTGGTTTGTGTTTGAAGGACTTTGGTTTGTGATTCGAATAGATGCTCAGTCGAACGAAATTTGTTCTGTCCGCTAGAGAGTTGAGGAGTTGGTTCGTAGTGGTGTTGGTGTGATGGGCGAGTTTAAATGTGAGCGCGGGGCGCGGGGTTTTATTACGTTTTTGTGCACGTCTTTATATAAAATATAGTGCAGGCAAAGAAGAGCGCGCTTGCTTACCTTTGTATAAATAGTGACAATGAACGTGGGGCTGTGCGCTTTAACCAAATCCGGCGTGTCAACAGCTACGGTGATGACTCAGTGGGGCGACTTTTTAGACCTGCCTGGTTGAGCTGGAGCAGCCCGGCGAGGGGCAAATCCAGCTTCTGGGCTAGTCGATTTGTGGAGGGTGGACGGGGGCGAATAGGACCAAACTTGGTCAAGATTTTGGTTCGAGACTGATTGATAGAACATCTAGTCAACCTCATTTGAAACCTAAGATCGTACATTGATGTTGGTAGCTGACGTTTTGAACTGTATTATCCAAATAACCACGTGCAAGCCTCTTCTTCTTCTTGCCCTCTGGCCCTGATGAATGTCTTAGTGGCATCTCGATAACAACAATAAACTTTCTGCACTTGGCGCCTTCCTGCGCTCCCCTCTCGGTCGGGCCGTAAAGCTTTAGAATTTTCTTTGTCTGGGGTGGCGGGCGTTCCTGCCTGATCGAAAGTGAACATGGTGAGAGTCAAACAAGGTACCTCAGCAACCCCCGCGCTACATTCCAGTCCAGCCAAGTCTCGGCCTTGACATTGTATCTAAACTAATTGATGTCGGGTGCCTTCACATGCTTTAGCGGATGTATTGATCCATCTGCTCCTTCCTGTGGAACGACGGACGCAGCCCAAACCGGTGAGTAGTTGTACTCTGTAGGGCAGGAATAACGCGCATGGCCTCCGGTTCAGCCCTCAAGGTGGTCTAGATCCATGGCGCTGCCCCTGTCATCATCACTGTGCCTTCCTTTGTGAAACGCTGCTGTTTGGTGTGTGATACATGATACTTCAATGTTCATTGCTTGTGGCCGTCCGATATTCATGCTGTGCGCTACCAATAATCATATTACACATCAGGTCGTCCTATATTATACATGCAAGATGGCAATGCCCATCTCAGTTTCCATCAAATGCCAAGAAGAACCGGAATATCCACGCCTAAACCAACGATACTCCAAATGCTAAAAGAAAAAAGAAAAGGAGATGAAGGAGAAAAACAAAAAGAGGCTAGATCCAGACTTGAACTTGCTCATCCATCTTCTGCTCCTTGTGCATCCCCACATAGTTATCATGCTCAATGGTCAACTGCTTCGTATCCATCACACAGAGCATCTTCTCCTCCGTAAACAGCGCATCTTCCGCCCTAAACTTCTCCCTTGAACCCTCCGGTAGCGGAGCTCTTCCATTCGACGGCGCCATCACAACGATCGGGTTCTTCCCCTTGATATCAGACAGCTCGACGTCCGGTTCAGGTTCCGGCAACGGAGAGTCCGGCCATATGATTCTTCGCGCTTCCTCTTCGGTGAGGATGTCCTCGAGCGGCAACGACGGCCCGAGTGTGACGTTCCTATTATCCGCCTTCTTGTTCTCCACCTTTTTGTTGTCTAGCTGGTTAAGAAGGATCGATTCGTGCTTCTTATACGTCGCGTAAAAGGTCTTGTTCGCCATGGCGAGGGCGCTGATATCTCTCACGACGCTCAAATGGCGTAGAATCCCCAACACCACTCTCTCCGGGACGTTCCGCGATTCTGATCCTGCTCTAGAAGGCTGCGGCGCCTCAGCCACAGAGACGGGCAAATAACCCTTCTGCGGTTCCGTGGCGTATTCCCGAGACAAAACGTAGCCATGCTTTCCCGTAACATCAAACAGCGTCAAGCCCGAAAGACTATTGTAGATATCGATAACGGCGGCCCGGAAAGCCGGTATGGGGTCGCACACGCCCTTGTGAACCGGGTTGGGCGGGCTCGGTATGTTCTGCATGACCCGAACTAGCTCAGCCAAGCTCCTGCGCGGGAGCATTGGTCCCTGTTTTGATCTAGGGTCGGACATGTGTGCTAGCGCAGTCGGGTTCATGATTAGAGGAAGGAGTTGGAGCTCCGACATGACAATCATTAAATAGCCGAGATTGGCTCCATCGCACTCGTGGCTACCCTTGGGACAACGGGGCGAGCTCGATAGAAACGGTCGAAACGGCCGGAACTGGGGAACACCCGGTCCACCTTGGGATGACGAGGACCCCCAGGATCCCGGAGATGAAGTTGTGGTAGATGACACCGGAACATCAAAGATGGATGCGCGACGAGAAGGGTCGTTTGACGGTGTTTCGCTGATCATAGGCTGCGTAGGAGGCCGCAGATATTCCTGAACAGTGGAGACGCAGCACGCGTAAACCTGCTCCATCTTAGCATTCCGCACCGCCCAAATCTTTTCCTTCAGCTCCTTCGGCCAGTGTTTCCCCTCCAACTCCTCCTCATTAACAATATTCAGGATCGCCGACTTGGTCATCCGGGTAAACAGTCCACGGCTACCAAAAACATAGCTTATCAGCAAGAGACCGTCTGGCATCGCCTCGCCCCCCATGTGCACCCAGTCCGGCAGCCACCGCATCTCGACGACCACCTCCAGCGGCGACGTGCATTGGAGCCTGAAGCACAAATCCGCGATGGTGACGAATCGCTGGAAATCGATCGTGCGGGGGACCTGATCGTTGTGCATATGCGCCGCGTGCATGAGGATTTCGAGTGGCCTGACCTCCACCGCGTTGATGGGCGGCATCCGGTAGACACTGATCTGCTGGCCGTCCTTATTGACGTGGCCCTTGACTCGCGGGTAGGGGCCCTGGAAATCTTCGTCTCGTTTTCGGCCGCCTAGGGGTACTTTTCCGAAGAGTTGTGCGAATACTGGTGACACCTCCGAGAGGATGTGGGATGATACCCTGAAACTGGCCTTGCGGCGGTGGGTGTTGGAGGAGCTGGTCGGGTTCGAGGCGTCGTCTGGCGCTATGGGGAATTCGAGAATGGTATCTCCTCGGGTGGATATGTCGTACCTTTGGGTGACGGGCTTCTCTGATTTGACGGTGGCCTGGCTGGCTGGTCGTTCAACACTCCTCAGCACGATAACTCTATCCGGCGCCGCACCAGGGAGGCCCGCCAAAGGTTTACTTGACGCCTCCTCGCTGTTCTCATCCGATCGCTTCCCGGTCGACTGGGCTGACAGTCCCTGAGGGGTTACGCCGTTGGGAGACTCTTCGTCGCGAAACGTGAGCAGTTTGTGAATGTAAGACCATGCTTCCTGGATGGCGCGGTATTCTGTTTTAAGGCACTCCTGGGGCGATGGCTGATGGCCGTTAGCTATACTTATCTGAGTTGTCCACAACGTCAAACATCACCACGTTAATACTCACATTGGGCGGCACCGAATTACTCGATGCGAAACTCGCCTCCGACTCCAAATCAGAAACATCAACCTCCGGCACCTCCTCATCAAGAGCCTCCCGATACCTCGCTATCAACCGCCCCAACGTATCCCTCCAATCCCTCACCTCCATCAACCCCGGCGATCGTTCCAACACCTTTGCCACCCAATCGCTAAACTGCACCTCGCGACCCCCCTCCATCGCCACCACAGCGGCCCCGCTCGCACTCCTACTCCCGCCTCTCTTCTTGACCTCAAAGTCCACGACCGCCTCGCAGAGCACGCGGCAATCGACCACTACTCCTTCGAAGGCGTTGAAGGCCTCCGCTAGCGTCTCGCTCTCCTTCGTGGCCCATTTCACGCGCGACATGAGCGCGCGGAGACGCCGTCTGTTTTCGTCGGGCGTGGAGCTCACTATTATGCTTCCGCCTTGTAGCTTCCATACTGTTTTCTGTTGCTCCGTTCCTGCGCCGTTTGTGTCTTGTGAGGGGAGGACTCGTCCCGGGGGTGGCTCGCTCGTTCGTCTCTGTGTGAGGGTGGTCGTCGCCAGGGACATCTTGTCGTTACGGCCGGGATGTGCGAGACAAATGAAGTTGTGGGAATTAGGTATGGGGGTATCCTCCGTAGTTCTTCGAATTCCAATATTCGCTTTCACGGTCCCGGGCATAATCTCCGATTTTTCGTCTTCGAAGTCAGGTCGCGTCCTATTCCAGCTCCGCTCTTCCTCGCGTCAACCGCCCCAAGGCGGGTTAGTTACTCGGCGGTTACTCGCAGTTTGACTCGTTTCGGCGCGTAGGAGACAACAGCTCAAGAAAAAAAAAACATAAAGCTCAAATGAACGCAAGACAATAGATATATATTTTGTATAAAGCAATCATTAATCGGAGTGCAAAACCCTCTCCAGGGAGACAAGGAGGGGAGGTGGAGATGGAAACCCAGAACCTCTCGTCCATGCACTGCCAACAACACGGCTGATATGCGGGCTGACATTGATGGAGAGGCGGGGAGGCCAGGGTCCGACAGGGGTCTTGGTGGTCTCCTGGCACTCGGACTTTATGTCTCCTCAGCCTTCTGTTTTTAAATACGATGTGGCTTCCGCCCTATAAGGAGGATCGACTCCCCCGCTCTCCCATCGATACGAGAGAGCCAGCATGAGGTCTAGGCAACAGGCAAACCAAAAAAAAAGCCGGGCCGCTGACTCGATACGCGATTCTTCGTTGGAGCCATCAACGCACTGACGACTTTGTCGTGAAAGACGGGGAAAAAATAAAGAAAAAGAAAAAGGAGAGAGAAAAAGGGTTGTCTTTACGAGAATAACCATATCAAGACTGAGCTCCTCCGCCATTGATAGGTCTTCACTTCGGAATTCTGCGTAAAACACCGATAACGCTTACCCTCTATTTATTGTGCTATGTTCCTAGTAACAAACCCACGCCATACCCTGCTCTCTTGTTTTTTTTCCATGCATTTGATGATACAGTAAAACAAGTCGGAAGAAGGGGCAAAAGAAGAAGAAGAGGCCAAGCTAGGTTGGTCGAGTCGAGAGGATTGCAGACTCCCCTCTTCTTTTCTTCCTGGTTCCTTCACATCACCACGCCCCCGACAAGGTCTCCCGCAATATAGACAGTCGACCCATAGCTAACTCTCGCATCCTCTGCCTGCTGCCTGCTGGTATATATCCATTGATGTCCTCTCCCATCCCGTCGACCCTTCCCACAATGTAAAGCCGCTGATGCCGATGCATAGACTGGCCAACCCCACGGATGAATACAACAAGTGGTTGTCATGTATGTAAAACAAGAAGAAACAAGAGTCCTTCCAACTGCCAGCCGTGATATCCTCCTTCCAAGCCTCCCCAAGCCGTAGAAAAATAGGAACAAGGCTGATTCGATGAAAATGGAGCAAACGCCAAACCAAGCCGCACGCGAGACAGACACACAAGAAAGAACACACGCCAAACCAGAACGCTTCCCGATGGGGATGCAAAGCTCGCAAAAATGAAATAAAGCAAAAAAAAAAAAAGACAAGGGTTTGTCGAGGCTGTGAGAAACAACATGTATAAGAACCACTCTGTAATTTTCCGTTTTCTGTCCGTCATTTCCTATGTCCATAACCTCTACACAAGCCTGTATGTCCAATTCCGATAAGTCTTCACATGCCTATACCGCTCTAAGTCTTTGTTTGCCCTCCTCATGAACCAAACGTGAGAAACCACACACCACCCCTGTCCGCATTTCGTGTGTTGAGTTGAGAACAGGATATTCTCGTCTTCTCAATCCACGCTTGTAAAAGCCGCTTCACTGTCGGAAGCGCTATTTTCCCTACCCACGAACACAATGAAAAAAAAGGATAGTCGATAAGCCTTCTTCAACGCCAAAGTCTCCACAAAGATAATTGTGACTCTCTATCCGCTTGTTGAAGTTGACCACGACTTAGTTACTGCCTCGGCTGGGTCGCTGTGCAGTGCCTGGTTGGCTAATGTCCTGGAGATGATTCCGATCCCCGCCTGTAGCTCGCCGCCTAGGTGCATCGAATGCCTTAAATGGGAGAGTCGCTATGTGATGTGTTCTGGTGTGCGAAGTGTGGAGTACATCTACACCACATCCAGGTACCGTATCCAAGAATACACTTCGCTGCTCAAAACTAAGAGGTCGAGTCGGGCACGTAAGGCAGGGAGGAGAGAGAGAGGACACATATACCAAACTAGAGAAGACACGGCTGGAATAGACAATGGGTAGACCTCGCCAAGGCTCGCCCATCCAGTCCCCACGCCCATTTCTTCTCGTTGGCCAACACTAGTCTCGAGAACGCAACGGGAAGTCTCTCAACCGCCCTTTCGCTCAGAGCTGTGCTTAGGTGGCGCCTCGCTTTGGGTCATTCCACTGCCCTGGTTCTTGTGATCACCTCCCTTCTTACGGTATTTGCCAGCCCTCTGCCATCCGCCATCGCCATTTACGACGTCGTTTCGGTGAGTGCGGCCCTCCGATTCCCTTGGTCCCCCAGCTTCTTGGCCCTCACCCGGAAATCGGTTTGCCGTTTGAGACTTGCTCGACTGGTGGCCCGGTTGCGACGCCCGATTTGACTTGTATTGGGATTGGCGGCCAACTCCGGCAGACTGCTGTTTCGAGTCGTGCAATGCGGCGGTGTCACCAGCATCACTGGGTTTACTTAGTCCCGCCCTACCTGCACCTTCTGGTCCTTGACCCCTCGACCCCGCCGCGTGCCCTTGACGGTCGCCCTTTGTCGAATGGTCGGGCCTCCGGGTTGGAGCCGCTGGAGGAGTTCGGTTCTCGTAAACCGGGGATAGGTGCTGGAAATCTAGCTGTCCTGAGGAACCGCCAACCTTATAGTCAATGGCAAGATCGAGCGGCGCAATTATTCCGCTCTGCTGTTGTCTAGGCAAAACCCGCTGCCGAGTTGATGAAGTATATCTCTGGTTCATTGACAGCTCAGGCTGATAAAAGTAAGAAGGCACACCGTACGCAGGAACAGGGCCAGGATTCATCATGGCTAGTCGCTCTTTGAACGAAGGCTCGTCCATCATGTGCAATTGACCCATCGATGGCATGGAAGGCGACGCCGTCGCGGGAGCAGTACCAGTAACTGGAGTCGCTCCCGTGTTGGTTCCATTAACGACCACAGGAGGCTGTTCAGGAAGAGACAGAGACGACTGCTCGGTTGTCGCGCTGCTAAGCACTGGAGTCAGTTCAGACTCAGTGCCTGATTCATAGGTCGTGCTCGGGCGAGTCGACACAGAATCGCCCGACGAATACGTCTCGCTTGGGCTTGGCGCAGCCGTTTGACGATGCGAGTTAATCGCAGTGGGATTTAGCAAAGAGCCATTCACGACCAAAGGGCGGGGGGTGCTCTTATTTCCCAACGACGATGGTGAGGACGTGCCAACAGATAGTGCCCTGGCGTGACCGGCGGCCGGAGAAGGCGATCGCGATACCCTTCTCATTCTTCGGTCGAGAACGGATTGGGGAAGCTCGGTAGACATGTGTCGGCGGCTTGTAGCAGTAGTAGTAGTAGCAGGCTGGTGCAAATCCCCAAATGCAATACCGTTCGGCGCATTCGTCACTCGTCTGCTGGGGCTCGAGGTCTCGGAAAGGAACGGCCCCATATGCCCACCCTCCTCGGAAGGAGGCGAATCACCTGCGGCGTTGGTTGAGGGCGAGGGCCCTTCGTCGAACTCGGCCTCGTCAGATATGAAGCTTGGGATGGGTATGCCATTAGCATTATTCCGTGGAGGGAAGATGGATAGCCCGTTAGGCGGCGTCGGTCCTGTGCTAGAAAAGCTGCTACTACCGGGTTGGGCGACTGGTACAGATCTCGAGGCAGGCTGCGACTGCGACCTAAGCGAACTGCCAGCCCCTGACGTACCTGCCTCCGCGGCAGCACTCGACCGATGTAGACTCCTCCTAAACTCCGTTGGCGCCCCCGTCGTGGCCGCAGGGGTGGATGGATATGTACCATATACTTGAGGCACATGACTCGGGGCATAAAACGGCTGACCCGGTTGGAAAGACACTCCATACAGGCCAAAAAGTTCCGGGCGGAGAGGCGCGGTGAGCGGTGGGTTGTCAAACGAGTTTGTCCTCGAGCGGTCGGTTTGCCCAGACGATCCCGGTACACGCTGCTGCTGACCCTGCGATGACTGTTGCTGCTGGGAGGTCTGCTGTTGGGATTGCTGATAGGCATGGACCTGCCATTGGTACAATAGGCCATGCAAATCCGGCCGTTGTTGAAGCTGCATAGCGAGGGCGGCCTGCAAGGGGTCTTGAGGCACATAGGCCCCTCCACCATACCACGACAAATCCTGGCCGTTCATATGCGGAGAGTATATCGGGGCATTACCGTCATACGTGACGCTAGAAGATGCCCTCCTGTTTGCATTGTTTCCGCGGTAATGGTTGTTCTGATGCCTCCCTCCTCGTCCAAAACCACGGCCTCCGCGACCCGAATGGGTCTGGCTTGAACTTCGCATGAGGATCGGCTGAGGTTTCCGAGTTTGCGTGAACACGCGCTCCTCCTCCTTAGGAAACACGTACTGATCGCAGCACTCAGTCAGCTTCGCCTGAGAAATCAACTCGAAGGCTCGTCGGAGCTCGAGATGCAAGCCCTTGAACGAGTACTCATCCGCGGTATTCCCTAGATTCCTTGTAGTATTGAACGGCTCCTCAATGCAGAGTCTATTGTTGAGCGCGTGGTGCCAGTTCTTTTCCTTCTTGGTCAAAAGATGCCCTAACCGCACCGATAGTGAATGCCTATCATAGTCGAACTCGTGGGCGTAGAACCTAAAAAATTCGAATAGCAGGTCTCCAAGGCTGGACTTATTCTTCTTCCCAAATCCGCGAAGTTGATCCAAGTCGTCGGCGAAAACACTCTCAACGCCGTCCTTATTCCGTAATCGCTGGTGGGGGCGCTGATGGAGTGCAGGGAGCACTGGCGGATCTCGAAGCTGGAGGAACGCGATAACTAAACAAATCCACGTATATGAACTTAATGTACCGCCGAAAGCTGGTGAATCGGAAGGGGGAAATAAGTTAGCAAGATGAATTCGCGCGTTTGGAGAAGAGAGTATGAGGAATAAATACCGGCATCATTAACCACCCTCCGTCTTGTCCAGTACTTCACGATCATAGCAAGAGGCCGAACCCGCTCATCAATCTCGACATATGTCCGCACCATTCGCGTATTTTCCAGGGCGAGTGTGTTATTGACGTTCATGTCACAAGCCAGGCCGAGTTCAGGGTCCCACATCTTCACAATGGGGACCTTGGCCGGTGCTATACAAACAACCTTTTCCATACCGCCTGACGATTATTGTTAGTGTTGAGCTGTTCGAGGCCATAGCCGCTCTCACAACTTCACCTAGAAGGGTGAGGGGGCTATAATTGGAAGACACGTACGTCTAGCGAGAAGTTCCGCTATCATGCAGACTCCCTCGAGCTCTTTCCACTCCGTAGTGATGCAAATGTCGACTGAGTAATATGTTAGCCAACAAAGCAAGACAGCGAGAAAACGAAGGGGGAAAAGGGGGGGGAAGCGAGTCATCAACCATACCATCGGAATCGTCGGAGCACAAGAGGTTTCCAGAAGAGCCGAAAAGATTTACTCGAATATCGTGGCCCGGCCACTCATCATTGAATATCTTTTCGAGTTTCGTAACCAATTTCCTCCTCTTCTTCTCGACTGCATCAGTGGGCAGTAACCGGTCGTAAAGCTCTCGCATGTCGGTCGTCAGTTTTCGCTCTTCGTCCTCTGTCAGGCGACTCTTTACGGTAGACAGGGAAATCCGATCCAGCCTCTCGTTACCGATGCTGTAAGGGATCCTCCTTCTCGTATTCATCTGCGCGGTTTCATACTGGCAGCCTCCTAACCTAGGAGGGAGCTGCTTGAGCGGGGGAACCTGAGCGGTCGTCTCCGAATATGCCGAACGGGGTGAGTGGCTATTCGCGGCATTGGGGGATGGCTCCCGGGATTCGAACGAGAAATTACGAGCGTGTTGGAGCGGCGTGGAGGGGACAGAGCTCGAATGGTTCTGGTTATGGCCGGCCGCGACTGCTGGTCTCGCGGGGAGAGGGTGGGACAGGTCCGGATTTTTTGGCGGCATTTTCGGCGGGGCGTCTTTGTTAGCTATAACCGCTCTGTGACCCTTGTCGGTATTCTGTGCTGCTCTATTCCCATGGCCTCCCTGATTGCCTTTACTCGTAGGGTGATCTTTGTTCGACACTTTGGACGCCGACCTCGACCTAGGCTTGGGAGCGGTCTGGATATGGGGTGGCGAGGAAGCGGCCTGGGCAGGGAGCTGGGGATGTCCACCGCCCCTGCCAGGGGAAACGAGCTTGTTGTACTGAAGAAGTTGCTGGTGATGGAAGAAGGTGGCTTGTTGGGGGAGGAAGAGCGGCAAGTATTCGATGCCGGCGGACAACGGTCCAGCCGAGATCTCTGGCTGAGCACAGGAACCAACGGTGCTCGCGGTCGTCGTGCCTACAGGAGGAGTGTGCGGCCAGTGGGCAGGAGAATAGCTATGTTTCGATTCTGCCGCGGTCGACCGACTGTCCATGAAGGGAGACCGGGCTCGTCTGCCTGTCGAATTGGGCAGTGGGGCAAGAGTATAAGAGCGTCCAAGCGAGTAGGAGAATTGATCAATGGGACGAATTCAGGACTATCGACAAAGAAACCCCGACAAGGCGTGGGAAAATGGAATATACAACAAAAAAAGAAGGGAAGAAAAGAAGAAAGAAAAAAGTTCTCCGAAGGCAGGAAGAGCAACGACACTAAGGGTCCGAGAAGTCCGTCAAGTAGGAGGAAAAGATCGGGGGTATCACAAGAAGATACAAGAGGAGAGAAAACGACAAGGTCGAAAGTAGGAAAAAACGGCGAAGTAGAAGAGGCGGTGGCTGTCGTGATATATCAACACATGGGCATCGACTCGCGCGTCGGGAAAAGGGGTTGGCGGAAATCGCTGAAGAAGGGAATCGAGGCCTAAATCACAGCGAAGAAGGATTAGGAACTTCTGTCGAAGGTAACCCGTTCCGAATGCTGTTGGGTCCAATCCGAGTCCAAGCGACGGTTGGCGGGCGGAAGGCCGGCAGATTCTGAGGTTCAAGGGAGAAGGAGGAGAGAAGTGGAAGAGGACGGAGAGAGAATCGAGGGTCGGGTGCTGAGAGGGATCGGAATATGGACAGCCGGCATTGGCAAGACGAGGGGTCTAGAGGCCACTGTCGACACGAGACTGTGAAAGGATGCTTATGTCGAGGGTGGAAAGACTGGTAGAGGCGGAGGAGGAAATCAATCGACGCGCTGGGGAGGACGGCGATTTTCTGGATGTGGATTCAAGAGATGGTCGATTGAGGTCAGGGAGGTGCTGTGCTGTGGGAGGGTGGGGGGGGTAATGGATGTATTTGGTACAATAGGAGAGCGAATTGGTGGTCGCTTCGAACGAAGTACAGCCACGGATATGTCGCTCTGCCCTTTTTCGGAGCGTGTTCTAGACTAGTGACTAGGAGACTAGCACAGCAGACCCTGCCATCAATGGACGTGGACGTGGACGTGCCAACTAGGGTCGGTGGAACTGGGGGAAAATTGGAGGAGAAAGGGAGCGGGTTTGTCCTGAGCTGAGAGGGAAGGTCGAGTCCTGTCTGGGAAAAAAAAGGGTGTCGCTCTAGTGGCAACACCCTGTGCCGTCCCTTTTCTTTTTCCCTTAAACCCCTCGAAGAGAAAGGGCGGCGGCGAATGAACACCAACTTGCAGGTACTTCGTACTTGCACACTTTGCCATCTTTGAAGTCTCCTTCGTGCGAAGTACGGCGAGCCGAAGTCGCGTCCGCATCTCACACTGTGTCAATGCTTAATTTAACACTTTAATAGGTCCCATGTACCCCGTATGAAATGTAACCATATCACTGTGCACATTTATGGTATGGATCATTGATGCATTTCCTCACTTTTCCATTCATGTGTGCGTGTGATTCCACAATTGGCAAGCCTTCGTGTAATAATAATACTCGTACTTTGCCAATAAACTAGGAAGGACGACCGACAGAGTTGACAAGAACTGTCAAAGTACGGTGTCCCAGTCATAGAATGTGCCAAAACCGCAACTAAGTACATCAAATCCTTCATCCACATACAATTGCAGTACATGCACTATAAGCCCTGCAAGTAAAGCCCACCCCATTACGTTGGATTATCGATGCTATATTGATGTGAAGCCCACAACAGAGTGGAATCCAAGCATGAACCTGGCACCGAACTTCGTTCCCTCGTGCTCTGTGTGTTGTGTTGGTCTTCAACTTCTCGTCGCTGCTCAACCAACCAACGTTTTGAACCCCTGGCATGGCCGCTGGCTGGCCATCTTGGGGAATTGAAGAAAGTGCCCCCAATCCTACTTGTACAATATGGAATATGCCACCTTCCACGCGACTGATGGGCCTCGGCCAGACTCGAATCCATCGGCAAGTAATATGCGATCCTGTGGAGACCGGAGACTTCCATAATTTGAACACTTGGAAGCCAAGTGACAGTGGAGGGTTCAACGTTACCTTCTTTGGTGCGCCCCAAGCACAGGGCTTTGGGTTGGCACTGGTCTCAGCCCCGAGCATTGGTTGCGAAGGAGCGATTCCCTCGCTTTCTTGAACAAAGCCTTCCACCACTGATGCATACATGATGAAGTAATAGGACTTGGAGAGAAGTGCGCAGACCAAATCGTTTGTCAAATATTATGAATTACTGATAGATCTGAGGGTATCATTACTTTGTACGAAGTTAGTTCCCACCCAACAAGATGGCTCGCACGGACATCCATGGGCGACACGACACGACACGACACTCGGCAAGCAAAGGAAACCACAGACCAGACATGAGATCTCAAAATAGCTCTAATGTAGAGATTCCCGACCCGTTCAGTTCTGATGACTAGGCAAGTGGGCAGAGAGGCTTGAAAATGGGAGGTTAGAATATCAATCAATCCGTTTCGGCGTACGTTCGATCGATCTTTCAAGAAACGAAACGCGTCGCCGTTCTAATCCCCACCACTGTTATATTATAATAATGCATGCTATACTCGCGTCGAGTTTCATCAAGCAACGCTCTGGGGAGGGGAGACCTGGTATGAAAGGCCCATGTACGGAGAGCACAGTGAACATCGGGGGACAAAAGGATAAAATAGCCCCCTTTTTGAGAGATGGAGAGCACGAGAGTCGCATTCTGCCAATTCGAACACTAGAAGAAACAGTGGATAATAACGTCTGTCATCTTCATAGGTGGCAATGCCCTTTTCATTGATATTGACCAAATGTACTTCGGACTCCGGACATGATATGAATTGCTAGCCAGGCCCTGTGCTGCTGCAAGTCTGGGAGTCTGTGCTTTGTGCCTGCTGAGATGGTTTGGTTTCGGGAAGCGACCCTTGATACCGGGAACATCGGGGTGGGCGCAACCGTCAATCGAGCAGCAAGCTCTTACGGAGGAAGGATCATCGAGGCCGACTAACCATGAATAATTCTAATTAGGAGATGATATCGTTGTGTATCGGGGCGGTCCATTTTTTTGGGATCCATTTCGAGGATCCAACCTTCCCGGAAGAGAGAGTGTATCTCGGTACCTCCGTCTTACTCTTTCTCCTTCCGATGTTCGCATATAGCTCGATGTATCCAATACACATGTAAGGTTCTCCAACATATCAATCTGGACTGCATCATCCTCAACCCTCAAGGCACCCTTTCGGCCCCATACCTTGGGGATAGGCGACCGAAAATGCCTTCCGAACTGGCCTCTCTCCTGTCGTCTTTTTCGACTTTTGTGTCCGCTGCTATCGAACCATGGAAAAAGACGCCAACATGAATGATCCGATAGTGTCTTTACAGCCACTGTTCGACGGAGTTGGTGGGTCGACGACGACACCAGACAAACCGAGAAAGGGCTTCGAGCATCTCCATCGATGGATCCCGTGCGGACTTCGTGCATACAAAGGAGTCAAATTCTTACTAATGAGGAAATATGCTGAGCATGACACCTGAACGGAGTCTTGGGGGGAGGTCTCTGACCCTAGACGACGTGACTATTTCATCGGTTCCCCATAGACTTCCACTAATAGCTTCAAATTGATCGATGCCGGAGCTTGCCAAGTATTACTGTAGGTGAGTAAGCATCAAAGTATGCTGGGGTCTCAACCAAGACAGAGTTTTAGCCCATTCGGCCACCAAGATCAGACGAAGACGACAAACAGCATCAACTAAATGTGCCGACCCAGATCAAATGATCCAACATTAATTCTCGGGCTTACACTTGCAGTAATTGACCTTGCACGGTGCCGACACACTTACGCCTGCCCCTTATTCAGCACAAGCCATCATACTACTCTGGAGTGTAGTGCTCGTCCCTTTTCACAGTAGACGGTCTTCGCTTTAGACATGCAGCCCTTGAAGGCAGTGCTAATACTTTAACACCATGTCAACCGGCTCTGCGTCAGACGGAGTAGAGTTATAGCCAGCATGAGGGCATGAGGTCCGCTTAAAAGCAGGGCCGTGACATGCGCCCCGCCAACAAACATTACACAGTTTTCGGTCATTCCGAGTCATTGACAGTCATCCATCGCCCGGATTCTGCTAGCACCATATGTGCAGAGAAAGCCGGTCAAGACTCGGACACGCCAGTCCGTTGGACCAAAGTGCGGTTGTCTCTTGTGGCCCCAGAGAATCCCACGGATGGCTCGCACATACTGGCCCGTAAGCCATCATCATGGATGATCACGAATATGACTCCTACGCCGCAGGGCTGATGCGGAATGTCCTGTTGTGTTACCAATTGATGATGCCTTTCCCGAGAAAGCTAGCAGAAAGCCCTCAATTTGTCCAGCCAGGCTTCACGTTCTTGTGTTACCTGTGTCTCCGAAGCTAAGCCTCGACTAAGACAAGCAGCAAGAATGGCATCAACCGCCGCGTCCCCTTTCGACAAGTCGACATCATGGGCAGCTACCTCCCCGAATGAGCTGCAGTCAATATCTAAACTACTCCTGCTAACAAAGTCATGGGACATCTCGCCCAACAAGCCATTGAGGCTTTCACTATTATCCTCGCCTTCTCTCCACTTCCATTTTTAGATGTCCCGCTCAGGTGAACGGCGCCATGCGTAGCAGAGAGAAACCGGAAAAAGCAAAGATACTGCGGTTGACCTGTGGGAACCGGACCGAAGATGGCACACACTCCAGAAGGGCCATCGGGGGCGGCAGGTTAGTGGCTTCTAAACTACTAGTACAGATCGTGCCAATGTGCAGCCAGCGCCTCGTGCGCTCAACCTCTCTTTGGAAATGTCATGCAGGTGCTACCCGCACGACACGAGATCACTTCGGAAAGGCAGAGGAGCCAAAGAAGGGGAAATCTTGGCTTCTCCAGGGTTGCCGGTTTGTACCAAACTCCTCTGGAAAAGGGTTTCGAAGGGTCATTCTGTCCCGCGGAGGGCAGCGTAGCGTTCCGCCTACCAATATAAAGCCAATCTGGCGGATGGTACGAACCCGGTGCCGGTAATTACGCGTGGTGGAGGAATGCAACGAGCCACCGAGTCGTGGATTATTGTCCCGCATCATGTTCCGCCTCACCTACTTTGCAAAAAGGGAGAAACGGAACCAAGAAATGCCCTCGCCTGGTAGGGAATGGCATGTTTACGAAGTGGTCGGGGAATGTCTTCACTCCCGTGACCTTCACTTCTCCCAAGCCCGCCTCGAAGATGGTGAAATAGAATATTCCGTCAGGTCTTGGCGTTCGCCTCTGGCCTCTCTACCCCGTTACAAGGCAAAAAGAGCATCACGCCCCAACACCCCGCCCCAACTCCAGGGCCTATTCTGCTGTTTATTAAACGAACTGGTGATCTTCACATTACCGCCTCGTACCTAAGCCGAGCCTTCACACGGAAAGTGTACATCTGGATCGGCAAGGCGACGGCGCGTGGGTTTCTTTTGTTCCCCAGATCATTGCTGCCGCCGGACACGCGTCCCGCACCTCCGCTTTCTTCGAGAAACCAATCAAATATCAAGACGCCGTGATGAAGAAATAGAGTGTTCGCACCCTTGTGGTAAATGGGCTTCTGTTTCATAACAGAGGCGACTGCCCGACTGTTATTTTCCCACTCCTCGCCGTCCACCCTCTCTTGTCATTTTAATAGATCTTTCAGCCGGGTCATCGCGCTCGAGCACGTGCTGTCTCTCTCTCTCTCAAGACCCGTCCTTCAGATTAACGGGATTGTACTTGCACTCAGCGCTATTTACGGCAATTAGCAGAGGTCATCCGCCAGTGCCAGGGCAATTACGAAGTAAAAGTGGAATAAAAGAATGAAGAAGAAAAATACGAAGTAAAATGATAAGAATGGGGAAAATGTCAAAAAGATAATGCTGGCCCAAATTCATTCCCCCAGGATCAGGGCATACTTGCAAGCACCATGTTTCCCGCCGTTTGACCTGCGCTTTGCTTGTCCTGGTCATAGGGCGAGTGTGCCTGAACCACCCCGTGCCCTTGCCTTGCATTTCCATAAGCGGACCGCTGTCTTGCCCCCCATCCTTGGCAGGCAGGAAGCGGAACATGGTTTTGTTTGCGGATTTTGAATTTCAGGTGTGCCAAGGGATTTGGATACTCTGGTCGGCGAGTTGAAACGTAATGTAGATTGGAGGATAGTCTTCCAAGTGTGTAATACCTCTTAACAGCAGCAATCATCAAGCCAGCACGTACCACCATCCGCTGAGGCCCATTGGTAGACTACAAAGTCTCCGTATCAGCTCGATCTACGCTCCGCCAAGTCGTGGATCACAAACTATAACGGCGCTTAATAAGGCCAATACGCCTCATGCCACCTAGACATCGAATCCGCAGTCCCCAAAGTCTCCTCTGGGGGGCGGAAGGATGCTTAGCCGAGGGCCATGGTCAGCATGCTGGACGAACACGAATGAGGGATAAAAGAGTAAAAAGGGAATCCTTCGCCCTTGGCGTCTATCCTGTCCACTTCGGTGGAGAACGACTCGAATCAGGCGTTAACAATGTTGGTGATGAAAGATCAAGACGCCCCACCAACGGAGATCTTAAGAGAGGGAAATCAGCCTCGCCAGGACCAACAGGCCAGGAGGACGCCGTGGGCGACTGACGCGCTTATTTGACTCCGCCTGGCCCCCAAAGCCATCATCATCGTCATCATCATCAGCATCATCAGCATCATCATATCATCATCGCGGCCCCCAATTTGACCACGGGTCTTCAAGTCGGACCTCTTTGCAGAATCAGTTGGCCGCCGATCAAGGCCTACTAGATCCCGCTCGACAAGTGGAAAAAGAGCAATCATCTTCATGGTACAGCCCGGCCGAGGTGGCCGCATCAGAGGCGACCGCAGACCAACAGTCCCCAAGGTGAACAGCCTGGCCCTCTCTATCTTCAGAACTCGGCCCGTCCCATCTCCATCCCCATGTACTTGCACCCAGCTTGCAGAAATCCTGGGCCTAGTGGCGCTTACGGGGGAAAGGGCCGTCCCAATTAGGACGCACCTAACATCATGTGTTTTCCATCTCGAATAGTCCCCTCGCCAGTCTGGCCAAAGCGGTACACCCGAGACGAGAATAGATAGATCAGTGGACCCCTCCAAGCAACACGATGTCGTTTCGCTGATCCTACCCACCCCAGACTACTTCGTACGGATAGTGTAGTAGTTGTAAGTTTAGACCATTGTTGCGTTGGAGACATAATGGAAATAGTAATGCGTCGTAAGATTTGATGAGACCGCGAAGTGGCAAGTACGAAGTGGCTTCTTCCTCGTAAGACGCGAGAAAGTGGATCAAAGAGATTAAACGCCCAACACCCAACACTATAAATATTCAATGGATAGCATCGGTCAAAAGAAAAGACTTAGCCTCCGGTGGGTGTAATTGGTTCCATGACTGGAGATGAGAAAAGTTAAAGTCAGTTCGGGAGAGGCTTTTGAGGGAAGAAAGTAAGCCTAAGCTTGGCGCTTGCCATCTCGGTCAAGGTTTCTATGAAAAGAAAAAAATAAGGGATAGTTCAAGCTCGTAATTCATTCTCTCTCCTCGTCCGATACAACCTGCCTCATCTATTAATATACTAATCCATCGATCTAGATCAAATAACTGCGGTCAAGGGGAAGAGTGTAGTAGTACGAAGAGAGTGATTTTAGTTTAAACCCAAACCGCAGACCCTGGTCTCCGGTCTCCGGGATGGCGGCAAGAGGGTTTCTCCTCCCTCCGCTAGCGATTTAATGAAGAAGCGGAAGACACTTCGGACTGACTCTTTCGTAGACTCACGCAACGCCGGACAAAGAACCTAGGCATTACTGGCCCCGAAGCTGAAAGGGGGGTTCATGCTCCGTGTTCCTGGGCCTGGGCCTGGTCTGCATGCGCTGCATCATGCTCATACATTGATGGAATTTTTGAGGAATGCAGTGCAATACGTCTGCAATGCTTGACCAGCAGCATACATCATACAGCACCTAGCCTGGCATCGAGCATACACATGCAGTAACACGACCCAAATGGTCAATGGCTGCCAGAACTCTAGCGAATTGAGATTATTTGTTTCCAGACTGGCTCTGCAATGCGTCGGAATAAATCCAGCCAGTGCGGTGCCTGAAGTTTTCCTCATGTCTTTGGGCTTCAAGAGTCTGCCTGGATTGCCAGATGGTGAGCCTTTCGATCTGATACGGAACTTTATATTCAGCTGAGCAACCACTACCAGGTCAGACTCAGATTTAGCGGAACATATTCCAAGCTTAGGATTGACCAGTGCAAGCTCGAAAAGATGACAGCAGGTCGGAAAAGACCCGATAGGAACAACCTTGTTCTCCATCCACATCCCCTCCTACGGGGGCTTTGCTTAGTCGAGCCCGTTCAACGTGTAGCCACATCCGGGAAACCATTTCCTAGCCCGGCAAAGCTGTTAGGGCTGAGCGTAAGCTGGGACCCATTGATATTGATTGATACGACAGCGGCTGGAAGAAACCCGGACGTGGCGCTTCTCAGCTAGAAGCCACCGACTTGACCAACGATGCGATGCCAAAAAATGAGGAGAGCTGAAACTGCGCCTATCCGCGACTCACTTGGTCAGAAAATTGCGGAGATATAGACAAAAACGCGGCCGGGAATATCATCAGACCCAGGTGTGAGAGTGGTCAGGGAAAAGAAAGAGAAGAATGGAAAAGAAAAAGACTGCAAGATACGATACGGATAGTCGCATCAAGGCTTCGTAAAATCGCCGGTCGCCGCTTCTCCACGAATCATCCTCGGCCACCGCTGCTACGTTACTATTCCCCGCGGCTTCGGACAAAAAAACAAGCTTGGAAGAGGCGCGGATGGTCAGAAAAGGGAATTTCAAGCAAATGGCCGATGACGTGTGATTCGACGGGCAGGCGGGCGGAAACCAGAGCCCGCCGTATCCTATTTCCCCGTTGTGGGCATACCGGGTCTAAGTGTGCCTGCCAGGTGATTTGTCCGGCTGAGCTGAGAGGATATGATGCTATTGCCGGTTTCATCTGATGTCTCTCGCCGAGCACGAGGATGATGGATGCCGGATTTCGGGATGCCGGAGAATTTATCAGGAAGATCGTTGAGAAGAGCCGCTCGATACCACGCGAGAGCAGGGGAAGATCTTCGAAGGTCTCGCCATCTTGAAAATAAGCTTGTCGAGTTCTCCATTTAAGAATGTCGGCTTGCGAGTATGATCAAGATGTCGACGAAGTCGGGAAATCCCCGAGCACGGCTAACCCTCGAGACTCCCTTTCCCGAAGCACGGATACCACCATCAGATCAACCTGGTCCGCTCATCTGAGTATTCGGCCATAGCCATTTAACGCGATAATTACCCTGTTCCAAGTTCATATGGTCCGTTCCTGAACGGTTAATTAGCCACAGATATTGATTTCAGCCTCTTTCGTGGTCCGGTTGTTGAGGCTGCTGCACACGCACACACTTTTGACGACCAAGTCGGTCGCTAACCGAAGCTGTCGCTCGAGGGCCCGAGCTCCTCGCCGCGAAGATGCGACGGTTCCTGTATCAAACCCATCAAAAGTTTCACGACAACAACCCCCTCCTTTTACCTGTATTGCTTTCCCCAATACACGAATGGAGAAAAACGGCAGGGGAGTAGGAGGAGATCGTGATGTACCCCTCGTAATGGATGTTTGTATTCTGTTTCAATCAAGCTCCCTCTTTTGCTGTCCGCGTGCCTCCCTTCTCCGCGGTGAATCTGTGCTTTCTTGTCCCTGCGGCGGTATAAGTTGCGAATAAACCCTTTGCTCGCCTTGAGGAATTACGTAGATATCTAACCCCCCCTGTCTCCCAGGAAACGAAGAACTAGACCCTGTTTCCCCCTTTTACTGAACTCTCTCCTTCACTTCCCAATTGTGTGACCCTTCACTGGCTAGCCCTTGCCATTGATCTCTCTTTGCCGCACCCTCTTCTCCCCAGGCACCGTCAACGAAGTAGCAGAAGACACCAGCTCATCCACAATGTTCTCCAGCCTCGCCACGAAACTCGCCCTCAAGAAAGTAGGCCTCTCCCCCGACACCTTCAACTTCTCCTCCCCAGCAAACGACCCCCCACCAAAAGACCGCAAGAACAAAGACCCGAACAGCCCAGTCGACGACGATGACGAAAACGCCTCCGCCTGGCCCGCGTGGATGACCGTCAAGAACCTACCCCTCACCGTCCAGCCGTGGCTCTCCCCCCCGCCACCACCGATCCCGCTCGCGGAACTGCCCAAGATCGGCGAACAGGCCCCGATGGATAGGGATCGGAAGGTCGCCATTGGGGGAGGGAGGTGCGTCCTCATTGTCTTCCTCCGATGTGTGGGCTGCGCCTGTAAGTTTGTCTTTTCTTCTTTTCTCCTCGGATTAAACCTCACGACCGCGCGTACACTAACACGATCTCGTCTATACAGTCGCCCAAAAGACTTTCCTCGCCCTCCGCACCCTAGCAAACCGCTACCCCAACGACCTAACCTGCATAGCAATCTCCCACTCCTCCGCCCCCGCCACCCAAAAATGGATGGACCTCATGGGCGGTGCCTGGAACGTTCAAGTCGTAATCGACGAAGACCGTTCCGTCTACGCCGCCTGGGGTCTCGGCCTCGGCTCCGTCTGGTCCGTCCTCAACCCCAACACCCAGATCCAGGCCTGGAAGGAAAAAGGTTGGCTCGGAAACCAGGTCGCCGTCGCCATCCAGCGTAAGGGTACCGCGGGCCGCGGACTCGCCAGTTACCAGACGGGAGGCACAGGCGTCATCGATGCCGAGGGCCCCGTTACCGTCATGGGGAATAAGTGGCAAAACTCGGGCGCGTGGGCTGTTAATGGGAGTGGAGTGATTGTGTGGGGGAGGAAGGCGGCGACGGCGGATGATTTGATTGATTTGGATGAGGGGTGTAAGGCCCTTGGGCTGTGAGAGTGGCAAGTGTTTGTGGGCATGCGCGTGATGTGATTATGAGGGGGGAGGGAGAAGTTGGTAGCTGTACGATTCGCTGTTGTGTGTTCGGTGCTTTTTTCTTTCTGGGGTTGATCTTGCGACTGGCGTTTTCCCGTTGAGAGATAGTTTGTACTTCCTGGCCTCGGCGTTGGAGTCTTGGAGCTTGTCTCGGTTTGACATCAAGACCCGAGTTCTGACTTTGGATACGTCTGAGATACTGTCTTGTTGAGCTTAGTTCGCGCGAACGTGTGAAACCAAAACGATCCCCTAATTGATCATGTGTACGTCAATTAACACACCGCGCATGCGCTTGTAACCTGTCTTGAAACGAAACGAAACTATCACAGCACGGCGTCACCCCAAGAAAGGATCAACGGATAAGAGGGGAGGGAAATAAAATTTTCTGAAAGCAACTCCATCTATGTAACCCACCCGTGTCCATTCGATCTCACACTTTGCACCTCGCAGAAAGAACCAAAACCCCGACAAACCAAGGTGGAAAAAGGCAAAAAAAGAAATCGGAATTCCCAAATCCTCTCTGTTGCTCCGGATATCTGCTTCCACGATCTCAGCCTTGCCCGGACACCCGCCACTGAAACCCTGCCATTATTGCCAGATGCCTGAAAACAAAATCGCGATAAGTGTTGAAACAAAACTCCGAGCGGTGACCCCAAATACCTAAACAAGTGCAATATTAAAGGGGGAGGTGTAAGAAACGCAAGGGGCAGGGAAGGGGGAGAGAGATGACGAAGGGATAGTAAGGGGGGTGGGAAGTCCGATAGTTGAACTGTATAGTAAAATGAGAAAGAAGAAAATAGGCACAAAAGAGAAGCAGTAACGAAACTCCGCTAGATGAACGACTCCCATCCCACCTGGTTTTATCCTTCCCCCTTCAGAATGACAGGCAAGTTCGCTCGACTCGATGGGAGAGCAGTCGTTTTTTTTTCCTTCCAAATTCAAACACCGAGCTGATGCACCGAGTTCGTCTTTCTGGAAAGCCCCAGGGTAGTCGGTATAAAAAAATCCCCCCCCCAGGTGTCAACCTGCCCAAAGCCCCCGAAAGACATCGCCCAACTCCAGCACTTTGATGATCCTGAAGCTATACATTTCATTCACTCGCTTCCAGTAGGGGTATAAGAAAGGCGAGCCGTCAGACGAGAATCGAATGCACCGGGGCCAGTCCCTTTCGCTCCAATCCATGCAACCAACCAACAAGGACAAGTCGCCAGAAGCCCATGGCGATGTCCGTGATCCCCTCCCGATGAGTGACAAATACTGCCCCCAAATCTCAAAACTCCTGCGCAAATGCCTCTTTTGTCTGTTTCGTCGGTTTTTCTTTGCCAAGTTTTGTTGTCCCGTGTTCGATCCGTGAAATGTCACTTCATCCCAAATATACCCCTGAGATCGCCGGCCAGACCAGACCCGAGGTATACATCAAACTGAACCCATGTTTTTTCTTCGCCGAATGCCGAACAATGAACCGGATGAAAATGAATTCCAACACCAGATATACCAGTCAGCCGAAAAATGAAACAAAAAAAAGCACCAATCCATCACCAAATAGCAAACCTTCGCCGCATTTCCCTCCTTGATACCAATGATTTTTCAAATATTTTTTCCTTGCGCCATCCAAGTTTATGCATATTAACCCCATCTTCATGGCTTGCTAGTTTGCTGATTTTGATTAACGAGATCGAGGCACAAGTACCTCGGTGACTCGAGTTGACGTGAGAGAGATGTCAACTTAGGCCCAGACACTTGCCTGTCCGCCAAGTCCGGAAGCCTGCGGCCAGCCACCCCGACCCCAGCCTCCAGGAGAAGCAAGGGGTGTGGTCGATCGTTTCGAGGACGCAGTAGTAGCCGGGGTGCCAGAGGGTCGGGTGCCGATAGGAGCAACAGTCACTCCGGTTTGGTTGTGTTTGGAACCCGAACCGTCTTGCCGAGGAGGCGAACCACCAGGAGAAGACGAGGTGGTCCTGTTGGTGGGCTGGCCGATGGTGCTGTCAAACCCAGGTTTGGATCCAGGGGCGGCCGACTGAGGGCTAGCCGTGCTATTGGGTCGCGAGCCAATCTCCTGGCCGACCTGGGTGGTGTCGACGCCAGAGGGAGGACCCTCAGGGGCGGGAACGTTGCGGCCCAGGTCGTAAGTCAAAGGCGACGCACCTCGAAGACTAGCCGGCCCGCTGTGAGTAGGGAGTCCGGATCGTACGACACCATTTTCGTCAACGTAGCCGCCCTTCTCGGCGAATGGGCCCTCCTTGTAAAGAGCGCTCCGCTGGCGAGCAATCAAGTCCCTGGTCTCTTCCTCCGACATGCTCTTGGGTCCATAGGAAACATCGGTGAGAACGGCTACACAGAGAGATCGCAAGTTAGCCTTGGTTCTCAAACAAGACAACATCTACATGATGAGAGAGGGATATTGGACAGCGTATTGGGGTGACAACATGTTAAGGAGGGGCGCATTGTTGAAAGGGGTTGGTGACTAGGTCCAATGCAGGCGACTGTGAGACCCAGACCCGAATTCTTTATTGTCTTTTTTTCTTTCTTTTTTTTTGGTTTCATGGGGTATCTCTCGAGAAGAGGTGTTCTTTGTGCTATACAGATGAGGGTGGCCTACTTCGCTGGTATTGCTGCTCCGTGTGAAGATTTCGAAGCTCTCGTTCCCGCTGTGCTGCCATCCGCCTTTTCGCCTGCATCATCTGCTCTGCCTCGCTGGAGCCACGGGAGGGTTGATGGCGTTGAGTGGCATAGAAGCCTTGGAGGTTCGAGGGAGGATGGCCCCGGGGATTTTCGCCGAAATCACCCACTCCGTGGGAACGGGGGCCGCCCATACCAACGGCTCCACGAGGATCTAATGCGGGAAAACCTGATGTCAGCTTGTTATGACACCAAAACCAAGGGACAGTGTTTCTAGGATCATCGCGCCTATGAAACAGAACCGGTGTATCGCCTCGCCCTAGACAAGCATGTTTACTCACGTCGAGAAGCCGCGCCATATGTCTTTCCGCTCTTCGCGAGGTTTTCGTAGGCTCGGTCCACCTCTATTGACACAGCAGATTAGCAAGAAGTCCACGCTGAGGGATGTGGTAATAGCAGAAAGGCTGGTGGGGCATCATCCGTCTTCGGGGTGGTCTCCCTTCCTGCGCAAGGCCAAGGGAGGCGGTAAAGTGATAAAACGTACCATCGAATTGATAGAAGAAGGCAAACTCGTCCTGGGGAGTAGGACCGCTAGCGCCTTTGAACGCATACCCATCAGAACTAGGTTCAGATTGTCGAGAGGGCGAGCGACCAGACATACCAGTGCGCAGGGCAGGTACTTGATGGTCCCAGTTGTTCTGGCCGGAGGACCACTGACCGTTCGAATCGTAATATGACATGTCGGATCGTCGATTTAGAGACATACAGGGGAGAATAGGTGGACGTCGGAAGGTTTAGGCAAATCTGATGTTATTTTCTGTTACGGAAAATGTATAGTTAGTTTATCAGAAGAGGACTGAAGTCAGGGCTTTGAAGGCGTGTCCGCAAGTGGAGGTTCCGGGGATGCATGTCGAAAAAAGGTCGACAAAGGTGACGCGCGAAATATCACACGATGAGGCAACGAAGAGCCTAGCTTGATTGGGAACAAAACCAGCCGACGGCAAATAGTCGCAACGACGACATGGAGCGGTAAGAGGAATAATAACGAATGCATGAAAGGGAAGAAACGCACAATGAGTATACAGTCAAGCACGAACACCGTCCGACGAGGATGGGGGGTGAGCTCGCGATGGGTGTTGGAAGAGGAGAATCGGCAGAGCGCAGAACGCGATTTCTCAACGGCGATTTGCGCAAAAGAACGATGGATTACCCGTCTAGGGAGTACGAGGTCGACGCGCGAATAGAAAGAATGATACAAACAAGAAACTAGACGGAGATAAGGTGAGAAACCCGTGGGATCCGTAGGTGGGATGGAGACGGGAGGTGAGGAAACAGAGAGAGATGAGGTCGGCAAGTAAGGTGAGCCTTGGGCTGTGGAGAGAGGTTGCCTGGATTCGGGTTTGACGATATAGGGGAAAGGAAGGGAAGGAGAAGAAAAAAAAATTATTAATGAGGTGCGGAAGAGAAGGGACGACCGACGGGGTTAATACAGTGAGACAACGTTCAAGGTACTTCGTACAATTGGACTTGCTGGCGAGCCAAGACCACAGACCCGACAAGCAAGGCAAGAAGGACTGGGACGGTGGAGAGTGGTGCCAGGTGCGAAAAGAGAGACATGGGAGTAGCTCAAAGTACTTCGACAGGGAGGGAGTGCCAAGAAATCAATCTTTTGCACACTGAATTGCTTCAACTCGAGTGTACCTTGCCCGCTAATTCCGGACGAGATACCTGCCGTAACAGAGCAACTGACCCTTCAAGACCGATCAACTGTGGACTGCCTCAACTGGCTCCTTGTAACTGTTTCTTGCGAGAGACTTTTGCCCGTTACAGTTTCCATCAGGGGACTCACCCCACTGATTCCTTCCCCCCCAGTGCCGGCTGTCACCCAACAAGAGTCAGTTGATGTCATCAATACTTCGTGCTTCAGGGAAAATTGTAAAATTGTTGGAAGGCGGTGGTGAGAGAGAGCAGCGAGAGGCGAAACCTGCAGCACTTTCTCCACTTGTCCTCTTCTCCGAGAATACACTGCGGCAGAGCATACCGTCTAGGACAGTGTCCAGGGTTCAGGTCTTCTGGAAGGCAACACTTGATACTTGTACATTCGAAGGTACTAAGATCAACTCATTTACCCACGTCGCGGTTCGCAGACAAGATTTCACTCGATCAACTCAGCAGTAAAAACGTACAGTGCTCGTTCCGCAGAAATTCAGAGCATTGTGACTTCATCAATTGATCGAGGCTGACTTGGTCGCAGTGGCGCGCCGTTGCCCATCAATTGCCTTGGCCACTAGAGGTACTTGGCAAGTTGCAAAGTAATAGCGTTGAGGGTGTCAATGTCTAGGAACGGAACGGAGCACGAGACATCTGCCCAAGGAAGCTGGCAGCTTGAAAGGGAAAGTATACCAAAGGCGAACGTGGAGCTACCACGAGACAGGACGGGATGGTAAACTGGCAACAATCAATCACTCGCTTTTAGTCAGTTCTGATCCTCGGGTCATTCAAAAGCGCGCCACCAACGTCTCCAGATGCGGTGGACTCTTCCATCACCTCTAGCCCCAGCCGTCGATGAAGAAGCATGCTGCAATAGTGAATTTATCATTCGTACTCCGTAGAGTATGGAGTAGTGCGACTGCGGCTTTGCGAAGTAGACATACGAAGTACATTGCACCGGCGAAGCCCACACGACAGAGCACACCGAGCTGGTGCCAAAGAGCTTAGCTACCCGAGGCCAACTTCGTACTTCGGAGCAAAAGGGGGGCCATGTTAATATTACAAGTGCGGTGCGATTTGCACTATTTGATCTCCACTTTATCGCATTTCTACCCCTGGGCCCGGGAGCTGGAGAAATTGGGGTCGCTCTCGATCAAATTTGGAAGCTCGTCTTCAACAGTTCAGCCAGGGGGGTTGCGGTTTCTCCCTCGCATACGACGCCGTCGTGATGATTTCGCCAAGACCTCGCTCCTTCATGCCTGCGTTCTTGGAGCTCAGCAGAGAATGCTCATCCTCAGTACCGCCGACGTTGAGGAGATGTCCCCAAAAGATGGAACACGTATTACCAATAAAGCCCCCCCTTTTTTTCTATTATTTTGGCTAAGAGCGGCACCAGCCGTCCATCGAGGTGGGATCAAATCTAGATCGAATTTTTTTTCAAGCACTTCGTTAATGAACCGACCAATACCACTGATCTTGCCAAAGCTCGAGGATCATTATCAATTCTGAGAGCAGTGGGGGTCTAATATCATCGGTTTCCGTAATAAGCCGGGTGAGCTGAGGGAATTTATGTCTCGACCTTCACTCACCCCGGTTTTGGCCAATGGAGGAGGAGAACCAAAACGTTAAGACGGTGCCAGTTACTTGGACTTGTTAGGACCCAAGAGCGTAAATGTATTGCTTCGAAGCTCCGTAACATGGTGTCTGGCCCAAGAGCTCTGCTTAACCCGACTCCTCAAGCGCGAACAAAGATCACAGTAATATTGATGCATTCACTTTCGGGGCAGAGAAAGCTAGCTTTCACTACTTCGTACTTTATAACCTATGCCCTTGGCAAGCCAATAATCAATCACGGGCGTGTCCCGCCCTTCCAGACACCGTCTGCTCATCATTCACTCTTACCCGCCAGCCCAGTACCATAATACCTGCTTGTAAACGCATACCATAGTCACCCATCATTATTATCGTCGACACACTCTTAGGCGACCACTCTCCTCCGGAGCTGTCCCCTTCATCCATAACAGATGCCACGGACCTCGCAAAGGATCAACCTAGGGATTGATCTCGTCAACGGCTCACTCGCCATATCGACCGATGCAAACGGGGTCGATCTTACGCAGTGGCCTTGAATGCCGGATGAGCTCTGCGTTGCCGGCATCGAGAGATGGCACGGTCGATCCTCGTCACACGGTTTTGAAACTTCGTTGCAACAACGGCTCGCTGGTCCGTTTGGCTACTCTGGGGCCTGGCGCCTGTGGGGGAAGGAGCTCAAGCTGTCTTGTCACTGCTAGTTCTTCCGAGGTTCGAGTAGCTAATGAAATGGGATTACGGGTCTCGGTTCCGGTTTAGCGGTTGAGCAGGACAGCTTCCCTCGAATTGGCAACTCCGAACGATCTTGTCGACTCTCGTTAAGTCAGGGCCCTTTGCAGTTTGTCTGAGGTTTGAATCGAGGAATTATGAAGATCGGGATTACTCTTCTAGCAGAAAAGCCGCGCTCCAAGATCCATATTAGCCTCTGTCTCATACTCTAACCAGAGGTGCAAAAAAAAAGGGAGAAAAAAAAGGAAGGAAGAAAGAGAACCCCTGCCAGCCAGCATTCTAGACAACTTCCTCCTAATCTAGTAAGGCGCGGATTTGTATGGCTTCTGAGGCTTCCTCCACGGCTTCTCCCAAATTTACCCCTTCAAATACAAACCGTACCCTCGCATACCGCGAAATGGTCCGTGATACGATACCAGATTTAGTCTTCGGTCTGGAATTTCGTGAAGATATCAAACCAGCAGGCCTGCTGAATGGCTTATTCGCCCTGCGCCCGAGATAAAGCAAGGGCATCTTCTAGGCTGTAGATACCTTCATCAAATATGCAGCTGCTCGCGCATCTGGGAACACAGGGTGCAACGTCGGATACAGAGGATTCCTTCACTTGATATTTTACACGCACGACAACTTGCAGCTCGAGATTTAGGCGGCAGAAACTACTGGCACTCATGGCGCGTGTGTACTTTCTCTTTCTTACGAGGCGAAAAACAATTGGGAGATTATGACAAGCAGATGGCTAAGAACGGGCCCGAAGACTTGGAATGTAATGCGGACGGACCATCGTCGCCTGGAGAGATCAGGACGAATCAACCCGCAGGCATCGATTTCCTTTATTCCTTCCATCGACATTAAGTCTCGTATCCGAAAGACAGCCAACAGTCTCCATCGCCCTCTGGCCCGGACAGCCTCGTAGATTCGCGATACGATGCTATCTGTTGGCACCTCTAGCGTTTGATACATCCGTTTCTATCTTGCTCCGTTCTGCCGTGGTTTCGAAGCCAAGAAAGAGCCCCTTTTTTGACCAAATTAGTTTTGTAGCAATATCCACGACGCGTTCTTAGCAGCATCCACTCGCGCAAACAGCGACGTGTCGGCAGTGTTTGAAGGTGATCCACAAGGAACTAGTTCGCTTGTACAAGTCATGTCGTAGTGCAGAGAGAAGAACAGCACGGTCACGAAACGAGATAGTGGTGAGGTCATATTCACCACCAAAGAGAAACAATTTCCGGCTTTTTCCTTTTTCCACCAAACCTTTGCCCTTCGGTGTCGCTTCTCTGACCTGGCCTGCACTACTCCTTCGCACTTCCCAGGCCGACCCCTGTCAATCCAATCCCTTGGACCGCCTCCAGTATCGTTGATCTGCCCTTCTGGGCCGATGCACCGTGCGGACTCGGGCGAGTGAAGGATCAAACGCCGACTTTAGAAACACTTCCCGAGAGCTTCCTGATTCAGCTCCAAACATGTCAAGTTATTACTACCAATATAAAGTATTGATACTTCTCCAGGATCTAGCACGGGATGTCCGCCCTCGGTTCTGAGTTCTAACCTTCAATCCCTCGTGAGGGCATAGATAACCCGCCCGACTTGGCGAGTTTGAAAGGGTCCTGAAGTCCAGTGTATTTCTTTCGGGCATGTTCATCAATGGAAGAAGTACGATGGTCCTGGAGTATGCGTACGACATCGCGGAGTCCCCAAACGGTTAGAACTCGGA